GCTCTAATCAGAGGGTCAAAATCAGGAAGCAGAGACCTCCCTCCTCCCTGGGTCTGCAGCTCTCATTTGCGCTCCTGGGGGCTTGGGGTCTCTCCCTCTTCATTTCTCTACCACCACTCTCTCATCTGCTTGCACTGACCTCTCTCTCTATGGGTATAGCTTCCCTTCTCTTGTGGGAGTTTATTATTTGACCTTTACTATAAAACATGTCCAATATAGAAAAACGAGGAAACGCAGTTGAATAGAATCGTTACTGACACAGGAGCGATGGTAGGCCCCACTGTAAGGACTCTACCTGAAATTTTTTGAATGTTTATTGGTTTTATTTTATTTTTAAATTATATTTTATTGATTATGCTATTATAGTTGTCCTGATTTTTTCCCCCTTTGCCCCCCTCCACCCAGCACTCCCCACTCCCTCAGACAATCCCCCCACCACTGTTCAAGTCCAAGGATCATGCATATAAGTTCTTTGGCTACTCTATTGCCTATACTGTACTTTACATCCCTGTGGCTATTCTGTCACTCCCTATTTGTACTTCTTAATCCCCTCACCCCTCCCATATGAGAACCATCAAAATGGGTTTCCTGGGTGATGCAGGCCAAGGTCAGCCCCCACCTGTGTTTTGTCTGGGGCTACCATGCCTGAGCTACAAAGCAATCTGAGATGGCTGCTACTTGTGCTGGGCTTGGAGATTTCCAGGAGAAGCCAAGCTGAGAATCTAGGCTGAGTGCTGCTGGTGCCTGGCCCTGGGGCACACTGAGGCCAGCTGTTTCTTGGTTGAGAGGATTTAGGAAGTTGTGAAGCAGGACCTGCCATTCATATGGAAAAATAGCTTGGGTGGACCCATAAATTGGGTAGGGCAGAATCTCTGGGGATTTCCAAAGCGGGTCAAACCGTGTTTGCCAGGTTGATGGAGTCTCAGACATGGCATCAGCTTGCTGGCTCTGTGGGGGTAGAATTTAGCAAAGCAACAATGACCTCTGCTTGCCTTGATGCCAGACACTTCAGTCTCCCCCTGTGTGCCTCTGGTGCCTTTCAAGCTGCTTACCCTGGTGCTGGAGCTGAGAGGGAGTGAGTCTGAGTAGGTGAGTCCGTGTGTGGGTTCTTTAAGAGGAACTGCTTGTGGTCCCAGCAGTTTCTTCCACTGACCCAATCCCCACTGATTTTTGCAGCCAGAAGTTTTGGGGACCAAATTTCCTGGCACTGGAACCCTGGACCAGGAGACTGGTGTGGGGCTGGGACTCCTCGCTCCCAAAGATATCCCTCCTGAATTTTATCCACCACACGTGGGTGAGGGACCAGCCCATTCTGTGCCTGCACCCCTCCTTCCGGTCTGGATGGATGTGGTTTCTTTAATTCTGTTTTTGCCAGACTTCCATTTGACTCAATTTCTGACAGTTCTCAGTGATGCGTATTCTTTATTTTAGTTGTCATTTTGATGTGGTTGTGCAGAGAGGCGAGCCATGTCTGCCTACACTGCCATCTTGACCCTAAGTCCCCTCTACCTGAATTTTATAACTTATCCCTGATGACAGCTCAACTATATGGATAGGTACAACCACCACCGTCGTTGTCATCATCATCTCCATTTTTGCATGTGAGACACAGGAAGATTAAGCCACTTGCCCCGAGTCATAGGGTTAGGAAGTAGCAGACTGAGCTTTGTTTTTATCATCACCCCCATTTCACTGTAATTTTTTCCATGACCATTTCCCCCCATACCCTTTTTTGCCTCCAACCCACCTCCCTCCCCCCGGCAGTCTGGGGTTTGAATCAGGCAGCCTGGTGCCAGAGTCCACACCCGAAACCACCAGGCACACGGCCACCGTAGGGGGGACAGACACTCGCCCCGAACCCCGCATTGAGAGAGAACCACTGACACACTTGGGAAATAGCCTTTAAGTCTTTTACTTTTAAGTACAGTAGTTCAAATATACACTTTTCCATAAATTATTTAAAATATGTCATACACTTAGCCCTGGCTGGTGTGGCTCAGTGGATTGAGTGCCTGCGAACCAAAGGGTTGCTGCTTGTATTCCCAGTCTAAGCCCAGTAGGGGGCGTGTGAGAGGCAACCACACATTGATGTTTCCCTCTCTCCCTTCCTCCCCCTCTCTAGAAATAAATAAAATCTTTAAAAAATATATATCATACTCTGCCCTGTTTGGGAGCCTTTTTTTCATCTACCTTTCTGTCATAAAATAGTCTTCTACGGCCTTTTCTTCAACATGAAAGTAGTCTTCTATGCTGCGTATCTGAAACTAGTAGTGAATGTCAATTATAATGGAAAAGTCTTAAATATGTTTAAGTGAGAGTCTTTTTGATTGCGGAAGTGATAAATAAACTTATGTATTTGCTTGTACACGTATCATGTGTTTCGGGACACACTTGTTGTTGGTAACGCTGGTCACCTCTGGGTGGAGCCAGATGGAAGGCAGACACGGACCAGAGGGAGACTTTCCGATCTGAGCCTTTTGTGACTGCATGAATGCCTTATCTATTTAAAAAAAAGTAAGGTGAAAAAAATGAAATTGATTCATCCTCATTGCAACCCCTCCCCCAAAAAACAGAAATGCATCAAATAAAAAATAAATTGATCTTTAAATTCCCAGAGATAACGGTTAACAGTTTTGCTCTATTTCTTCCAGACCTTGCTCTCTGAATGTGGAGACATATGTGCAGATGTGTTTTTACCAAATGGGATGGTGCTGTATGGTGCTGTTTGGTTACCTGTGTTTTCACTGAGGGTGAACTAAGGACAACATCCGGTGCAGCCTCAGTATAAAAGTCTGTATGGTTATCGGTCATGAGAAGTTGGCCAGTTTTCAAAAGGCTATTTCTGGATGGACTGAGAGAGTCCAGCATGTGGACATTCAAAATCTAGGCTTGTTAGTGGGCTGCGTGCAGGGCCTTGGCGAAGCAGGATGCTGTGTCCCAGACCCTGGGGAAATAACATCTGGGAACGGACTGAACTTCCCTTCTGTCCGCGATGTTTAACCGGAGTCACCTATTCCCCAGCTACCAATACCTCCTACCTGCCCCCACCCCGGCTTTCATGCCCACCACCTCCAGGACAATGCCACGGGAGGCAGAGGGCTTTGCTGGGAAGAGCCAATCTGCACGTCCGGAGACCTGGGCTCCCATCCGGGCTCTGCCACATGCTGTGTGATCTTCGGCAAATCACTTTCCTTCTCTGCAGAAAGAAGCAATATTCCCGAGGCTGCCTACTTTACAGTGTTATTTTACTGGAAGACTCAGATGCAATTATGATTGTGAAAGTAGAATTAAAATATAGAGCACTGTGTGTCTGTAAGTTTGTGTTGGTAAATTCTGCCCTTTTGTCTAGAATTGTCAGGAAGAAAGGTAGACATCAAATCCAGCTGGCCCAGCTCTTTTCTAACATTGGCTCATGCAGCTAACACTTCCCTAGTGCACTCTTCAACTGCTCTGCACTCACCTTTACTACTGAGGGTTGCAAAATTTAAGAGCACAGAGTGTTGGCAGGGAACAACTGAGGCTCTGCTAACGCTCCTGCACAGCAGGTGGGAATGTGAACTGGGACAGCCTGTTTGGGAAAGAGGTGTATCTGCTGAAGCTGATCACGCAGTTTACACACTAGTCCAGAAAGGCCTCCCTCTAATTACAGACTGACCACAGCGCATGCATATGTTCACCAGAGGACATGTTATTAGAATGTTCACAGCAGCACTGTTTGTAAGAGCCCCAAACTAGAAGCTAGCCATCAGTAGCGAAGTGGATAAATTATAATATTGTCCCACATTAGAATACTCTGCAGCAATGGGAAGGAATAACATTCCACTGCATGCAACAGTATGAATCAATCTCCCACACATGTTGAGCAAACAAAGCCTGGCCAAAATAAAAGCATGTACTTGTTTCACTTAAATCTATTGAATAACAAGCTACCCCAAAACTTAAGTGTCTCGTAACATTATTCATTATTCATTATTTTTCATGATTGTATGGAATAGCTGTGGCTTCCCTTGCGATTTCATCAGTGACTGAATTTGGCTGCAGATCTGGAGGGGTTGCAAGGTCCAAGGTAACCTCACGCACATACCTGGTGGTGCTTGGCTTTTCTCCATGTGGCCCAGGTCACCTTCGGGACACGGAGATCTCAGAGCAGCATTCCAAGAGGGTGAAAGTGAAGCCGCAAGGCCTCTGAAGCCCGGGCCTCACGAGTGACCTGGCGTTTGTCCCCCTGGATTCTGTCTGTCAAGCCAAGTCAAAAGACCAGTGCAGGTTCAAGGGGTGGGGAAGCAGATCCTATCTACTGATCAGAAAATGTCACATTGCAAAAGGTCATGCATACAGGAATGGGAGACACTGATGCCATATTTTCCATCGACTACAATACAGCCTGATTCCATCTACATAAAACAGAACAGCAGACAAACGACTTTGATGTTACAAATTCCTCGGCAGACAGGCCTGGAGGGGAGGATGAGGGGGGCCATGTACGTTCCTGGGTGTAGTGTGCTTCTCCACCTAGGTACTGGTGATGAGAGTGTGTTCAAAAAGCTATAAACTTAACATGTCTGAAATGGCTTATGATTGTGTACCTGCATTAGAAGTTAAAAATTTATAAATTGGCTTAGAAAGAATGAAGTTCATTTCTCTTTCCAGTCACAGTCCAGTCCAGCTGGTCAGGCTGCCGGAGCAGCTCAGCTCCTTGAGGTTCTTCGGGCCCCAGCTTCCTTCTCTTCTGCTGGTTTGCCATCTCGTCCTCATCTGAAGAGCTGAAGCTGTCACCGGCAGGCTGCATTCTGGCCAGTGGGAGCGGCCCCAGAGCGGGGTCCCGTACAAATGTGTTTCTTCCAGGTGAACAGGATGGAAGTTAACACACATTGTCACTTCCACTCCACACGCACTGACCAGAACTGACTCTTACGGCCATGCCTCGCTGGGACCGTGGTCTCGGCAGGGCAGCCTGTGCCGGGGGGAGGTGCCAACTTCAGGGAACGGGTAGCAGTCAGCGCCTTCTTTACGATGAAGCTGTTCTTTAATCACTATGTTTCCAAAGGCTACTCAGAAATAGCTAAGCTCCCTTTGTTCAGTATTAAAAGGTTAAAAACACCAAGTGACCTGAGTTTTATACTTGTATTTTCTGTGTCAAAATAAAGGTCATTAATAATCACCACTCCTCTCCTTAACTATGTCAATATATTTAAATGGTAAATATACAAGATACAAATTTATTTAAATTTTAAACATACAATTGGCCGGATCCAAGAGCTTATATACCTTCTGGGGAAAACAGTCAGCTGTCTTTGGGAAACCCCTCACTACGACTTAGCAGGCCGCCTCTGACATGAAGTGTTGGGCAGGGGAATGAATGCGTTGCAGCAGCCTGGCTCTTAGGTGCTGGGGGTGCCTGTGTAGGGCACACCGAACACTGAAAATCCTACACTGAAAAATCCTACAGAAACATTTACATTTATTCATCTCTTTTTTACTTGAACCGCACAATAAGGCACTTACACATCACGCACCTGTGTCGAGTTTAGGGAAACAACTTTATTGTAACAGAGCCCTGCGAATTCATCAGAGGCCCACTGTCTTCTCAAAGCTGTGCTCCCTCCCACCGCAGCCTGTCCCTCCCCCGGGGAGCCCCCCATCCCAACCTGCTCCCTTGGGTTTTCTGACTTCCTGCCTGCTTCCCCTCTAGGAGAAAGGGTCAGCTGCGGCACTAGCAGGTGCCCTGGGACTTTCCCTGAGACACCTGTCTACGGCTCCTGGGCAACTGGCAAGGGAGAGCTCCTTGGAGCCAGAAAGTTAATAACTGGTCTAGAAAATGCACCAACAATTTAGTCTCTATACATTTCTGACGTGAACTTTGTGACATCACCCAAAGGCAAAGGGAAAGGGAGGAAAGTAATCTGGCTTTGAGTCAGACTGGCCTCAGTTCAAATTTCAGTTCTTCCCTTTCCTACCTACGTGTGTGACCTCGGGCCTCTGCGTCCTCCTCTGTGAAATGGGAATACTAGTAAGAATGAGAGTGAGAATAAATGTATTCAGCCACCTGTAGCTGCTCAATGACACAGCTTCCACGTTCACCACCCCTTTGTTCTTCCCAAGTGCCAAGATCAAAGGGGAAGCTGAGCAATGACTAAAGCTTAGACAGTAAGATCTAAGAAGAATGGATGAGGAATGGTAGATGTTTCATGTGGTAAAGAGAGCGTTTCATCTGCACGGAGGGCAATAAATAACAATGGCTACCACTTACAAGCACCTACTGCCTTGCTTGCCATTTAACAGGGTTCTGTTCAGTCCTCAGAATAGCCCCGTGAGGAACTCGATTACGGCCCTACACAGTAAGTGAGGAAGCTGAGATTTCACTACGTGCCCAAGATCATCCGGCTAAATGGAGAACTGGAGATTCAAACTCAGGTCAGACACTTTGCAGCAGCTTGAGATTCTCCTCCCCAGTTGGTGGGGACGGCCTGGGGGAGCTGGACTTGAAGAGGAGCAGGGGGAGGCAGGAAGGTGGCTGTCAGCCAGGGGTGTCAGGGGCAGGCAAAGACCAATGCAAAATCTTCTTCGGCTGGGACTCATCAGAAAGGGAATCCTCTGGGGGTGGGGGCGTGGGCCTGCCTGAAGGCAGGGGGAGCTCGATCTCCACCGGAGGAACAGGGGCTTCTGGGTGCCACGTGGGGACTGACCTCCTGGGACCACCCAGGCACACCGGGCGCCTGCCCCTCCTCACGGAGGGGGCTCCGTGGCCCGCGCACAGTGGGGTCTGCACCTCTACTTTCTCTCTGTGATCTATCGTCATCGCAGACGTTCCCTTTGCCTCACTCCTGCCATTCCCTAGAGAGAGTTTACATAAAACTAAATAAAAATATTAAAATGTATGAGTGAAAAGTGTTAAGCCTTAATCTTGCAACCTCCCCATTTCCTTACCTACAGAACCAATTTGGTAACTCCCATAATCCTGGACCAGTTCCTTGGGGTTGTCAGCCTGTTCAAGCCATCTCGAGCCTTATTTTCACACAACCTCCGCGCCAGTCTAAGAAGGGCTCAGGAACTCGCAGGGGCTGGCCACCCTTTCTGCTACCGTTGTGAGTAGAAGCCAAGGCTTTCGCTTTCTTGCCCTAACTCTGATTCTTCACGTTGCCGAGGAGCAGTGACGGGACCTTCATATCGTGTCTGCGATCTATTTCCTCTGTGGCGCTGCACTATTCTTTCCCACGTACATCATTTGAAGCCAAGGAAAACAGTTTCTCTCCCCCTTGCTTGCTTCTGTGGAGACACAGAAAAGGTCAATTCAAGAGACTCAGACGCTGTGTCCTGACTCTCACAGAGACCCCTTTCAGAGACCTACAGGTCTCCACTTTGAGCCATAAACTGTTTTTTGAAGAGCAGTCCCAAGAGTTCACTAAAACTTGCATCTGGATTTAACAGCTTGAGAACCTTATGTTGAGTCCACATTTCTAAACTTCACATCTGATTTGGAGCCAGTAGCCTTAAACTGCCTTCTAACACTAATATGCCCTCTAAGTGAACCTACGCCCCACGTCGCCCTCCCCTGAAGACAACATGAAAAGCACAAAACCACACTGAGAAAGGAGGGGCCACGGTGTGATATTGCCCAGCAAATGTCTCCTGGCCTCAGAATGCCGCCACTTCCCGCAGCTCCAGCCCTCGGGTGTGGTCCACTCTGAGCAAGTGAATCCCTCTGCTGAAACTAGCACACAGTAAGGAGGTGGTGTCACCAACAGCCAGCGATGTCAAGGGTCCTGATCCATCCAGAGACAAGGTGAACAGGCAGGCTGCGGAGGAAGAGGGTAACCAGCAGCTTAGGCTAAGAGTGCAGCATCATAAAGTGCAGTGTCTTCCTAAGAAAGCCATGTGACTAAAGCATGTGCCCTATGTATCTGACCTGGGCAAGAGACACATCCCATGCTGCAGAGGGACATGCACCATCAGGGAAGCCAGAACTTGGGTCAACCCCACGACTTCAACTATCGAGAATGGCACACAGACCAAACAGGGTGGACATACACCAGCTAGAAGTACGTTCAGACACTTGGGGCCTCACCGACAAGGACATGTTAAAAAGTTGCCCTCGCTGACCTGCCGAGAACAAAGCAGGGCCAGGGCAGAGGAAAACAGACAGGGATACCGATTTTCAGTTGCCAGCTTCCCAGGGTCTCGGTCCCTTCAAGGCAGAAGGATAATGGGGGAACCGGAAGGACATTCAGGGCTTCCAACTGACCCAGTCTCCCTCCATCTGCAACTCGGAGCCTTCTCAGAACTACGGGCACACAGCATGTTCCCCTGGTCTCAGGTTCACGATCATGGAAGCTAAAAAGCTGCTCTTCCCACCTCCCACAAAAGTCACACCTGGGCGACTGGAGAGGGCAGCTCCTGGTGAGGGTGCAGCGGGGCCGTGCTCACTGTGCAAGTTTAGCCTGGGTCCCACCTGACATGCTCTCACCTCTGTTCTCTGTGTGGGGCTACCCCCCATCCCCTGCTGGACCCCGAATTTCTGGAAGATTACTGTGGGAGGGATTTGGTTTGTGGTTCTCGAAGTTAATGTTGGGTTGGCCAAAAAGTTCGTCTAGTTCTTCCCATAAAATAAGATACATTTTCCATTTTCTCCAGTAACTTTATTGATTTACCTATCTTGAGTATGTTGGCTATCTCCTGCGTGGTAGAATGTTGGTTGTTCTCAATTAATGTCTTGATTTGATTGCTATCAACTTCAACTGCTCTACCCAATTGTGGAGCATTGTCCAGCGAGAAGTCTCCAGCACGTAACTTCACAAACCACCTTTGACATGTTTGATTAGTCATGGCACCTTCTCCATACACTGCACAAATTCTTTTTTTGTATTTCAGTTGTGTTTTTACCTTTCTTGAAATAATAAAGCATAATATGCTGAAAATGTCACTTATTTTCTTCCATCTTCAATATTAACATGGTCACACAAAAATTCACCAATTTTGATGTTTTTTTTAAATGCATGCTGATATGACAGCTGTCACAATACAATCTAAAAAAATTGTTTCAAATGAAGTGAAAGACAACTAAGCACTACTGGAGCCATCTTATGGAGAAAAACAAACGATTTTTTTGGCCAACCCAATACTATTCCTGTGTCTAGCAGAACCCTGTGTCCAGGACAGAGCAGCATAGCAGTGGTGGGGTGCTGGTGAATCAGCTCTCTAGAAGGAAAAACAACCTTTTTTCACAGCATTTGCCAAATTCTGTGGTGTAAATATTCCCACTATAGCGTATTAAATATTCCTGAATATTTAACAGTTCAGCCATGGGGAGCTGGACCAGCACACCACTGCCTCAAGAACTCCAGGGGGCTGTGCTCCCTAAAACATTTTTTCCCTCTGGGGCTTCCATGTGTCCTGACTTTTCTGCGGGTTTGAACCTTCACTGCAGAGTCAGAACAGGGCAGAGTCTTTCTGAAACTATCTCACTCCATCTTGCCCCCACCAAGAGCTGAGGCTCTCATTTTAGTTCTTTTTCTTTTTTTAAAGATTTATTTATTGTTTGAGAGGGGAAGGGAGGGAGAAAGAGAGAGAAACATCAATGTGTGGTTGTCCCCCGTGCACCCCCATCTTGGGATCCAGCCTGCAACCTGGGCATGTGCCCTGACTGGGAATCAAACCAGCGACCCCCTGCTTCACAGTCTGGTGTTCAATCCACTGAGCCACACCAGCTAGGGTTCATTTTAGTTCTTAAAAATAATACATTTCAAAATAGCAATTTCTGTTCTCTTTTCCAGACATCTTGAGCATCACAAGTTAAAACCAAATGAGGGCCCTGGCTGGTGTGGCTCAGTGGGTTGGGCACCAGACTGCAAAGCAGAAGGTCACTGGTTCGATTCCCAATCAGAACACACGCCTGGGTTGAGGGCAAGGTCCCCAGTTGGGGACGTGCGAGAGCCAACTAACCAATGGCAAATGATCCGTTATTTCCCTCACACATTGATGTGTCTCTCCCTCTCCTCCCCTCTCTCTAAAAAATAGAATCTTAAAAAAAAACCTGATGAGGACTTTCAAGTATACAGAAAGCACATAAAAGCCAAATGTACATATTTGAGCTCTCAGGAATGAGTGGGTACAATATGGTGGGTACAGTTATGTGGTAATGGCCTCCGGCCAGAGGTTGAACAGAGATTCTGGGATCTGGTGTCATGTCTTAACCACTAGGGGACTGAACAGTGGTGGGACCTGTGTGGCTGTCCTGAGCAATTTAAAGAAAATTGTAGTCTTTTAGGACGTTATGTATCTGTAAGAAGCACTAACAACAGGTTCCTTACCTCCAGTATCTTGGTTCCAAATCTTCACCTTGCAGTCATGTGATGAGGTAGCAATTACAGGCACCCAGGCCAGTGCTCTTGGTAGAAAGACACAGGATGCAACAGTCTGGAAATGCCCCTTATACTCACACAGTCTGTTCCGCGTCTGCCTTAGGTCCCACAACTGCAAAGTGATGACACAGGCTAGCTCATACACACCCTTCTCCAGTGTCAGTCATTGATGACACTGATGATCTGTCGCCCCTCCATGTGCTGATCCACCTGTTCCCTCCACTTACCTACTTACGTAGCCACCCCTTATCTTTATGCATCCCATCCACACAGCCAACCGTCCATCCATCTAGTGATGATTTTAAGCATCGACTATGCCTCTAACCACCCTGGTTAAGGGTGTGCAGAAGGGCTGCTGACTTCCTGACTAACATCATGGTTAGGGAAGTGAAGCTCCACATCCCCCAGCGTGGTGAGACAGGATGAGGTTTCCTGCTTTCTAGGACGGCTCAAGAACTACCTTCTATCAGCCTCTTGGTGTCTGTGGGTCCTGTGGGCACCCCACAGTTGGCAGCACCTTCTCATAAGTACATACAGGCAGAGACCTTCTGATTTAAAGCGCAGCCACTAAACCTTGGTATATGAAGACCAGAGTCTACAACCATGGCGGCGCCAGTCCCACCAGTCCCACTCTCGCTGACACAGATGAGACCACGTAGGAGAGCAAAGTGAACCGGGTCCAAAAAACAGTGAAATCACTGGGCACCGTGTCATCTAAGGAACAGCGGTAGGAGCTGGAAGTGCTTAGCCTGGAGAAGAGATGCTACATCGGCAGCCTGGGATTTAAAACCTTGACCCAACACTTACTAGAGGTGTGATTTTGTACAAGAAATTTCAACTTGCTGTGTCTCTCTACTTCCTCCTCTGTAAAATGGGAATTTTTAGGTCTTAGCTCATGCAGCTGTTTTAAGGATTGAATGAGATAATGCATGCAGTGTGCTCAGCCCAGTACGTAGCACATAAGAAATGTTCAATAATGGGGAGCTGTAACTGTTCTATTTGGATACCAGATAATCCTTTTCACTGGCATTCTATAGTTTGGAACCCAGGGTGCTTTGGAGGGGCCTATCCCGAAATCAGTTGCAAGGCAAGCTGTATGGGTGAGGGCTGAGGTGGGCCCTGACTGACCCTGGAGCTCCAAACTTCCTAAAGACCTGGCACCTCCTGCACTGGGTCCACGTGTACGAGAAACACTTGGTTCTTTGAACACTCCTTCCTCTTCTAAGCTCTGCTGGGAGGAGAGATATTAGTAGCCACTTCAAGATACCACCTTCCTATCCTGACTCTCACCCTGTCAGGGTGTCCAACCCATGGCCCGTGGGCTGCATGCGGCCCAGGACAGCTACGAATGCGGCCCAATATAAAATCGTAAATTTACTTAAGGCCTTTTTTCTGTTCATCAGTTTTCATTAGTGTTTGTGTATTTAATGTGTGGCCCAAAACAACTCTTCTTCCAGTGTGGCCTAGAGACGCCAAGAGGTCGGACGCCTCTGCCTAGGCTAGTAGTTGTTTCTTGAAGGAACCATCTGGAAGGCAAAGGATCACTTACAGTCTGCACCTGTAATAGGCCTGAGCCATTAGCAGACCGGCCAGTGTAGCCCTGCACAGGCAGGAGGCCAGAGTGAGTTATTTGCTCATCAGCAATGAGACCCCTGGGCCCCCCAAGACCCCTCACCGTGGCTTCACAGCCTTCCCCTCCGAAGCCGTTGCTGCAGGAGAGGCACCGGTGTCCATCCTCACTGACCTGGCAGTAGGTCTGAATGTGTTGCTTTGCGGGAAATATATGAGCTACCTGCAGCCCCCGGCTGTCCCATAATCTGAAAAAAAATTGAAGCAAAACATGAATTTATAGCAAATGTGTCTGAGATACACCTGCAATAGCCTACTAAGATAAAAGCTGTGGCTCCCCACCGCTCCGCCAGTCGGACGGAGTCGCGGCACACCTGGGAGGGTGGCGTGCACGGAGCGGCCTCGGAGACTCCGCAGCAGGCAGGAAGGAGCAGAGCGACATCTGAGCTCTTTCCATTCCGAGATCTAGTTAATAGGAATTTAGTCCAAGCATCTTAATTGTGCAAGTTAATTTGTTAATTTGGTCTTTTGGGATACCGCTTTCAAAGGACAAGAGGTTATTTCTGTGCCTGTGACTTAGGAATATTTTCCAAGATACTTATGATAGTACAGAGGAGCGATCATCTTCCCAGATTCAGACACAAAAGAGTTGCAGGCCATGGCCAACCTGGGCCATGGAGTCCACTGCAGAGTATTTTATTTTATCTCTTGTCTTATTCCTACCATTTTCTAAGCAAAATCTCTTCAGAAATCCATAGCTTTTAGTCACACTTTCTGATCTAAAAGCAATGTACTTCGTTTGCAGCCCTTGATGGTGACTCTGCCCTGCCTTCCCAGGGAGGGCTTCCCCAGGGCTGGGCGACTGAGAACGCTAGGGACCCAGCAGGTGGCCGGAGAAGAGCCGGGCAGTTTGAAGTGGTGGGAGAGGCAAGTGACTGATCCTCAAGTTAGTCTGAACACGTTTACAGACAGTAGGAGCGGGAAGACTCAGCTGCCTTGAAACCAATCAGAACAGGGGATTTTTCCCCCTGGCCCGACTGGCATTCACCCTCTACTCAGAGGATTCCAGATCAGAGAGGCCCCAGCACCAGCGAGGGGCAGAGGGGCAGAAGGCCCTGGGAAGGACACAGCAATGTGGAGAAGCAGAGGGGGAAGGGCGTCGTGTAAGCGCGGGGGCCACAAACATTCACCAGAAACACCTTCGCTGCCGCTCAGTTAGCCCACCTGACGGTCTTATCTTCGGAAGTCTGCAGCACATATGGTTCTCGGGGGACCCAACACAGGTGCGTGACCTAGAAGCAGCATAATTTTCAAAATGTGTCCACACCAAATCATTCCTCTGCTGGAATTCCCATCAACTGTGCTAAATAGCATCTCTGCACCACCTCTCAAGGATGTGAACTAGGAAATTTGACTTGGAGGGGTTTCATGTTTTGCCCACACCCGCCAGTCACGCTCCCCTCAAATCTCGGAGGCTATCAGCGCCAGTGGTTGCAGCCGGGCCGGTGGTCAGCACCCAGATGCGTGCAGGTGCTCTGAGCGTCTGAACCCCAAACACGTGGCGAAGACCTGCTGGCCTGCAGCAGCGCAGAGGGGCAGCCCCTGTTCTGATGAGGGGCCACTGGAACCCCAGTCCAGGCCACAGAGGGTTCGGGAAGTGTCCTTCCTTCACTTCATCCCTGCAGTCCCCCGGCGGACGGGCATGAAGGACTTTTCAGAACCACCCAAAGTAACAGGGTTTTCTTTTTCCCCAGGAACCTCCACAAATGGGGAAGGCATAGAGCAAATGTATCTTGTCACTGACAGTTGTCTTCAAAATTGGGAACGATAACTAGGGCTAACATTGGAGGACCACTAAAGAAACATCTACCATGTCAGGTAATATAATTCTCACTGTTTTAGAAATGTAGATGCTGAGACTCTGAGTAAGTTTCTTGGGATAACACAGCTAAAAAGTGATGGATCGAGGACTTGAACCCCGGTTTGACTGACCCCAAAGAGTGCGGAGTTTATAAACTAGTCTGCTACCAGAAAACACTGGTTTTCATAAGCAGAGCAAATTATACAGAAAGCAAAGTGTAATACTTATTTCTCCACGTGATGTTATTTACGCAGAGCGTGGAGCTTAGGCTGTGAGCTCCTGGGGGACAGAGGCTGTGTCCTTAGTCGCTGACCTGCTCTGAGCTCAGTGTCTGGCCCACAGGAAAAACACGTAACTGTGTTTTGAAGGAATAAATGAGGACACCATTAAGATTCCAATATAAACTAGTGGACTTGTTCTCTGGAGCCCAGACCTTAAAGAGATCTAATTCGATGCCCTGAGGGGCTGGGGTCCGACACAGAGTTAGAGGTGCACGGTGATGGGACCCAGGCCTCCCACACCTGGTCGTGGGACTCCCGATCTCCTGCCCAGGCCCTTGCCCGCCCCCCTGTCCTCCCTCCCGCTGCCCGGCCCTGCAGCAAGTTTGAGCTCGTACCAAGTTCCTGGAGACTGAAGCTCGCTCCACACACTGCCCGGTCTGCACGTCCCACAGAAGGAGGGTGTTGTCCCGAGAGCCAGTGCACAGCTGTGACGAGTCTTTGGAAACAATGGCAAGAAGATGGTCCATGAGCTGCACTTGGAAGAGGGCGTTTCAGAAAGTTCAGCGGCACTGGGAAGAGCTCTGCGTTACCTACCTGGACTCACGGCCACCCCCGTGACCGCCATGGCGTGGCCCGAGAACCGCTGGCTGGGCTGGGAGGAGCCGTGCAGGTCCCACATCAGGACCTTCCTGTCCCGAGAGGCGCTGAAGAACTGCTTCGACTTGTAGACACAGGCTATCTGCTCGGGGAAGAAAGCACGGGCATGCTCGTCCGAGGGCACTTGACAGTGGGGAAGAGGCCTGAGGACCCGTGTGTCAGAGCCTGATGTTCCCGCTCAGTCCGGGTCCAAATGTGCTGGAGCTGGCGGGCAAACACCCTCTTCCGTGCTACGGGGCTGTGGCTGATGCTGAGTGTCATCATGACAGACTACGTCCTAACTTTTGGTTCATTCAGGTGGACTGCAGAGAGTCATATAAATTTGGCATTCTCTATCACTTTTGCTGGAAAGTCACTGTACTCTGTAAAGCTACTGAACAAATTAATTTTTATTTAACTATTGTTGGCTTTTTAAAAATTTCCCCAACTTGACTGGAAGATTCCTAAGCATAGACACTGTCGCTTTTCCAACTATGGCCAATACACAGTAAGCCTTTGGTGTGGGTCCCTGTTGAGTTAGGATTGGTTACTCTCTATTTACCACCTGAGCTATTAAAGGCTCAATAACAAAAGAAAAATTATGTCTCATTTACCTGTACCAAGAGCTGAGTGAATGGCTTGCTCCGCTCTTCCTGGAGTAGGGCTTCACGGCATCAAGTATAAAGCCCTTGCATTTTCTTTTAAGACTGAACAGCCAACCACTCTTACTATCTAGAGCAATTAGGTATTCCCCTATTCAGTTTCAAACTCCCTCCCTGATAATAACCAGCTGACAGTGTTACCTTGGTGATTTCATGCTCGTGTCCTTGGAACCTTCTCACCACGTTTCCGGTTTTCCAGTTATAGGCCACGACTGTCTGCGGAGAGTCATTAGCATTCTTTAGTTTAACCGAATATTCACTGAACTGAAACAACGAGCCTTACTTCATCCTCTGCCTGACTTCTCCCTCCCAGTGGAGTGACCTGAGTGGAGCGTCCGAGCTCTGCTGTGTCCTCGCTCACGGCCTGAACTTTGAGTTCTGTCTCTTCTCCTGACCGGTGCTGTCTCCCCCGGCTCCTGGGCCGCCCCTCAGCCTTACTGACGGGTCTGGGCTAACACGACCTCAGGGAAACTGCTTCAGGTTGAGGTTCTGGTTGTAGATGCTAAAGGAGAATTCCACATGGGACTAGATTTTTTCCCCTTAGTTGTATTGTATTTTTATTTTAGTTTTTTAAATTTATCATCTTCTTAATCATTTGTAGATATACAGTTCACTAGCATTAAGTTTATTCCCTTTATTGTAAAACAGACTGTACTTTGTTTTTAATTTGAAAAAGCCTCATTTATATCCCACCTGCCAGAGAGAACCACTGTTAAAATTTTCTTTTGCCCTGGCTGGCGTAGCTCAGTGGATTGAGCGCAGGCTGCAAACCAAAGCATCGCAGGTTCGATTCCTAGTCAGGGCACATGCCTGGGTTGCAGGCCACGGCCCCCAGCAACCGCACATTGATCTCTCTCTCTCTCTCTCTCTCTCAGTCCCTCCCTTCCCTCTCTAAAAATAAATAAATAAATAATCTTTTTAAAAAAGATTCTTAATTAAAAAAAATTTCTTTCCACTTTTTCCTCTAGGTATATACTTTAATATTTTGTTGTCAGCATTTATTCCCCTAAATAGGATTTCCAAAGCTGTCTCTGGCCCAGTCTCTATATTTCACTGTTACAGAGTAAGAAGCATATTAGCACTCAACCTAAATCCCCATTTTTCAATCTACAAAATGGAGATGCTAATCCTTGCCCATCTACCCCTCACAGGTAAGGCTCATATAAATAAAATTTCATATGTCTACGATGACACAGATTTTAAGACAAAAATGCTCCCAATTAAATGATGCTTTATTATCAGTTTTCAAATGCATATGGATTTCAGAGGTGTTAAAATGTGCACATGTGTGCATCTGAAAGTCTGCGAAATAGTGTGAAAATGAAATCTGAAGACTCTAAAAGGCTATTGAAAATGAGAGGCATTACTTATCACAAACGAATCAATGTTTTTGCTACCAACACCCTAGCTGCCAGTGCTGCAACAGATCCCAACATGAGGGGAAAAGGCAGCAGGACCCGGAAGGGCAGTGGGAGGAAGCACGACACAGCGAAGGGAGGAGTCCCGACACGCACCAGTGTGGAGACTCGGCCAAGGAGCAGCACAAAAGAGAAGGCCAGAAGACGCCTTCTGCTGGCGAGTAACTCCCGTGCCTGTGTGCAGGTGTGAACATGGGCTGGCTGGAATAACACCGGTCACTTATAAAAAGTGCGCGGAGGCACACTTCGAAGGATCTCACCACTGAATCCTCACAAGTGTCCTGTGAGGTTGGCATTATTACTCCCATTGGATAGAAAAAGAGACTGAAGTTCAAGAAAATTAAAAGTCTTGCTCAAAGTTAGAGAAGGGCCTTAAACCCAGTCTAATTCTAAAACCGCATTTCTGCACTGCCCGCCACTGCCGCCAGCAATGGAAGAGCGGCGCTCGCCTCCCCCGCACCCTCCCTTCTCTGCAACAAGGTGGCCCCCTGGGGGCCACTGCAGGGCCCACCTTATCGTTTCCTCCGGAGACGCACAGGTCCGAGTCCAGAGCAGCAACAGCAGAGACGGCGTCCATGTGAGCTGGGCTGTACTCTTGAAGAGCTCTAGTTTGGATCCTCTCTTCTATAACTGCGTCGGGCCTGCCAGAGAGAGGACGGAGAATGGGGGGCCCCCTGGCGTGGGCATGCATAGCGGAGCAAGATGAAGAAGAGTGTGTGCGAAGGGGGCAGTGCAGACATCGCCGAAGTGGTATTACTAACTCTGTAGTAGGTGCACGGGATGACTGAGTCTGATAAAGGGGAGTCCGTACTCACTTTAGAGATTATTCTAGAGATGGAGGGCGCCTCTCTGTTTAGCTGCGGACACTAAGCTACCAAGCTGTTTCTTATCCAAGAGAAAACTGAGCAAGCTGACAGTGCAGGGAAGGTCATCAGTGCTTGCTCTGGGCCTTCTCTTTCTTTAGTGGAGCACTTGAATGGGGCATGATAAAACTTGGGGCCCCAAGTAGGACTGGGGCACCTGTATCTGTAGGTGCTGTGTTTGAGTTTGCTTTGCAGTTTCCCCATCGTGGCACGGAACCTGCACAAAAGCTGCTGAGGCGGAGCTCGTTGCAGACGGCGCCGGAGGAGCAGCATCCCCTGTGGCTGCTGGAAGCTGGGTCCCTGTTCAGTGGAAACAACCACACATACTGTTAACTTTGTTAGGCACGGTGATAGTAGTATGGTGTGGGGGTTCAGAATGAGCACCCCAAGATGCACTTCTGTGGTATGTGGACTATTAGGAGCTAAAGGCAGTTTTAGCTTCAGGCTCAAGAAGAACTTCTACACCCCTTAAAAACCTAGACCTTGAATGAGGGGCCTTGCCCATCATAAGGTCTTGTCAGCAATAACATTTTTGACCCACCTACATATCAAGGCAGACTTTTATTTACTAAACATTGGTTCTTTTTTTTTTTAAGATTTTATTTATTTATTTTTATAGAGAGGGGCAGGGAGAGAGAGAAACATCAATGTGTGGTTGCCTCTCACGCGGCCCCTATGGGAGACCTGGCCTGCAACCCAGGCATGTGCCCTGACTGAGAATCGAACTGTCAACCCTCTGCTTCGCAGCCCAGTGCTCAATCCACTGAGCCATGCCAGCCAGGGCTCTGTTCTTCTTATCGTCCCTCAATGACACTTTGAAACCCCCATGGAGCATTACCTCACCCCTAGCTCAGGCTGTCTTATACATGTGATCCCCCTTTCTGTTTCTGAACCTCTCCTGCATGTGGGGTCTCTGACTCTCTCACGTGTATGAGGTTCCCATAAATAACAAATCTGGTTATTTTCTCTTACTACTCTGCATTACGTCTATCTGATTAGAGATCAGTCAAAAGAACGTTGAAGGCAGAAGAAAGTTTGTTCCTCCCCCACAATGGTCACGTAAAAACATACCTTTTCCCAAAGACTAATTAACTGTATTCCTCTGCTTTTCCTCCTTTCCCTGACCCTGGGAATGAACCCTACAAGGACACATTAGCGGAGAAACAAAAACAGAACCAATACGAAAGCTCTCTGAGGCCCCCGGTAATTTTTAAGAGTGAAATGGAGCCCTGAGGCCAAAAGGTTGGGGAACCACTGACCTAGAACTTAAATCATGTCAAAAATGGATGATATACTATATTAGAATAAAAAATATTCAAAATGTTTTCCAGATTGTATTGCCCCCAACAACTAACAAGGCTAGAACTAAAGAGGAAGACAGGTGCTCACCCACACGCTCGATCAGGAAACACCTCCTACAGGCCCTACTCAGGTTAAATAGAGGGAGAAAGAGAGAGAAACCAGAAGATGTGGCCACCGTGGACGTGTGCTGGGACTACAGGTATGTAGCTCGGGCTAATCTCAGCTACTCTGCTGTCCTCTGCAACGAGCTGTTCCCTGGGAGGCCGGAGGGTAGAGGGGAGTAACTGGGGAGGTGGGGGTACCCAGTGCCCATCTCTTCGGGGGTTCCAGTTAAAGAAGCTCCAGGAGATGAGTTTCTAATGGGCACAGCAAGCCTCGTTTTAGAAAGAAGAGTCTGCAAGGAGACAGCAGCTAAAACTCACCAAGTATCCTCAATCCTCTCATTACCATTAACACATAGAGTTTTCTCTATTTCAGCCTGCATTTTGAGAGGCTGCCGGAGCTGACCTCCTGAGAAGAACTGGTAACCAGTGTGGAAGCACAATCAGTGGAAAGAACAGCGTTTGTGGCACCGAGGCCCCTGGGCGCTGGCCCCAGCTCTGCCTCCCTCACTAAGTGTCTTTGAGTTCCTCCACTCCCCACTCTACACCTCAGCCTCCCCATCGACAGAATGTGATATCAGATCAAATGGTTTTTGGAAGACCATGTACTCCCTAAGAGGAAGGACCCTGTCATATTCATCTTTGTACCTTAAGTGGCTTGCACAATGTGATAAAACATTTGTGAAGTAGCGAATCTCAAATCCCTCTCAGTTCAGACATTCTAGAGTTCTCTATAACAAGCATAAGATGTGCTGACAGAAAAAATTCTGGTGTAGCTTGCAAAAAGCTTGGGATGTTGTATTGTTTGTAGATTATTAGTGGTTGCAGGGCGTCCTACCTGCCAGCCTAACCCATTTTTTCAACATTGTCATCAAAGTAAGGACAGATGCCATTCATAGATCTAGGTCACTGGGACCTGCAGATGCTATAAATGGACTGTCTCTGCTTAAAACTGATTGGATTCTTAGCTGGTATCTTCAGAGAGCCACACTTTCCACCTGAAGAATATTCATGGAACATTTTGAAGAGAAGATAATTATAGAATTACTTACCCCAAACCAATAGGATCTTCTTGGTGAGCTGCAGTATTCAATGCTTTGTAATGTCTATACTTCAGAAAATAGTTCAGGCAGCCACTTCCTAATCCCTGTAATTAGTGAAAAGATGCTTAAATTAATCTCTTTGTTGTCTGAGAAAGTTTGCACTGAAAGATTTACAAGGTAAATTAAGGACCTTGCTAATTAAAGAGATTGTTAAGTATAGTTTTCCCTCACAAAGACAAATCTTACAAAATTCAAAGATCTTTAGGGGAAGTATACTACAATGTTAATTATACTTCTATTAAAATATGCAAAATAGAATATATTTAAATGCAGCATTAAACAATTTTATTTTACTCATAACACTTCTGTTCATCAAAAATCTTCAAAGGCAGAGCATGATGGGGTGAAAATGGTGACAACTGTACTTGAACAACAATAAAAAAAAAATCAGAGGCACCCTGGCTGGTGTAGCTCAGTGGATTGAGTGCTGGCCTGTGAACTGAAAGATCTCCAGTTCAATTCCCAGTCAGGGCACATTGCCTGAGTTGTAGGCCAGGTCCCCAGTTGGGGGCATGTGAGAGGCAATTGATCAGTGTTTCTCTCCCTCTCTTTCTCCCTCCCTTCCCCTCTCTAGAAATAAATAGATAAAATCTTTAAAAAGGAAAAAAAAGGTAGTGCACATAACGCTCTCAGTTTAGACTGGCAAACCACTGGTAGTAAATGACAGCTGCGAACATGATTGATAGCAATACTGAAAGTAGCAATTCCACTCTTATCAGCAACTGCTCTAATACGCATATATTAAACGTACGTGAACATACACAGAGAACAGATACAAATGGATATGTAAGTCTGGAGGATATTAAACTGAAGACAAGTTTGTTCTCTGGCCAGAGTGATTGATGACACTAAGGCTACGAATTTATTACATTATATATCAAGGCCATTTAAAATCTGAAAAACAAAGTATATATGTACTTGGATAATGTCCATGTTGTAATTTATTATGAGTTGACAAATCTAAGAAATGAAAATGAAAATACTATTCAGTTATCTTCCACCATTTATATTATGAACATGCAATATACTTGAGAGAAGGGATGGTGTCTTGTTCATTTTTGTATCTGTGCTTTAAGCATCACCTGGAAGGATGGATGCAAGGCAAGTATCTGTTGAATGATTAAAAGAATGAATGAGTGAATGGCATACTAAGGTGAACAGTCTGTTTAGCAAGAAGATTTTTAAGGACCCAAAAATATAAGGGTCCTTTAAAATTATCAAGCAGCAAATCCTTCAGGGAGCAGTTACCCTGCCTCATTCAATTTCAGGTCTGGAAAGATGGCATGAACTTGGGAAATCCATAAACTCGGTTATGGTTCTGGATGTCCTTGTTGGTTCCTGATGGAATTGGGCCTAAATCTGAATCCCAGGATCCATTCCTGCCCCAGTTTGCATCCCAAAGACTCTGAGATACCCAATAGTCACCCTAAACATAACTCAGAGAATTCTATTTTAGCTCTCAAGTGCCATATTCCTTGATATACTCCAGCATATATCCAACTATTACTTCCCATGAAGAAACTGGGACTTAGAGGGTTGCTAAAGGTCACACAGGGGCAGAGCTTCAGCTTCATTTCCTTAGACTCTTGGTCCACTGTTCATTTAAATGCTGATTTTACCTGACCTGGTAGCTCCATTGGTTAGAGTGTTGTCCCCATACACCAAGGTTATGGGTTCTATCTCTGGTCAGGGCACATACAAGAAGCAACCAGTGAATACATAAGTAAGTGGAACAACAAATCGATGTTTCTTCCTTTCTCTAAAAAATCAGTACATTTTTCCTGGCTGGCGTAGCTCAGTGGATTGAGCTCGGGCTCGAACCAAAGCATCGCAGGTTTGATTCCCAGTCAGGGGACATGCCTGGGTTGCAGGCCACGGCCCCCAGCAACTGCACATTGATCTCTTTCTCTCTCTCCCCCTCCCTTCCCTCTCTAAAAATAAATAAATAAAATCTTTTTAAAAAATCAGTACATTTTAAAAATTGAAATAAAATAAATGCTGATTTCGTATCGCTGTCCCTCTCCCTGTGTTCCCCTCTGCACGCATCTAACCTACACTTTGGGAGACCAAATGTAGGGATGGAAACCTAAGCTCAAACACAAAATCACGGTAGAAGCATGTGGAAGATGGTCTAATTCAACCCTCTAACAGTACAAATGAGGAAACCGTGGTCCAGAGAATAAGAGGGTCTCGCCTGGACTCATACAGGAGTTAATACCAGGCCAGTTTCCAAGGTTGCCCCAACTTGTGAGGACAACCTGTGTGCAGTTTTCCCTTTTTAGATCTTCAGCTCACAAATGTCCCTCGTCCAGTCCATGCAAAAATCAGCCAAAGCTTATTTCTGATGTGTGACCGGTGCGGAAGGGCCAGGGGACGTCCAAAATGGGAATCCAGCGCCACCCAATCCATGCCTGGCCCTCTGAACTCTCTCCCCGCTTCGGGCAGGTGGGAGTCTGCGGTCCGGGAAGCGTGAAGGCTCCCACTTTTGTGCCCGCCCGCTGAGTCCCTTCCATCCCGTTTGGGCTCCATACCCATCGGCGGCCTGCCCAGCCGGGAGATGAGGCTGGCGGGGGGCGCCGATCCTCAGGGAGCCAGCATCCTCTGAGCTCCACAGCCTGGGGAGCCTCCGCCCCTAGCAACGAGGCGCGCGTCGCTAGGGTGGGGGTTGTGGCGAAAAGCGTCCGGGCGCCCTCACAGGCTGCTAAACCGCAGTTCCGCTCTCCTGACGCCTCTGCTGGAGAACCCGCTGAGAAGGCCCCACCCCGCTTTCTTAGTGTAATAATGCGTTGATGAGGTTCCTGAGAAAAAAGACAGATGTGCCCAACACCACGCTGCCAAAAAAATCTATATAATGTAAGGAAAGCGGGTACAACAGAAATAGTTACGAGGAAACCCTTAATAAATATCACCCTTTAAATTGTTATTCGCCCAGATGACGGTTCCGCTTTATTTCTTTGGAGTTTCCTCTGATTCCACCCGGGCAGAGAGCCTTCCTTTGGACACTTTCCGAAGTCCCTCCATTCCTTATTCTTTTCATTCTTTCATCAAACCTTCATGGCCCACTACCATACCAAAGAGATCCCTCACTACCTTCTTGAGATCCAATGGTAAGACCGTTCTAGAAACCAATAGCAGCTTCAAGACGAAGTTTTTGGACCTGTAATCACATTGCTTTCACCGTCCATTCATGTCTGTATTCCTAGTTCATGGCATAGGACTTGGTAAGGGCTTGTTGAATGTTTGTTAAATAAGCGAACAAATAAATAAATGAATGCAGAAATCTTGGGCAATTTTTTTGCATCCTCGTAGGCGCCTCCTGCAGTGCTGATCTGTCAGCAGAACTGCCTTCAGTAAAGATTTGTGAAGTTTCTGAAAGGTAGGTGCCTGTGGGAGCAGGGATGGGGGTGGTGAGGGGCATTTTCCTTTACAGAATATCACCGTTGGCAATGGGGTCTGTCTTCCCCAGATTGGGAGTCCCCTCCATAGCACCCTTGATGGGATTCCTCTCGCGCTTGTTGACACTTCCTCGATGATGCACTCATTTCTTTCTGGTCAGTGGCTTGTTGTTAGACTTCTGTCAGGAGCTGGAATCTACCCTCTTGCCTCCTGTAATGCTGATCTTAATTCAGAGCTGAGGGCTCTCCCTACAAACTTAGTCCCTTTTCCCTATAACAGCCTGGCAACCTTCAACCAAGAGAGACTGATTGATTTGCCCTGGGGCACTGGGCTAGGCTCAGTGCACCAAACACTTGACTTACCAGATCCCTGCCCTCAAAATGATGTGGCTCTGGTGATGTAGTGCACCCCACCTGCATTATGCTTTAGGTTTAAGGCACCTGAGATTTCCAAACCGGTATCTCTAGACAGACTTTCCCCAGACCTGTATATCCACCTGCTTCCTGCCCATCTCCACCTGGGTATGTGAAAAACAACTCATCCTTGACATGACTCACACTGGAAACATTATCTTCCCCCCAAACCTGTTCTTCCTCTTTTCTTTCTGAGTGCAGGGGCACTACCATTCACTAATCAACCACAGCAAGGCTATGGGAGTCATTTGTAACTTCGCCCTTTCTTCCTCCTCCTCCAGACTGCATGTCCTTCCTTTGTGCTTCCAAAGGCCCTCACACTATGCCCAACACAGAGTGACTCTTCATTTACTTGTCTCTCTCTTTTCTGTATGCTCCATGTGGGCAGTGACCGAGTCTTATTTACACCTGTATCTATTGCTGGTGTCTAACAGAGGGTCTCTAGCCCAGCACTGCAATAGAACATTCCAGTCTGATGGAACTGTTCTTATATCTGCTCTGTCCAAGCCACCTGTGGCTATGGAACACCAGAAATGTGGCTAGTACAACTGAAGAACCGAATTTTAAATTGTATTTAACTTTAACTTTAACTTTAAATTTAAGTAGCCACATGTGGCTGTGTGGCTATGGCATGAGACAGCACAGGTCTTATCCAGCACATAGAAGATCTTCACTGAGTATTGTTGAATAAAGAATGAAAGGGGAAGGCAGTCGTGGACAACTGTTTAGGACACAAGATAGAATGATATGGGTGTAAGCTACATCATTTCTTTTTTCCCCTCAAGATTTTATTTATTCACTTTTAGAGAAAGAGGAAGGGAGGGAGAAAGAGAGGGAGAGAAACATCAATGTTTTGGAGATACATCGATCAGTTGCCTCTCACATGCCCCCAGCTGGGGACCTGGCCCACAACCCAGGCACGTGCCCTGACTGGAAATTGAACCAGTGACCCTTTGGTTCGTAGGCTGGTGCCTAACCCACTGAGCCACACCAACTAGGACAGCAGCATAATTTCATGTACCTCCTTTTTCCCCCTCACCTTTCATCCCTTTGGCCTAACACTATCAGTGCCTCCAAATCTGCCTTTTATAAATATAATCCTAGTTCATGGCTCTTTATTGCCCAGACTGATTTTTCTCTCCTGGACTTGCCCAGTTTGATACTGTCCATCTCTGAAGTGAACTGGTCCTGACAGCCCTCTGGAGATGAGGTCTGGTCTCATACAGTCTGGTCTGGTCTGGCCTGGCCAGAGCAGAAGGGACTCTCTCTCCCTCAGGGTCTGGATTTCACAGGGGACCCATGTGGTCTGCACTGGCAGGCTGCCAAGTTCTTCTAAAAGGTGACAGTTTCTGTTGGTTGTGCTGTGAAGACATCACGGGAGAAAAGAAGCCACAGCATTGGCAGCCTTTTGGCCACTCCTGGAAACCGTGCAAACCCCCGTCAGATGACTTCCAGCCTTGACACCAGAGATGCTGGTTGGATCAGGGTGTGAAGAGGAAGGAGGCAGGAGGATACACCGGGGCCCCTGCCGGGCAGGCAGACAAGGGCTGGGCCTGAGGTTGGAGAACAGGTCTGAGGGACGGTAAAGGTCAGGGGAGAACAGTTCTTTCCCATAGACCTTCCCAAGTGCTCAATACCAAAAAGTTAAAACAAAAAAAAAAAGTCCCAAACCAAATGTCATAAATGAGTAAGTGAAATGGCAGGTTACAGAGCAGAATTTATAGATGAGTCCAATTTTATAAAAAATGAGTACATTCCTACTGTAGGTCATACACGGCATGGGGCTAATGAATATTTTATCCTGTGTGAGGGTGTGTTAGATATACCTGGAGCACCTTTTTCAGAATGTAAATTGCGCACAGTTCTTTGGCGACAGGGGAGCTGAGGTCATGGCATAAAAAGACATTTTGCCGTGGCTGGCCCCTCTGTGTGGGAAACTCCTTCCCAAATATTCTCCAGGTGTACTTGCCGTGTTTATCCAGGGCACAGGCCCAGGACCACTCCTCCGAGAGACCTCCCAGATTGGCCTTTCTAGATCTGCACCTCCATCCAGCTCCCCTTCCTATTCTGCCTGAGTCCTCTTCCTAGCCCTTATCACCCACCAACATACTACATTTCCATTTACGGTATTTGTCCCGGAGAGTAGACTTTGTTCTTCTTTATGGTTGTATTCTCATTGTCTTAAATACGACCCAGGACATAGGCAGGCACTCAATAAACCTGCTGAATGATGAAAATGTAACAAAGGTGTCCATTCTTCTCCATGCCCAGCTCAGGGTGTCCTACCTAGGCAAGCCCTAAAGTTCAAGTACAGCCTTTACTCCCACCAAGGCTCCAGAGGTTACCTTAGAGCAGCAGCTTTCAAACTTTTTTGACCATGACTCTCAGGAAGAAACACATTCAACCCCACTACTCATACTCAGTACAAGTATGTAATACATGTATATAGTACATGTACTATATTTAACAGCAAACAAGCAGAAAACCCTTACTATGAACAATGTTTTCTATTTCTTCTTTCTTTTCTTATTTTTAAAATGCTGGTCTCTACCCCTTGAATTGATTTTGCCACCGACTAATGGCGGCCACTGGCGGTGTTTGTAGGAGTGTCATTCGTCAGAGGTCTCATTTGTACCCTAGTTGCAGTGTGATTGCTACAAATGCAGATTCCTGGCTCCACCCCAGACTTGGCGAATGAATGAGAATCTCACTGGAAAGTCTGCATTTTTCACAACCCCTCTCCCTGCCCACCCCAGGTGTCTCTGGGGCCTGATAAAGCCTGAGAGTCACCACTTAGGAGTTTATGAGTGTTCCGAGGCCTCACGTGAGGACAGGTGTTGGGCAGGGCCTGATGCAAACTAAGGGAAGGGGCTGACTTTCCGGTTCCAGTCTGCCTCAGCCCCTGAAGGGTGGAACTGATGATTCTGATTCCGTGAAAGTAAATCTAGTCCCACATAAGTCCCTTTCACTTTCCAGTCCCTCTGCCTGAAAGAGCTTCTGGTGATTTGGCTGCTTTCCTGACCCTAGGCCTCCCGAGGCCTCGGACTGCTCCAGGGCCACACCCAGTGCAGAGGCCCTACCTTCCCCAAGAACCTCAATCTCTTCTTCCTCTCCCTGCCCTCTGCAGTCTCTTTTCCCTTCACACAGAATCACCTTCTGTTTTCTCTGTTCGTACCATAAGGGTTACTAGGCCTCCCCACCCCCAGCCCTTAGAACAAAGAAATTCTAACCACAATCGCTAATGATAGTGGCCCATTTCCTTCCCCACCTCTAGAAGAGGGCAAATGCTGTTCTGAGGTCGTCACCCTCCCATTGGGATGGATGCCAGGAAACCTGCACCCAGTCCTCACACAATTTACATTCTGAAAACCTGCTCCAAGTAGATGTATTGACCCTCTCACCTATAATAAAGCCCTTATTAGCCCTGAAGTGCATGCCATACACCCAAGCTAACAGTTCTTTGCAGACAAGATCTCATTTGATTCTTGAAATAGCCATCAGAGATAGATACTTTTATCACCCCCATTTGAGAGCCGAGGAAACTAGGCACAGCTGGACTAGATCATCCAACCGAGGTCCGGTCGCTGTAAGAGGCGTAGTGCTGAGGCTGGCAGCTGCCCTTGCTGACCTCAGGGACTGACTCCATAGGGGCTGAGAGAAGGGACCAGCTCTCTTCCATTTGTGTAGTAGCCCAGGTGCTTAAAGGTACCTCAAGGTAGAGGCGGGTAGGTGCCTGAGCGCCTACATGCTGGAAGACACAGTGATGTTTCTCTTTCCGATTTTGCTCTCATGGTGTCCAATTCTGCTGAACTGAGAATACCCACTAATCCCCAAGGCCTGGCTCCTTCTCCCTTTGCCTGAGTTCTCCCCTCAGCCCTCTGCCAAGACCTGCTAAAATGCAGTTTGGGGGTTGGGGAGCAGCGTTCTTCTTGTGTGCCCAGGAGGAGTGGACTGGAGCCCCGGCAGAGTGTTCAATTAGGGCTTAGACTGATATATCAGCTCCGAAGAAAGAAAGCCCCAAGACGGCTCAGGCACTCGGGGATGGGTTCTTCTTCCACATGCTTATTTGCATAGTCTAGTTTTTTTAATAAACATGCATTAATCTTTTTCACTACTAGTTTAAAAATTTTTTCAAATTAAGAAAATTTTAATGTAAATACTTTGGAGAAATCGGCCTAACACGGATGTTCCTCATTGGGCATTAACGTGCAATTAAAAATCATTACTCATATTAACCACAAGTCAGACAGCCCGATTTCCAGTCTCAATGCTACCAATTAGTGACTGTGACCCCTGGCAAGTTCCTTAACCTCCATCAAAACGGGGATCATCAGACTTTCCTTGCCCTAATAGATGCTTAGCAGTTGCAGCCTCTGCCTGTGCTCCAGATACTGTTTTAAGTGTTTTAACTCCTTCAGTCCCCATCACAACTCCTAGAGGTAGGTACCCTCCTTATCCCCACTTCACTGCTGAGGCCTTGGAGGGTAGGTACTCACCAGTGGGCAGCCACATGGGTGGTAAGCTTCGACAGTCTGTTACCAGGAACTAGCTTTAAGCTAGTACTTGTCTAAAGATGCCCCTCAAAAAAAAAAAAAAGGCTGATTGTATTACGTGATAGAACACTTATAAAGCGCTTAGCAAAAGCCTGGTACTTATAAATGCTGAATTAACTTTCCTACAGTCACATTAATATTTGCTGTTTTGTGTTTGTTGTAAAACAAGCCCGATACAACGCGACTTAATTCAGCAAATCAAAAACAAACAAACAAACAAAAAACAACTGCTGAAGCAGGAGGGATGTGGGCCAGGGTCCGGTCGAGGGTGTGGGGCGGGTACCCAACGAGCCGCGAGAACTGGGCGGGAGGAAGCTCGGTGGCCGCGGGTGGGGGCCGGGAGGCGGGGTCAGGAGGCCCCGCCCAGCGGGCACCTGCGACAGGTGGAGAGCTTGGCGCCGGGCGGTCGCTCGGCCATGTCTGCGGAGAGCGCGGGACCGGGACCGGGACCCGAGCCGGGACCGGCAGCTGAGCCGGGACCTCTCTGCCCGGAGCACGGCCAGGCTCTGAAGTGGTTCTGCTTTTCCGAGGGACGACCGGTGTGCGCCGTCTGTACGGAGCTGGGCGGCCGCTGCCAGGGACACCGCATCCGCCGGGCGGAGGAGAGCGCAGAAGAGCTGCGGGTGAGCCGCCCTGGGTGCCGGAAGGCGGGGGGCTCCGGAGGGAGGGCGCGCCCAGCGCGGGAGGCGCTCTGGGCGAGATCCGGCTGGGACCCGGGGGCCGGGCCAGGAGCCCAGGCTCCGCAGTGGTACTACTGGCTGTAGAACGAGGCGGTTAAAGGGTGTGGCCCCTGGAGACCTGAGTACGAATGTCACCTCCGTCCGTCCTCCTTGTGAACCACATAATCCTGTGAGACTCAGTGCCCCCATCTGTAGTTTGGGGGCAATAATAGCGCGCATTTATTAGAGTTATAGTGTGATAGAAATAAGATAATAGGATCACACAGTGGTGGATCCAGCTGCCCAGCTTCTCCGTTGCCCTGCTGAAGAGGCCAGGAACCCGGCCTGGCCTTGGGTAATAAAGGGCCCAGCTGCTCCAACTCCCACCGTCCTGGTGGAAGCTGATCTCTGGCAAAACCCAGCCCTTGCACACTCCTCAGCCCCGTGGCTCAAAACCTCTCCGCCCCTTCACTGGTCAGGGTTCCTGGTGAGGTGATTCTTTTCCCTTTCAGGATTGGCCTTGACTGTACTTCAATCTGGTTTCACCTGAGTGAACGGAGAGGGCGGGCAGGAATCAGGAGGTTCCTGCTGGAACCCTTTACCTAGGGTTTCTTTCCCCCTCCGACCTCCACTGGACTCCAGGCTGGTCCCCTTTCTGTCACCACCCCTCCCTGAACTGCAGAGATTGGAGAGTCAAGTCACCCTCGGGCTTCCTCCCTCTTTCCACCCTACCTGTGGCCACTGGGGATTTCCTTGCAATTTGATTAAAAGGCTTGATTCTTCCAGCCTCTCCCTGGAGTTCTGCCCAGCTGTGGAAGCTGAGGGCTCTGGCTGGAAACTTGCCTCCTCGGACTGGACTGTAATGAACACCTCTGACCGGGTCCTGGGGCCAGGAGGGATTCAGTTATTGAGTGACACCCGAAAGCTCCTGGTTGGCCCTACTCGTCACCATGATCCACAACAGAGATTATGAAAATGAACTTGGATAATGTAGTTTAATAAACTTCCATTATGCACAGAAACTTTGCAAGTTCCAAAGCACTTAAATATTCATCATGTCATTCCATCCAGACCAAGCCCCTTTGAAGGAGTGGTCCTGCCTACATTTTATAGATGAGGACACTGAGGCCCAGGACAGGACAGGAGCTCCTCCCGGGTTTCTGCTGTTCGGGGCTGGACCAGGGCAGTCGTCGCCTAGACCAGAGGAAACCATTTCTTTGCTTCAGTGGTTGGAGGGAGGAAGTGATGTTAATGGGAGTGAGAATTTAGTGTAAACTTTTTTTAAAAGTTGCCACCAGGGCTGAACTGGAGTGGTGGGTGGGGTGAAGGCTGGGGCAGGGAGGCCGGCCTGATGCTTGTTTTGGAATGCACTGGTCCTGGGACTCCCTCCCTGAATGCTCCTGAGGCCCTGGGTGTGCTCACCTTCTTTGCCTGGAGAGAGGTGTTTCTTGCCCTTTTTTCTTCCAGTTTTGATTAGATTGGGGCTTTTGTACACTCTTCCCCTACTCCTCCAGCCAGCAAACACATTTCGCTCCAGGGCAAGATTATTCGTGAAATGAGCAAATACAGCACCAGTTCAAACAACTTTTCATTTACCTTCTGGATTCCTGTCCCTATAACCTTTTAAAAAGCCAGTATAGTTCCTTCTGTCCTGTGGTGTGTGCTGATCCCAGCTTCCTCCCAGTCAACTCAATTTTCTAGCCTTGTATTTGGACTGGCGAAGTGTAGTGCTCATTCCTACTTTGGGGGGTGGAGATATGCAAGGGCTTCCCAGAGATAGCTGAGCTGCCTTCTGGAAGGTGGAACTTGGGCCATGCTCTTTGGGGAAATAGTGGAGGGGCTGCTGCTTGGAAGGGCTCCCACTGTTATGTGGAGACATGGAGGGGGAAAGCAGGGGCCTGGCCGCATCTCCTTGGGTAAGTCACTTCTCTGCGGGCCTCAGCTAAATTTCTAAAACTCTCCCCTGCTCGCATGGGCGATGCTCGCAGATTTGGGGCTGTAAACCGCTGAACTTCTTGTGGTCAAGGAAATGGGTTTTATTCATTCAACAAATATGCAATATTTACTTATTCAGGGCCTTCTATGTATAGGAACTGTCTTCTAGGTAGTGGGACATAGAGAATAAATCAAGTCAGGGTGCTTATGTTCTAGTGGTAGGGGGAAAAGATACAAAAAAGATAAACACATAATATACAGTCAGGAATGATAGTACAAGGGAGAGAAAAACGGGCAGAGTAAGAGAATGGGGTGTGGAGGTGGATGAGGAAGACTTGTGAAGGAATGGTATGTGAACGGAGGGGGGAGGGGCAAGGCACGGAGATGTTTGGGAGGAGACTGCTGGAGATAGGAGGAGCAACAGGCACAAAGGCACTGAGGTCAGGACAAAGTCATTGTGTTTATGGAACAGAAAGGAGGCCAGTGTGGAGGGTGGAAGGAGGTAACACTGGGGAGATAGGCAGAGTCACATCAGCTAGGGCCTTGTTGGCTAAGGTAAGAAGCTTGATCTCACCTTGCTGTGGGTGTAATGGGAAGTCATCGGAGAGTTTTGAGCAGGGATAGTGACCTGATCTGATTTCCTTACAATATGTGGCAGTGTCTAACTGTGGGGTTCAAGAATGAAAGCCCAGTTTGGAGGCTCTGACAGTGGTTCCTGTGAAAGATAATGGTGATCTGGGTAGAATGGCTGGAGTGGAGGTGACCAGCAGTAGCCAGAGGAAAGACAGACACTTTGGAATGGGGCTGGTAGAACTCACTGGTGGATTAGATGGGAGGTTAGAGAGTAACTTTTTTTTTTCTTTCTGGATAATGAGGTTGATGATTGATGGTGCTATTTAATGAATGGTGGCGGTGGGTACTTGTGGAGGAACAGTGTGAGAAGCCATGCTCTTCTGCTTGGGTGCGTGTACGGAGGGTCAGGTAGCTGAGTACAAAGGAAGACAGAGTGTGTGCAGGAAAGTGATTATAAAATGGGCCGTGGATTTTCAGGATAGATAGAATCGAGGCCACCCTATGGGGGTGATGAGCAGTGAAAAGAGCTAAGACTCATGTACTGGCCTCTCCAACTGGGCTGCCAATTCTAGAGTTAGTGATCTAGAAGGAAGGGGCGGGGGGTAGGCAGGGTATGGGATTTTTGAAACGAAGATTTTGGAGGCGGTATAGCTTTCAGTAGTGATGAGGTCAAGGGTATCACCTTGGGAGTGGGTGGCGGAAGGGGGTAAAGGAAAAAAATCAGCAGAATGGAGTGAGTAGATCATCATGGGTCAAGATGCCACGGGTGTTGTTTGTGTTGCAGAACAAGATCGTGGACCAGTGTGAGAGGCTGCAGCTACAAAGTGCTGGCATCACCAAGTATGTGGCTGAGGTCCTGCCGGGGAAGAGCCAGAGAGCAGTGGTAGGTAATTCTTCCCCTTTTCCCTCTCCCCTGGGTCTTGTCCTAGGAAAAGACCCCAGTGTTAGGGGCTTGACCCAGTCTAGGGGCCTTTCCCAGCCTCACAAACTCATTGTGCTGCTAACACAAAGCCAGATGCCTGGAAGGATGGTTTTTCTCTCTGAGCCTCGGTTTTACCACCTGGGGAGAGTATCACGCGGGGTGCAAAGGCTGCTAGAAAGTGCCTTTGGGGGCTAAGGGATCATGAAAGGTAGATTTCTTCTACCATCTAATTATTTTGTGCTCAGCCCCAGAATTATAAAATAACCTAGGGACTTTTACGTTGAGTATTCTTTTTTTTTTTAAAGATTTTATTTACTTATTTTTAGAGAGGAAAGAGAGAGATAGAGAGAGAGAAACATCAATGTGCGGTTGCTGGGGGTTATGGCCTGCAACCCAGGCATGTACCCTGGCTGGGAATAGAACCTGGAACATTTTGGTTCCCAGCCTGCGCTCAATCCACTGAGCTACGCCAGCCAGGGAGTATTCTTTATAACAGTCCTATGCAGTAGGTGGCAGCAACATCCCTGTTTACAGATGGTTAACTGACTTGACCAAGGTCCCATGGCCTCCTGCCGGAGTCAGTTCTATGACCTGGATCTTCTGACTCTCTGGCCAGTGCTCCTGCTGCTACTGCACCCGTCCCCGATCCTTTATTCAGCTGACTGATTACCATGGCTCCATCTCTAAACAATGCTTTTCTTTTCCTTTTTTTAAATTTAATTAATTTATTTTTGGAGAGATGGGAAGGGAGGGAGAAAGAGAGGGAGAGAAACATCGATGTGAGAGAAAAACATCGATTGGTTGGCTCTCAAACACCCCCAACTGGGGACAGGTCTGCAATAGGACCAGTGACCCTTCGGCTTGCAGGATGACACCCAAGCCATCAAGCCACAGTAGTCAGGGCCCAAGAATGCCTTTCAAGGACAGGGGCTATGACTTCTTTCCACATGTTTCCTCTCTCCCTCCCCCATAGTAGTACATGAGAATGGACCGTGGGGGTTAGTAACATGCACAGCATTAGGGGTCCTGACAGGAGGAACTGTGTAGGGTGGCGGGGTGAAGGCCTGGTTGGAGTGGGGTTCCGAGAGAATAGGAGAAGAGCAATTTGGGATATTGCGCACAGGCAACTCGTGAATGTTGCTATAGCAGGGCGCTGAGAAATGGGAGGATGGTGCAGAGAGATAAGGGATCCAGAGGGTGTTTATTTTGTTTTTTAAGACGGGAGAAGTTACTTCATGTGTGTAAGCTGATGGGAGTTTTCCAGTAGAAACGGGAAAATTAATGACGCAAGAGAAAGGAAGTTCAGGTACAGCAAAGGGGGTGGGATCCAGGAAACCAGTGGACGGGTTGCTCGTAAGTAAAAGCGTGGGCAGCTCATCCACAGAAACGGAGCAGGCGGAGCGAGCAGAGGCGCAGGGAAATGGGTTGGTGATGGGAGGGCTTGTGGGAGTTCTCCTCTGACTGCTCCCGTTTTCCATGATTTATATCACCTTTCCTGCAGGTTCTTAATGATGCCCCTTGTCAGTTTACAGACGTGTTTTGTTCTCCACCAGTCTGTTAATATGGTAGTACATTCATAGAGTCTCTAATGCTAAACCATCCTGGAATTCCTGGGGAAAACCAACTGGACTCGATCATAATGTACTTTTTTTAAACTTTTAATTTTGAGATAAGTGTAGATTCACATACAGTAAATGCAGATTCACATACAATGGTGACGGCGTTCCTAACTATGGTATTTTATATCAAAACCTGGAAATTGACACTGATCCAGCTCACCTCACTCAGATTTTACCGGTTTTACATGCACTCATTTGCGCGTGTGTATTTCATTCTGTGCAACTTTATCACGTGTATAGATTCACGTGACTTCCACCACAATCGAGATACAGAACAGTCCATCATGAGGATCCCTTGTGTCACCCTGTTATAGCCATGCCCTTCTCCTCCTTCCCCTTGTGTCATTGTTATACACGGTTTCTGGGTTTGGGTTGCTGATCTTAGTTTAGGGCTCTTAAAAAGCATTTTTGCATGTATACTCAGGCGTGAGATTAGCTATGTATGAGTTTCATTTCTTGTGTGGTCCTTATCAGATTTTGGTACTGAGGTTATATAAGCCTTATTCAGTGAGCTGGGACACAGAATGCTCTGTCTCGCTGAGGGAGCTTGTATAAGTTTGGGATTATCTGTGCCCTAAATGTTGGTGACACCCTCTGTAAAACTGTCTGGGTGTGGTGGTTTATTTGTTGGTAGATTTTTTACCGATTCATTTTTCATCGTAACTATAGGATTTTTCCTGGTTTTCTTTTCCCCTTTGGTTTGAGTCAATTCTTTCTGGAAAAATTATCCATTTTCTCTGTTGTCGTGTTGAGTGCTGATCACAGGCGTCCCAGGTGTGTCTATCATGTTAGTCTTCAAAGGACCGACTATTCATATTTTAACTGGTTTCTAGTTTCCTTTCTACTTTTGGACTCTGGGGGATTTCCTTTACTTAGCTGCCAGAGCAACTTCACTTTTAAAAGGATGCTTTGAGCTATTTTTCCAGCATTTCTGTGTTTGTTCTCCGGGGTTTTTAATTTACTCTGTCGTATCTTTGGAAAGGGGAGTCTATTTGTTTTTTTTTTTTTCTGTGCTATTCATTTCTAGGAATGACTCGAGAACCATGTTGAAATTGACTGGCCTCTTCTAGTCAGGGAATATCTGATGCCTCTCGGGTCAGGGTTTGTTCTTGACCTCGACCACACAGTATAAACACGGCCGCAGAGACTCGCTGCTGTGGGCATCGGAGTGGGACCGGGAAGAGCAATGGCTGATGTTACTGGTCACTCATGTGCCAGCTTTGTTCTGTTGACATGTACTAGCGCATGTAATCCTCACAGTGGCCTTGTGAGGTAGATGCTATTATTCTCCTCAGCTGACAGATTAGGAAGCTGAGGCACAGGGACAATAAGGAACATGCTCAAAGTTCCACATGTAACCAGTGGAACAGCTAAGATTTAAACTTTGGCACTGCCTCTCAAGCCTCATTGCCCAGCCCCTTAGTTTTGTTGCCTCAAGAGAGCACTGAAGTGGAGTCTGAACTCCTGAGTTCACTGGGCCGTGCGCCTCGCCACTCCTTCTTCCCTATCGGGCAAATGACGGGTCTCAGTTTCTTCTGTTAAACAGGGATAATTGTCACCTGTACTGCACAAAGCAGGTCTTCAGAGCCAGGGCACAGGAAGCTGTTGGCTATCCCTAACTCTCTGGCATCACTGTTGCTCTCTTACTTATCTGGCAAGAGGGCAGGTGCTTCATGCAACAGACGCCTTTGGGTAGGATAGATTACCTGGTGGCATTGGTGTGGGGGGATAGGCTTGAATTGAGAGTCAGGAGAACTGGGTTCTAGTCCCAGCTCTGTCCCTGACTGGGCATGTGAGTGCTACCAAGAGATTTTTGACTAAGTGGGGGAAAAACTTCCCATCAGTCATTCAGTAAATATTGGAGTGCCTACTGTGTGCCAGACATGGTGCTAGTTGCTAGGGGGCACTCGGTAACTCCACTGCCTGAGGACTGACTTCAGGCCTCCCGTGTGGCAGGAAGAATTCTACCATGGAAGCAGCTGGAACAGACATATTAGGAAATAATGAGGTTTTTGTTCCCAGATGTGGTCAAAAATATCAGCTGGACTGCTGTTGGTACAGATCCTGTCAACGGGAATGACTTTTTAGTCCCTCTCTGTTCTGTAGTTCTGTGACCTGTGACCTTGGTCTCTTGGTCCTGGTATTCCCGTCTCTGAAATAAGCAGATGATTCTAGTTATTCTCTAGGCCCCGCCCAGCTCTTCCATTCTGGGAGCCCCGTGCCCTGAGATATGGGCTGAGTGTCTGGATTTTACATTTCCTTCTCCTAAACCGTATCTGGGGACTCAGGGCGGGAATGGCTTGAGCGCTGTTACTGCCACCACAGTGTGTATGGTAGACGCTGCTCATCAGTCCCCACACTTCTTTTGGCCAAGCCCAAGCCCTCCTGACCTTGACTGGGGCTAGGCCAGGATCCGACTCTGTTTTTCATCCCTCGTCAGAGCATGGCCAGCGCAGCGCGAGAACTGGTCATCCAGCGCCTGGGGCTGGTCAGGAGCCTGTGTGAGACTGAGGAGCAGCGGCTGCTGGAACAGGTTCACGGTGAAGAGGAGCGGGCCCACCAGAGCATCCTGACGCAGCGAGTGCACTGGGCCGAGGCTCTGCAGAAGCTCGACATCATCCGCACCAGCCTGGTGGACATGCTCACCCAGATGGATGACCTCCAGCTGATTGTAAGTCAGGCCAGGGTAAGGGCGCTACCGACTGGCCAGTCTCTCTGAAAAGTCCAAAAACATTGAGAATGTTTATTGGTAGGAGGTGGGTGGATAAGGATAATTTGGGGCAGGGATGAGACAGGGGGATAAAATTATTATGGATTTTTTTTCTGTACCTGGTACTTATTCTTTCAATAATGAGCAAACATTTACTGAGTGCCTGCTATGCGCTAAGCATTGTGCTGTGGGGTGGAGTTGCAGGATACAGCTGTCAGGGACCCTCAGCCTTGTGGAGGAGACAGATGCATAAACTGATGATTAGGATAGGGAGTGACAGGTGCTGTGGTAGATGACATTCCTGGGAGCTAGGGACCCCACAAGCCAAACTTGAGGGGGTCAGGGAAGGCTTCCTGGGCGAGTGACTTAGAAGCTGATGCCTGAAAGATAAGAGTCGCCACTATGTTAAAGGAAGTACGAGGGTGGAGAGAGAACTCTGTACTTGAAGGGCTGACAAGGGGTCCAATATAAAGACAGACAGACCAACTTTAATCCTACCAACTGGAAATGGCCAGGATTCATATTTTGGCACATATCCTTTCAAAGTATTTTAGGCAGATGTGCAGATGCCTGCTGTCTTAAGGGGCAACGTGATGTCTGCATAGACACGCCAAGCAGAGAAATGAGAATGTAGAGCAGCCGAGCTCTCTGTCCTCTTGCAGTTCAAGTAGGACAGTTCCCAGGGCCGCCCTAGATCATGTATCCGTTCAGTCACACAGCTGCCACGTGCCGAGCTCATTCCGTCCCAACACTGGGACAGTCACAGCAGGAGATTCAGAAAGGGCCCCAGCTGTCTGCTTGCTGACTGTCTTGTGGGGGATAAAATGTTGGGTAAATGCGTGTTTGTCCTGAAGTGTAGCTGAGGGAAATTCAGGACAACACGGGGCCCAGCGACAGAGTGATGTGTTCTGAGTGCGGGGTGGGGGGATATGCAAGGAAGAACCCAGGTAGCTTTGTGCTGCGTCTTAAAGGAGTAGAACTTTTTATTCTAGAGTTTCTGCCCCTGTGGAGCCCTCCATGCCAGTTGAATATATTTAAGTCTTGACTGCCTGCTGGGTTCTGATGCCAAGCCTGACTCTTGTTTTCTTGTCTCACAGCAGAAGGAGCAGGAGATTTTTGAGAGGTGAGTATGGCCCCATAATTCACTTGGGCAGACATGGAAACCATGGCCTTGGGGCCTCTAAGCAGTCCATTGCATTCAGACTCCACTGCCCAGGGTGTGTGGTGGAGGGGTTTCTCTGGAGCCAGGCTCGCCGGACAGGGGCCCTCCTGGCTCTAGCTTGGAGAACTGCTTTAGACCCATGTGTAAGGGCAGTGAAATAATCACTTACCCATCGGGCTTACCACAGCCTAACCTAACATGATTAAAAACTGTACTGTCACGCTGTTGGAGGGTTTTACCACCTTCTCCTGATGAGAATGCTGAGACTCACAGAGGGGAAGGGACTTGCCCAAGGGCCAGAGCTGGGGCTGGGACCCACATCTGACACCTGTCTCAGGGACTCTCTTCTCACTCTCACTTTCTCTAATGAAAGAATCTTTGAAACCCTCAAAATTTGCATTTTCATTATGCAATAAGAAAAGAATTTCACCAGGCTCTACCTGGGTCCCAAAAGGCTGAGAACCAAGAGCCCAAGGAAGTAGCTAAAAGGATGTAATTTGCCAGGCAAAGAAATTAAATTCTTAATCTTCTTGTGCAAGATTTCATAGCTGTCCTTGGGGAGCACAGCCTGTTCTTCTGATCTGTTTTTGCATGTAGGTTTCACTAGCAATACATGTGTATGAGAGACCAAAAAATTTCCACCAGTATAAAACGATTAAATTAAAAATGAATCACCCCTTCCCAATCCCATTCCCTAGAGGTGATCAGTTTTAACAGTTAGTTGTTTGTCCTTGGGACTTTCCTACATATAATCATAGGAGAATATGTGGGGTGGTTTTTTTCCTCCTTAAAAAATATATTTTTTAAACACAGATGGGATCATTTTCTTCTTGCTGTTCTGTAACGTATTGGGCTCTCTTGGAATCTTTCCATGTCAATACATGCAGACTCACCTCCCTTCTTGAGGAGTCTGTGAGGTATTCCACGGCATGGACGCACCCCCATTCATTTCACTGTCTCCTTTTCAAGCGGGTTTAGCTTGTTCCTACTTATTCCCCTCCTGCGATCCTGCCCCACTTCGGCCAGGCCTCCTTTTCCCCCTTAGCTTCATCCTCGCCCTCTAACACAGTCCATCTGTCTTCAATATCAAGCTGGTGTGATTTTTGAAAAAAAATTTTGATTTTCGATTTTTTGTTTTGAAATATTTTAAACTTATAAAGTTGTAAAAATAGTATAATGACCTTCACCTGGAAGTACTGGCTGTTAATATTTTGCTAGATTTGCTCTTTCTTGCTGTCTCTTTTTTTTCCTGTTTATTTTTTTAAAGATTTAATTTATTTATTTTTAGAGAGAGAATGGAGGGAGAAAGAGAGAGAGAGAGAGAGAGAGAGAGAGAGAGACATCAATGTGCGGTTGCTGGGGGTCATGGCCTGCAACCCAGGCATGTACCCTGACTGGGAATCAAACCTGCAACACTTTGGTTCACAGCCTGTGTTCAATCCACTGAGCTACGCCAGCCAGGGTTCCTGTTTATTAAGTATATATGTATAAAACTTTTTTCTGACCTATTTGAAAGTAAGTTGCAGAAAACATGATCTTCTATTCCTAAATTTTTTAGCAGTTCTCTCCTAAGAACGAAGACATTCTCTCACATAACCACAGCATAATTATCAAGTTCAGAAATTTAATGTTGATATAATACTATTATCTAATGTATAGTTCACATTCAAGTGTTGCCAATTGCACCATAAAAAAAAAAACATTTTCAATGAGTCTCAGACAGTTGTTGTATAAAATACTCCTCACCTTGAGTTCATCTGATAGTACCTCATGGTTAGGTTCAGGTCATGCATTTTTGGCAGGAATACCTCGTAAGTGATGTGTCCTCAGTCTGTCCGAGCAGGGGCATGGGATATCCCTCTGTCCCTTTATCAGGGATGTTGATTTTGATCACTTGGATAAAGTGGTACTTACCAGGTTTCTTCATTATAAAGTTCTATCTTCCCTTTTGTAATTAATAAGGAATGTGAGGAGGTACTTTTTGTATAAATAGCCTGTTTACCTTCAACCTCCATGCAATAGTTCTAGTCTTCATTGGCGCTAAATTCCTTCCTGAATTATTTATTTGCTTGTTTGTTCACTCACATAGAATCAGTGTAGACTCCTGGATTCTTTTTTATTCAGTGCATTATAATCTGCTACTACTGCTACTAGTATTAACTTTATCTTCAAACTGCCCTAGATTGGGCCGGTTCTAGCCCCTTCAAGCTGGATCCCGGGATTTTTTTTTACAAGTCCTCATTATTCTTCGAGCTCTTGCTTGTGTTCCGGCACAAGATACAATGTCCGAGGCTCAGCTTGTTCTTGTCCTGCCTCAGCCCTGGAACCCTGTACTTCTCCAGAGAGTCTCGGTTCCTGTTAGTGGGGGGTAGCATTTGAAAACTGAGATCTGGGCAGATGCGCATTACTCCCAGTGTGACGTGGCTTCCAGGCCTTGGAAGTCCATGGACAGCAGACTGAGCTGGGGAGTGTGAGTGTGGTTTTCTTTCTTCACGAGTTTGTATCACAGCTTCTAATTCCCACGGGACACCGTCGCGAGTTTCCTTCGCCTTCTGCCGTTCCATGTCCGTGACTTCCTTCTTTCACAGTGAGGACCTCAGCAGCAGCAACAGCCTGTAGTCGTTTAGCCCTACGGCACACACAGCGCTGTCTGAGAATTGCCAAGTCCACACTGCTGTTGACAGACCTATTCGTAGAGGTTGAGATTTGTTTGGAGTTCCTTGTGCCTTTAGAGGTTGGATGCTCTCAAAGGACTGTGTTCAAAAGTTGCCAAGCCCCTTCTAGCTGGAAACCCACTTGTCTGAGAAGTGCCTTTATTTAAAGGCTCCAATTTTGTGTCCATGTCCCTGGCTGGGCTCAGCTCTGGCCTGTCGCCGCTGCAGGTCCTGCCGCACAGCCCAGGCCTTCTGATCCCAGCCAGGGCGCTGCTGTGTCCGAACCCCAGTTCTCTCTCTCCTTTGGAGTCACGAGCTTTCTCTTCCGTGCCATGAGGTACCTGGACTGGCTGGTTTTCTAGATTCTGGTGTCTATGAGCGGCCTCAGATTTGCCCTGGGATGATGGCTTAGCAATGCCGACACTGGCTCCTCCTCATCCCTCCCTCCCCGATGGCCGGGGCCCCTGAAGACCCAGCCTCACCGCTTTGAGAAGATGGCAACAGACCCTCTGTTGTCCTGACCACAAAGAGCCTTTGTTACTATAGCCTGTTCTCGGCTGTTCTCGGGCTCTGTTCACCTCCTTCCTCCCCAGCCAGCGAGTGACCGTCTTGCAGAGAGCTGGCATCCACGAGACATGGCCCACTCTCCCCGGCGCCCCCCCCTTCATTAATGGCAGAGCCATGAGATTGGGGAAAAGAGGGTACACTCTCAGAACGGCTGCCCCATCTCAAAGCCATCTTCAGGATTAGAGTCGGTGGGAAGTTCTTTCTCAGAACCCAGTTGAAAAGACTCTGCAAAGCTCTGTGGCAAATCCCCACTTTGCTCTATATCCCTTTGAGATTTCACCACAGGTAAAGGGATGTATTTTGTTGAATGGTGCCTGGACTCCCGCCTGGGTTCTCTTTTTGCCTGGAGGCAGGACTTGAATCCGGCTCCTCTTTTCAGCTGAATGCCTTCTCTGAGGCCCTGTTCTCTCCTGTCAAATGGGTACACAACTACCGCCCAGTTATACCAGACCAGACGATCTGAGATTCCATAGAAAACAGCAAGCCTAGAGATTGGCTGCTCAAATAAATGGCAGCCCTTTTTGTTAACCAAATCCCTCTCCAGCCAAACCCAGTCAGCCCCCACTGTGAGCTGAGGTGAGGCAGTTACTGGGAGCAGAGGGCTGTGAATAATTGACAGCTGGGGAAATAACTGAGCATCCCTAGCTGCGTGATCCGTGATCCCCTCCGGGGTGTTTGCATTTTAAGAGCAGAGGAGTTGACCGCACCTGCTGATGGAACCAAGGGCAGCCTTACCGCTGCATTCGGTTTTGGAGGAAGGTGACATTTTCTCTCTGGGCAGGGTGGTGGAGAGGAAAGACTGCCATTTAGAGGTGCGAGAGGCCCAAGTCCTAGTCCCAGCTCTGCTGCTAATGTACTAGATCCACGGCGAGTAGCTGCATCCGCAGAGCAAGTTGTGACACTGACACCAAGCAGTTAACGCCCTGTAAATCGTCTGCCTTGTGAAGAAATCGTCAAGGCCTCTTTGTGGGGCGAGGGGGCGGTGCACTGGGGAAATGCCCACCTTCCCTTTGGCCCCAGCCCTCCTTAGGGCAGCTCCTCTCTGGGGCCTGGCTTCCAATCTTGGTGTCAGCCTCGTGGGAAGAGGATTGACTTCTGTCCCCATTCCCCAGCCCCAGTCGCCATGTATGCGTCTAGAGACATTTCCAGAACGTTTCTGAATTTTTTTTTCCTTTCTTCCTTTCTGTTCAAGAACCGAGGAAGCAGAGGGCGTTTTGGATCCCCAGGAGTCGAAAAAGTTAAGCTTCGATGAGACATGTGCGTGGAGCCCTCTTCTGACCCAGCTCTGGGCGACAGCGGCTCTCGGCTCCCTCTCAGGTTAGGAGTTGCTACAGCCCAGCACCAGCTGAAGCAACTGGGCTTCTGTCTGTCTGTCTATCTGGGGTTTGCTGTGGGGCCAGCCTGGGGACGGGTGCATCTGGGATGGTAGCTTAAACAGCCAGTGATGCTGGGTGCAGGCTTGTCAGTGGGACCCAGGTACTGGAAAGGCCCGGGGCACCGGGACCAGGTCCTTCCTGTTTCCAGACCAGCCTGCCGTGTAGTCAGGCCTAGGATAAAACTTGTTCTTGTAAATCATGTCCTCTTTATGTCCTGCCCTACTGGGACTGCTCAGTATTCTTTACTGGCAACCTAGCTTCTCTTTAAGAAGATATAACTGAAGGCCAACTGGGGAGCACCTGGAACAAGAATTGAGTTGCCTGGAGTCGCCTCTCTTGTTCACATAACAAACGCTGATTCAGGCTGACCATGGGCCTGACCTTGTGCTGCATGCGGGGGCCACAGAGGTGGACATGACACGTCCTGCCTCCACAAATTCCCGCTTGGTGTGGGGGTTCTCAAAGTAGGCTCCCCCAAACTCAGTAGAAGTTCCCATCCTCCCAGTTGTGGTATTTGTGTGATTCACCGAATTAGGTTAATGAGTGGATTGATTTTTTTTTTTCTCAGTTCTAACCCTCCCTACCTCCTGTCCTATTATCCTTAAAATGTTAGTACATGCTGCTGGAATTCTCTACAATCAGGTATCATCTGATAATACTCCCCAATTTGCCAGTAGTCCTATTAGTTAGTGGTGGAAACTGCACACCCGATGCCTCGTCGCCCCCGGCGCCTGTGTCCCCAGGACAAGCCTGATCTGGAGGCTGCACATTTGCCCAGTTTGAATGCAATGTGACCAGGGCCAGAGGCTGGGTGTGGGGACAACATGCTGGGTTTTAATTTGGTCCCTGTCACCAACGTGATGCGTGACCTCGGGCAACTTGCCTCTCCTCTGGGCCTTACTTCTATCGGTGCTTACAGATGAGGGTCTTAGACAATAATAGTGCCTGTTACCATGGCTACAGTTTATGGCTACATGATGTTGCTAGGTGTTCTTCATCCACCCTATGGTAAGTCCTATTTTGATCCCCATTTTAAACTGGGGAGACTGAGGCTCTAAAGAGTAAATGGCTTGTATGAAGTCACACTGCCAGTGAGCGATAAGGAAGCCCTTCGCTGCCTGGCAGGACCAGGGTAGGGCCGAGGGTGGACCTCGGGCAACTCAGAGAATTCTTTCTGGCAGGCACAGAGGATGTGCGCATCGACGAGAGAACTGTTAGCCCCTTCCTGCAGTTGTCGGATGGTGGAAGGACCCTAACCTTCAACGCCAAGAAGTCCAAGGCCTGTGCCGATGGCCCAGAGCGCTTTGACCACTGGCCCAATGCCCTGGCCGTCACCTCCTTCCAGGCTGGGCTGCACGCCTGGGTGGTGAACGTGCAGAACAGTTGCGCCTATAAGGTAGGCGTGGCCTTAGGCCAGCTGCCCCGCAAGGGTTCTGGCAGTGACTCTCGTCTGGGCCACAACGCCTTCTCCTGGGTCTTCTCCCGCTACGACCAAGAGTTCTGTTTCTCGCATGATGGGCAGCACGAGCCCCTGGGGCTTCTACGGTGCCCGGCACAGCTGGGCATGCTACTGGACTTGCAGGCCCAGGAGCTGCTGTTCTACGACCCAGCCTCGGGCACGGTGCTCCACACCCACCGCGCGTCCTTCCCTGGGCCCCTCTTCCCGGTCTTTGCTGTGGCTGACCAGACCATTTCCATTGTCCACTGACCTTGGGCACTGGGGAGGCCAGGTGTGCCTCCCCACTCACCCTCGCAGGCCACGTTTCGACCCAGTATCCTTTCTCCAGACGTTACCTGTTGGCCACTGGGCAGCTTTTGGAGGGGTCGGCATCCATTTCAGATCTGGGTGCAACCATGAAATGCTGCTATCTGTGGGGAACCTGTGGCTCCCTGGGCTCAGCCCCCTAAAGGGACCCTCTGAGGCTGTCTTGTGCACCGCTGCATCTCTGCCCCCCAGCACGGTGCCTGCTGAGTGTGCAGCACGCATTTGGCCGGGGAGTGGGTGAGCGGATGGGTGCACGTAGAAGTGGTTCTCTGGCAGAATAGCCTGTGCCCGAAGTCCTTTCCTCCCCTCAGCTCAGTGCTTCCCCGTCCCTTTCACGACCTGGCGCCTACAGAAAATATTTTTCTAGCACACAAGGACAGCCTGGAAGGGACCTGGAGCTCCTGTCAGGCTGCTCCGGTCAGAAGACTCTAGCCTGGGGGGCTGTGTCCTCCCCCGAGTCCTACCTGGCCCCTCAGAAGACCGAGAAAGTCCTGTCTGCAGGTAACCTGCCTGAACACACCCATCAGCAGCTCTTCCTTGGAGCTGGTGGTTGAGCTCCAGCCTGTGTCCTCTGCGCCAACAGGGACCAGCTTCCCCCCCAGCGGCAGCTGATGAGTGTGGCACCTGATGGCCCCTTCTGACATCATGTGGAGACCTGGGGTGGGAACCTCGGCCAGAAAGAGCTGAGGGAGTTAGAGGGCCGGCCTTAGAGCACGTGTATGTTATTAAAGGTTTCAAAAGATTGGAAAATTACTTCCAAGTTTTTTGTTGGTCATTGGGCAAGCCCCACAAGGGCCGGCTTGAATCCTCGAGTGTGTTTACTGAGAGGTCGATGTCCCCCTCATCCTCACGGGCACTCCTAGATGCCAGCAGGTGGCTGGGCTCTGCACGCACATCCTTCAGGGCCGGAGTCTGCTCTGCGCCCCACATGCTGGGGCCAAAGGCAAGTCCCTTCCTGGTCACTAAGGTTACATTAGAGCAGTGGTCCTCACATTTTTGTTTCATTGGAGAACAGTTGGAAGGCCATCTTACCTACAACTTCAGGCTCCTGGGCTCCAAGGTGGGGCCAGAGCCCGCCCCACTCTGAAAGTGTGCTCAGTAATTTACTTGCAACAGTGGGTGGATCCAACCCAGTCCGCAAACGTACTGGCAACTCATTTTTGGTTGCAGTGACTTCTGAGGCCCTTGTGGCTCTAAGACCACAGCTCATGACCCTGTCCTCACTGCCTGACACTCAAGAAGTTGTCTGAGAAGAGCCTCCCTGTCCCTAAACCACAGTCAAAGCCCAATTCTTCCAGATGGCACCCAAAGTCCCTTACCCCATGCTCCCCAAACCACCAATCCAACTACCCACAGCAGCCTTCAGGCCCCAGTCCACAGGCTGCTGCTAGGGATACCTTATCCTTCTGTCCATCAAAATGCCAACCCAGCCCTGGCTGGTGCTGCTCAGTGGGTTGAGTACTGGCCTGTGAACCAAAAGGTTGCTGGTTCGATTCCAGTCAGGGCACATGCCTGGGTTGCAGACCAGGTCTGCACTTGGGGTGTGCGAAAGGCAACCACGCATTGATGTTTCTCTCCTCCCCTCCTCTCTGAAAATAAAATTGTTTTTTTAAAAAAATGCCAGCCCCAGTTCAGGGTCCTCTCCAGAGCCTTTCCTGGCTGTCAGTACCAGAACATAACGTGCATGTGCCTGTCTGCTTTTTGCCTGTGGTGTCCCTTGTGTGTGGCACTGGCTAGGGCACAGGGGTGGCTGAAGAGGGGAAAGGCAGGAAGAGACCTGGAACTTAAAATACCCAGAGACTTCTTCAGTCTCTGTAATTCTCTCCACAGTCACACTCCTGCCTCCTTGGGCTCTGGTCCCCATTCCTGGTGCTTTCCTACCCCCACGCTAACCCCTATGACTGGGGTGTCCTTTTGAGACTGAAATCCTTTAGGACGCCTTCCCTATTCTCCCAGAATCTCCACTGCACTGTATCTTGTAACATGGATCCCTTTCTACTTGCAACCTCATGGCCTCACCAGTGGGCTTTGGAGTCAGGCATGCCTGAATTGGAACCCTGGCTCCCTCCCATACTGGCAGACTGTGCAACCTCTGAATCCCTTGTAAAGTGGAGTTCATACTACCTGTGCCCACTAGGCAGGTCTGAGGACTCTATATGCATATAAAGGAGCAGCAGAGTACCTAAGACGTGGTGGGGGTGGGGGAGAATCACGTTTCTTCTCATGACTGTAATTGTGGCAGTCCGTGTTGAAAATCTGTTTAGTGTCCATGGTCCTAGAGAGCATATCCTTAAGCACAGCTGAACCTCCTCTGACCTCAGGCTTTGAGGGGTGGGGGAATAGGGCAGGGTTTCAGCCCTCATGGCATTTATAGGCATTCAATAATAAGGGATACAGGTGTTAGACAAAGAAGTACACAAACACTTAAGTTTAATGAATTCAGCATGAACCACGAGGTTATCAATCTGAGAACCTCATCTGGTCTTTGTCAGAGGACCTCCTGGCTGTGTGAACTTTCAGGAGGGATCTGAAGAATGACTGTGTAGGAAAATGAGGTGGTTAAGTGCCCCTGGCACTGGAAAGAACAAGTGCAAAGGTCCTGAGGCAGGGCAAGGAGTCTGGTGCTTGGGGTAGGCAGGAGTCAGTGGAGGAAGGGCTTTGTAGGTTGAGGTACAGGGACTTGTAGAAGCCTCAGGGCCTGAATGAGGGGCCCTAGGACCTGTGCCTCAACGCTAGCAGTTTCTCGTTCTTTTCCTGGTTTGCACATTGGGGTTCCACTTAAGATCTCCCACAACAAAATAGCCCTGCTGCTAAAACAAAGCTTGAAAGTATTGGGCTGGCCAAAAAGTCCATTACCTTTTCTCCATAAAATAAGACACTGACTGCATTAGAGTCAGAATGCACTAGGGAGGCTGCAGGGAGAGAGTAAAGGGCTCCCTGTCTCCAGGGTCTGTCGGGCCCAGCCACTTCCCTCACCAGCCTCACTGCCCTGTGGATGAGCCCTCCAGGCGGTCAAGGGCAGGCAGCAGATGGGGCAGTGAGGGGAGGATATGTTCTTGGGGCACAGAATCTTTGACCACAGGATCCAGAGACCCCGGGCCAACCACTAGAAAGCTGTGCATGCCTACAGCCCGTGCCCCCTCATAATCATTGTGGTAACTATCCCCAATATGGGCTGCCACCGCTGGTTCCACCTGAGCAAGCCGCAAGGCCTCATGGAAAATGCGGGGGTCCGGCTTTTGCCAGCCAGCAGCCCAAGAGGTCAGCACAAAGTCGAAATGTTCCTGCAGACCAAGACCCACCAAGATGTCCTCTAGTCGCTGGTCGAAGTTGGAGATCACTGCCAGCCTCAGGCCTCGTTTCCGGCATTCCCTCAGGGTGGCCTCCGCCCCCTCCAACAGCTGCCAGGAGCAGGGGCTGCGGAAGTCCTTGTACAGCTGGGCAGCAATGGGGCCCACAGCCTGGGCATCCCGAACACCCGCTAGACGGAAGGTCTGCAGGACCACATCCCACCACCACTGGCGGACAGTGAGGCCGTGGCTCAGGCCATAGTTGGGGAAGCTGCGGCTGTGAGCCTTGAACACCTGCCTGAAGGCTCGTTCCAGGGCTGTGGCTTCCACCTCCAGCCCGTGGGCCTGGGCCCTGGCGGCGTATTCCTCTCCTACAGGCCGGCGGAGCCTGAGCAGCGTGTCCTTCACGTCCCATGTCAACAGCTGTATCTTTCGCCGGTGAGCCATGGGTCTACAGGAGGGGACCAAGTTCCTCCCAGGTCCACCTTAGTTTCCCAGGGCCAAGGGGAAACCAGGCTGGACAAGACACATCTCCTCGATCTAATGGTTGTCTCTTTCCAGGCCTAATGGGCCAGGATCGCTGGCACTTGGGTACAGTCTTCCCAGCCGAAGATCCTGGAATGAGATGCAAGTGGAAGTTCAGGCTTTAGAGTCACGCAGACTGGGTACAAATTCTAGTGCTGCCCACTCACTGTGTGACCCTGGCAGTGTCTGTCTCTGAAGCCGTCTCCTCATGCATAAGAGCACAAGGGCCCAACCTCACAAGATTGCTGGACTAAGTGTGATTATCTGTTTACTGCACAACACACTTCTGAGCACTGATTATGTACTAGACTCTGGGCATAGGGCAGAGTTTCAGCCCTCATGGCTTTTATAGGCATTCAATAATAGGGGACACAGATGTTAGACAAAGAACTACACAAACACTTAAGCTTAATGAATTCAGCATGAACCACGAGGTTATCAATCCGAGGACCTCATCTCGTCTTTGTCAGAGGACCTCCTAGGCATGTGGACTTTCAGTAGGGATCTGAAGAATGACTGTGTAGGAAAATGAGGTGGTTAAGTGCCCCTGGCACTGGAAAGAACAAGTGCAAAGGTCATGGGCAGGGCAAGGAGTCTGGTGCTTGGGGTAGGTAGGAGTCAGCTCAGGCAGGGCTTTGTAGGTCAAGGTACAGAAACGATAATGATTGCCATTCCTATTGTTAGCAATGCTAAAGGCAGAAGGGTCCTTGCAGACCATGTGACCAAACCCTGGCTGTTCAGCAGGGAAGACTGATCCAGAGAGGGAGAGATACTTAACTGAGATCTCATTGAGTCAGCAGCATAACCAGGACTAGACTCTCTAGCCAGTGTTCCCTTCTACTGCTTGGACATATTTGAATAAAAAAAAAAATTCTAGAAAATTAGGATATACTTCCAGTCAAGATGGGGACATAAGCAGACTCGGCTCCCCTCTTCACACAACCACATCAAAATTACAACTAAAATATAAAACAACCATCACTCAGAACCATCAGAAATCAAGTTGAATGGAAGCCTGACAACTATGGAAATTCAAGAAACCACATCCATCCAGACTGGTAGGAGGGGCGCAGACGTGGAATGGGCTGGTCCCTCGCCCACGTGTGGTGGATAAAAATTCAGGCGGGAGCTCTAACCGGTGTGGCTCTGTAGACTGAGTGCCGGCCTGCAAGCCAAAGGGTTTCTGGTTTGAGTCCCAGTTACGGCACATGCCTGGGTTGTGGGCCAGGTCATGTGAGAGGCAACCACACACTGATGTGTCTCTCCCTCTCTTTCTCCCCCTCCCTTCCCCTTTCTCTAAAAATAGATGAATAAAATCTTTTTAAAAAATTCGGGAGGGATATCCTTGGGAGCAAGGAGTCCCAGCCCCACACCAGGCCCCAAAGCCCAGGGTTCCAGTGCCAGGAAATTTAGTCCCCACAACTTCTGGCTGCAAAAACCAGCGGGGATTGAGTCAGTGGAAGAAACTGCTGGAGTCACACACAGTTCTTCTTAAAGGACCCACACATGGACTCACCTACTCAGACTCACTCCCTCTGAGCTCCAGCACCAGGGTAGCAGCTTGAAAGGTACCAGTGGCACACAGGGAAGAACTGAAGTGTCTGGCACAAGACAAGAGGACGCCATTGTCCCTTTGCTAAACCCTACCCCCACAGAGCCAGCAAGCTGGTGCCATGTCTAAGAATCCATCAACCTGGCTAACTCTGTTTGACCTGTTTTATTTTTTATATATATATATTTTTTAAGATTTTATTTATTTATTTTTAGAGAGGGAAGGGGGGGAGATAGAGACAGAGAAACTTCAATGTGCGGTTGCTGGGGGTTATGGCCTGCAACCCAGGCATGTACCCTGGCTGGGAATCGAACCTGGGGCACTTTGGTTCCCAGCCCGCGCTCAATCCACTGAGCTACGCCAGCCAGGGCTGTTTGACCTGTTTTAGAAATCCCCAGAGATTCCACCCCTCCCAATTTAGGAGCCCACCCAAGCTGCTTTTCCATATGAATGGCTGGTCTTGGCTCCTTCTTCACAGCTTCCTAAATCCTCTCAAATAAGCAACAGCTGGCCTCCGTGAGCCCCTGGCCCTGCACAAGAAGCCAGCCTAGGTTAACAAACAGCTTGGCTTCTGGAAATCTCCAAATCCAGCACAAGCAGCAGCCATCTCAGATTGTTCTATAACTCAGGCATGGTGGCTCCAGGCAAAACACAGGTGGGGGCTGACTTTGGCCTGCACCATCTGGGAAACCTCAAGGCCAGAGCACCCAGTGGACAGATACAGACCACACTGGAGCACCACCACCCTGCCCCTGCATGGTTAATTCTCCATAGAGGGTGGGGGTTGGTGGTAAGTGGTCACAGCCAATCCTTGCAGCTGACTGGCCTGGGTAAATCCCTCCCAATGATCTGCCAACAGTAACCAAGGCTTAACTACAAGAGGAGAATGTACTCAGCCCACATGAAGGTAGCACTTCAACTACCCAGCTTGAGTGAAAGGGGAGGCTGTGCCACTGGACCCTACAGGAGACCTACTACATTAAAGCATACTACCATGACATAGAGTCAAAGCAGCTCTACCTAATACATAGAAACAAACACAGGGAGGCTACCAAAATGAGGAGACAAAGAAACATGGCCCAATTAAAAGAACAGATCAAAACTCTAGTAACAAAATGGAGCTAAGCAATCTATCAGATGCAGAGTTCAAAACACTGGCTATAAGGATGCCTAAAGAACTTGGTGAGGACCTCAATAGCATAAAAAAGATCCAGTCAGAAATGAAAGATGCACTAATGGAAAAAAGAACAATTTACAGGGAAATAGCAGTAGAGTGGACAAAGCTGAGAATCAAATCAATGATATGGAACATAAGGAAGCAAAAAACCAATCAGGACAACAAGAAGAAAAAGGAATCCAAAGAAAATGAGGGTAGTATAAGCAGCCTCTGAGACAACTTCAAGATGTTCAACACTCGCATCACAGGGGTGGCAAAAGAAGAGAAAGAAAAAGAAATTGGAAATCTATTTGAAAAAATAATGAAAGAAAGCTTCCCTAATTTGGTGAAGGAAATAGACATGCAAGTCCAGGAAGCACAGAGAATCCAAACAAGATGGAAGCAAGGAGGCCCACTCCAAGACACATCAAAATTAAAATGACAAAGGTTAAGGATAAAGAGAAAATCTGAAAAGCAGCAAGATAAGTTAGTTACCTACAGGGGAGTTCCCATAAGACTGTCAGCTGACTTCACAAAAGAGATTTTGAGGCTAGAAGGGTTTGGCAAGAAGCATCCAAAGTCATGAAAAGCAGGGACCTACAGCCAAGATTGCTCTACCCAGCAAAGCTATCATTTAGAATAGAAGGGCAGATAAAGAGCTTCCCAGAAAAAACCAAAGGAGTTCATCATCACCAAACCATTATTATATGAAATATTAAAGGGACTTATTTAAGAAAAAGATAAAAACTTTGAACACTAAAATGGCAAAACAACAACAAAACAACATATCTATCAACAACTGAATCTAAAAAACAAACTAAGCAAACAAGGTGAACAGAGACAGAATTCTGTGTACAGAGTGCTTTGACGGTTGCCACATGGGAGGGGCTGTGGGGGAATGGGTGAAGAGGTGAGGGGATTAAGAAGTACAAATAGGTAGTTACGGAATAGCCTTGGGGATGTAAGGTGCAGTATAGGAAATGGAGTAGCCAAAGAACTTATATGCATGACCCATGGACATGTGTGATGGTGGGGGGAATTGTGTAAGGGAGTGGAGTGTGCTGGGTGAAGTGGGCCAAAGGGGGAAAAATCAGGAAAACTGTAATAGCAATAATCAATAAAATACAATTTAAAAAATATTATTATATTAGGAATCCTCAGAATGTTAAAAAAAATTTCTTTTTGGCAAACCTGTACTGCATAGGACAAAAGGCAGAACAGAGCAGCCTGGTCCTACCTGTCTCTAAGCCTCTCTGCGCCCCAGCTTCGTCTTTAATGAGGTAATAACATCCGTCTGGGTGGACAGCGGTGAAAAGATTAGCGCTTCAATGCACAGGAAACAAATTCTTCAGCTTGCTGTCCACAGGCTAGATGCTGCTTCTTCCCCCAAAGTTGATACAGGTTTCCAGCGGTCAGAGTGCAGCTATGTTTGCAGAAGGGACGCGCCTGGTGAATCTGGGATATGTCTTAAAGGAAGCTGATCAAGAAAGTGAATTTAAGTCAGCTTGAAACTTAGACCCACGGAAAGACCCCTCTCACTTTGCGGGTGGGGAAATGCAGGCCCAGCGAGAGGCGGAACTCGCCCAAAGTCACGCAGGGAGCCCCTGGCAAGGCTCAGATGAGAACAAAAGGCTCTGGCTCCCGAGCCACAGCATTTTCTATTTCTAGAAGCGGAGGTGGGGACACTGGTTTCCCCCTCGCTCCCCCTCTCTCTAGGGCTCGGTGGCGGCGAAGTCCACCTATGTCTGCCGTTACAGCAGAACCTCTACGGCTGCCGTCTGCGGCGTGACCTAGAGAGGGGTGTTCTTAGGAACAAACCAATCTCCGTTCCAGCGCGCTCCGAGCATGTCCCCGAGGCCCAGGACTCACCTGCCTCGCGAGGAAGCCGCTAAGGAAGGAAGCCGCAGCCGGCCACCAGCCGGGCAGAGGCGGGCCGAAGCTCCGCCCGGCGCCCGACTCTCCTCTACTGCGCTCCCGCCCGCTGCCGGCTTCGCCCCGCCTCCTGCCCTCCGTCCAGTCCCGCCCCCTCCTCCCCTTTCTACCTCCCTCCTGTCCCATTCTCTCCGCGCACCCTGGCACCTTCACCTTTACCTCCTCCTACCCGGCACCCTCTGTCACCCTCCCTCACTGTGCCCCTCGGTCCCCTCTCCGCCCTGCGAAAGACCCCCACACCTTCTCGGGTCCCCATCTCCCCCCGCCCCCCACCCTGCGTCTCACTGTCACCTAGCACTCTCTCCGCCCCTCTGCACGCCCCTCCCTCCGCAGTCTCTTCCATTTCGCCTTGTTTGCGCTCTCTCCGCGGCCCCTTTCCCTCCCCAAGCCCCTCCACTTCCCTTGGGCCCAGACGCTTTGGGGAGGAGCTGTGGCTGACTTGGGAGGCGGGTTTTTTTTTTTTAAGATTTTTTTTATTTATTTTTAGAGAGAGGGGAAGGGAGGGAGAAAGAAATGGAGAGAAACATGATAGGTTGCTTCTCCCACGCGCCCCAACCTAAGCATGTGCCCTGGCCTGGAATCAACTGGCGACCTTTCACTTTGTAGAACGACCGTCAACCAACTGAGCCACACCAATCAGGGCTGAGGAGGGGATCTGCATCCCCGCAAGGCTTGCTGAGTGCCCTGTGGGCTTGGCCAAGGCCGGACTCGGCCTGGTCTGAGTCCCCAAGTAGTACCGGGAGGGAGCTGGAAACTTGTCTAACTCAAGACAATTTGCTGAGGATAGAGTCCTGTGCAGTAACCTAGCTGCTTTTCTTCTCGTTTTCAGGAAAGAAAAAAACAAAACAAAACACTACTCATGCTCATTTCAAAAATGTTTAAAAATACGAACTGTACAAAATAAAAAGTGAAAGGTTGCCCTGGCTGGTGTGACTCATTGGATTGAGCGCCGTCCAGCTAACCAAACGGTCGCGGGTGGGATTCCCAGTCAGGGCACACGCCTGGGTTGCCGGCCAGGCCCCCAGTAGGGGGCATGTGAGAGGCAACCACACATTGATGTTTCTCTCTTTTTGTCCTTCCTTCCCCTGTCTATAAATAAATAAAAATTCTTCTTAAAAATGAGTGAGTGAATGAGGTGGGAAAAGCTCACTAAGTACTCATCGAGCCCCTGCTCCAGGTCTGACCCTGTCCTTCGCTGAGGATGTAGTGGGAAACAAGACAGAGTTCCTGTCTTTATGGATCATGGGTGGGGGAGACAAAAATCAAGTAAATATGCAAGATTTCAGATAGCCATGAGTGCTGTGGAGGCAGCGACAACAATGGTCTCCTGAACAGTGAGGGGTGCTGGGGGGGGCACAGTGGGTCTTGAATGAGATGGTTAGAAGAGGAGCTAAGATCTGATGGCAGCCAGGTGAAGATTAAAGGACATGTAAGGAACTGGCAAGTACAGAAGGTACTGGGGCCCCAACCTGCTTGCTGAGGAAGAGAAGTGGCCTTGGGGGCTGGGGGGATGGGGGGAGGGCCCCGTTGCTCCCTACTCATTGGCAATTTTGGTTTTATGCTATCAGACATTTTTCTGGGAGCACACAAACATGCATATAATAGTCTTCCTTTCTCCCCCCCCACCACTCTCTTTTTTTCTGTCCTTTCCTTTTCCTTCCCTTCCCTTTCCCTCTTTCTTTCTCTCTCCTTTTCCTGACTTTTCTTTCCTTCTTTCACAAAACTTCCTCCTGTATTCCAAGGTAAGTCTGTTGTTCACTTTACTCAGAACTGCCTCACCCTCCCTGGGCTCTGGCCTGGGAGAAAGTACAAAGTGCAGACTCACAGACCTTGGGCCCCAAGGGAGGGCCTGACGGACTCCAGAGACTCACCAGCGAAACTTCTGTGTCCTAAGCGTGATTCGCAGAAGTGGGAGTGGGAAGGGTGATGGGATTTCACAGAATCTAACAATGTCTGAGATTGGCCACTTTTCACGGTCACCTGAAACCCAACCCCTTAGGGTTTTTAAAAAATTTTTTGTTTTTATCTTCACCCAAGGATATGGTCATTGATTTGAGAGAGAGAGAGAGAGAGAGAGAGAGAAGGATGTCGATCAGATGCTTTCCAGGTACATGACCTGAGCAGGGATTGAACCGGGGACATTTCGGTGCACGGGATGATGCTCCAACCAATGGAGCCACCAGGCCAGGACCCAGCTGCTTAGGTCCTGCTCCCCGCACTGCCACCTGACTGTCTGTGAGGCAGCCATTAAATTCTTTTCCTCTCTGGGCCTCATCCTCACACTATGCAAACTGGAGGGAAAGGACCAAGTAACTTCCAACTGAAATTCAGGTTAGCTTAAAAGTTAATTTCCAAGATAATTAACTTTGCCCATGGAACCTGGGTGAAGGGCGTGTTTCCATCAGGATCAAATGAGAGCACATGGAAAAGCTCTCTGAGAAGTAGATGACTCTCTTCTGTTGAGATAACTGAGTCACCTGAGCCACCAAGGGTTTTGTTCGGTTACCTATTTCAACCCAGGACACCCATTACGTAAGGGAGGCATTTCCATCATAATCCACGTGAATGTGCCCTTGGAATTATGGCCCTGAAATCCTGTTTATTTTATTGTCCTTTAGGTTCTGCCTTTCTCCTGAGTTAACTTTTTCAGCAGAGAAAAGGGAGACTCGTGTGTTACAGTAAAGCCAACGACAGGTCCTTGCTATTCTGAAACAAGCTTCTGATTTGTTGCCAGTGTAAAAACGAGGACACTTGCCCTGACTGGTGTGGCTCAGTAAGCTGGGCATCATCCCGCCAACTGAAAGGTCGCCAGTTTGACTCCTGGTCAGGGCACAGGCCTGGGCTGTGGGACGGGTTCCTGTGTGTGGGCACGCGAGAGGCCATCGACCAGTGTTTCCCTCTCACGTTGGTTTCTCTCCTCTTTCTCCCTCCCTTCCCTTCTCTCTTAAAAAATGAATACATTTTTTAAAAGTCGTAAAAAAAAAAACAAAAATGAGTGCACTTGCTAGATGTAGTGTCCTCCCTAAGTCCTCAGAGTTTTCGTACCTTGATCTGTCCTGTGAGTCCCGGCCGGGCGACAGTCCCTGGAGGTCCTTGTTATGCCACTACTTGAGATGCTGGTTATTCTCTTCGAGGAAACAAGTACAGGAGGGCTCTCTCCTGAGGTCCTCACCCTGAAAGTTGTGTCGTACTAAGTAAACCCAGGCGGGGTGCACCAGACACGTCTCTCTTTGTGCTTTCACGTTTTCATCTACTTATTTCTTCAAGTTAACTTTTATTAAAAATGTATCATACATACAGAAAGGTGCAAAGATGTGTAAGTGTCCTCAGATTGTCCCATAGTGAACATACGTGTGCAACCAGCACCCAACCCGAGAAAAAGAACAGCTCCAGAACTCTGGAGTTTCTGTCTTCTTCCAGTTGCTTACCCCTCCACCCCCAAAGGCTAACCACTGTCCTGACTTTTTTTTTTAACTGATTTTGAGAGAGACAGACCGACAGACATTGATTTGTTGTTCCACTTAGTTATGCATTCATTGGTTGATTCTTGCATGTGCCCTGACCAGGGATGGAACCTGCAGCCTTGGTGTAGCGAGATGACGCTCTAAACCACTGAGATACCTGGTCAGGGCTATCCTGACTTAATTGCATATTTACTTGTTTTTGAACTGTATGAAAATGGAATAATATAGCATGCACTCTTTTGTCTTCTTTGCTCCAATTTTATTTGTAAGATTCATTCATTCATGTTGCTGTGTGTAGGTCATTCATTCTCATACCTGTAATGTTCCATTATATGAATATACTGCATTTAACTGTAGATGACATTTGGCTTATCTCCGGTTTTTGGTTACGACAAATATTAGAAAATGTTATTATGAACATTCTCAGATACGCCTTTTTTTTAAAGATTTTATTTATTTATTTTTAAAGAGGGAAGGGAGGGAGAAAGAGAGAGAGAGAGAAACATCAATGTGCAGTTGTTGGGGACCATGGCCTGCAACCCAGGCATGTGCCCTGACTGGAAATCGAACCTGTGATGCTTTGGTTCGCAGCTTGCGCTCAATCCACTGAGCTATGCCAGCCAGGTCAGATACGTCTTTTAGTGAATATATGTACACATCTCTGTTGGGTAAATCCCTAGATGTGAAATCACTAGGCAACAAGGACGTGCTCAGCTTTAGCAGGTGGTGCCACTTTTCCGAAGTGGTTGTACCAGAAATATCCGAGAGTTCCAATGGGTCCACATTCTCAACAGTTTTAGGCATCCTGACGATGTACGGTACTATCTCACTGTGGTTTTAATTTGAGTTTCTCTGTTGACTAATGAAGATAATGCCTTTTCATATATGTATTAGCCAAGTTTTCATTTATTTACACAAATCCTTGGTAGATATATATCGTACATGATATAAAAATAAAGTTGAAGCTAAGATAACACACAGAAAGCCAAAGTCCCTCTCAAATCAACCCCTCACCCCACCCCTTAGCAATGCCTTCTCCAGTTTCAAGCACTGGACTTGGAGTTAGGAGACCTGAATCCCAGCATCACTCTGTCCCTGGCTTGTGTGCATTTCAACAAGTCCCTGCTCTGGGTCTGTCTGCCATCTCTAAGCACCTCTTTACTTTGCTATTCTGACCGCTGTTTCTGTGGTTACAAGAATCTCCATGTGATGGGGATGGTCATCTGCCCCAATATCCATTCTCTTCATCCTCCTTAGCGATCAGACCCCTGAATTTTAGCTGAGCGCCTGGCTGCCCCACTGGACTCTATTTTCCAGACTCACGCACATTAGTAGGCGTGGCCATATGACTAAGTTCAGACAAGGGCATGTGCACAGAAGTGACTGTGTAACTTTTGGGTTGCACCCTTATTAAGAAGGGCCGTGCCCTCCACCTGCCCTTCTCTTCCTGACGGCTGAAGAGGACCTCTTGGTGGGAGCTGGACCCACCGCCTTTGATCATGAGACAGAGGGGGAGATGTGTTGATGACGACAGATGAGGCGGGGGCCACGACCTCCTGTACCACGTAGCTGACACAGCTCTGGACTGCTCGGAGATCTTCCATCTGAAGCTGTTGTTACTTTGGCTTTTGCTATATCCACTGAACTTAGTAGAGCATCTGGGGAATGATTTTAATTTGGGTGTCAGGAGAGGTTGCCTTGAGGAAGTGACACTTAAGCCAAGATTTTAACAAGAAAAGGAGACAGCCATACAGCTTTTGGGGGGGACTGTTTCTGGGCAAAGGGGACCACTGGTACAAAAGTGCCGAGACTTCGCCAGCCTCCTGTGTGAGGAGGGAGACCTGGGGTCACGTCCCCCATGTCCTTGTTTACAGTGACTGAGCCGACGCCGTCCATCAGACCATCACAGGGCCAATCGATCCTCCAGAGATTTGCTATGTGAATGATGGGACTGAAAATATCCTTCTCCGGAATTCTAAGTCAAAAGGACATCTAAGTATCATGTTACTGTCAAGTGGCAAAAACCATCTGAGAATAAAGCCAAGCTAGGAAGGGATGGAGGTCTCTGTGAGAGCCTCTGACCCTGCAGGTAGCCACTCCTGACTTATTACAATCCGTTCATGAACACCAATCATTTCCTCCTTTGCTACTGAATTTAGTTTTCTGTCACTTGCAACCAAGAGAACTCAGAAGAGTACAGACTACAGGGTTCTGCGTCACAGGCCCTAATATGTCGAGTTTGCAGTCTGCATGGGGTATGGAGCAGCAGGGTTCTTTTTTTTTTAATTGGAAAATTAGTAATTAACTGGCTGGTTAACATGGCTGATGCTTTGTGGGACCCTTAACCATTTGACCAGTGAGGATGTCATTTTAGGGATCTCGGAAAAGCAAAAAGAGAGGATGGCTGGCTATTGGTTGTGACTGACAGGAAGGTCCTGTCAGAAACAGACAAGCTTTGGTTCAAACTGGCTCATCTGAGCGAGAAATAGGAGAATGTCTTGTGAAGAGAGGCCCCTTGACTCTCACTGATCAGCTGTGACGCCCGGAAGCCCGAGAATAATGGCCATGAGAACTGTGGAAGCTGAGTTCTCCACCCAAGGATACAGTCACTGCTAGCAAGAGCAGGGTCCGCACCAGATGGGACTGTGGAGGAACCAGACTCCCCCAGGGCCACCCAAACCCCTCCAGCTGCTGGCCTGAACATTACTTACTGCCTTTGTAGACAGAACACAGGGTGGCTGGAGGGGGTTCAAGGCTGGCACCCCAGGCGACAAGTCCTGACTCAGGAGAGCGCCACTCACCTAGACTAGAATGCCTGAAGGCAACTTAGGCCCTTGGTCCGCCCCACTACCGGAGCTAGGAATAGTGTCGTGTTAGATCCTTAATTTTGCTACCATTTATTGGGAGGAGGTTTCTCCATTCTTCCCGGTGATTCAGCCACACCAGCCTTGTTTGCCAGCTCTTTCTAGCCCCAGGATTCCCTCTGCCTGGAATGCTCTTCCCCAAACACGTTAGCTTGGTGGCTCATCCTTCCGGTCTAGCTTAAATACCAGCCCCTCAGGGAAGCATTTTCTGATCCTTCAAACCTGGCCAGGTTCTGGTGACGGCCTTCATAGCACCTGCACTACATCACTGGTGACACACACGCCTCCTGGCTTTCAGGCAGACTCATTCCACTTAGTGTTGCCTCTCATGTGTGCGTGCGTGCGTGCGTGCGTGTGTTGGGGGAGAGGGGTTTGCACACAAAAAGAGGTTTGCTTCCTGTGGATCATCTGTTCTGAAAGGGCGGTGTCTGTCTACTATCTTTCTGTGCCTAGAACAGAGCCAGGCCCTGTATTTGATTGGCAGTGATGAGTCTGGGATGGTCTTGAAGAGCCTTTTTCACACTAACCATTTTAACTTGAAATGAGCTCACAGGTCAGGGGCCAGGAGACAGGAAGCCAAGAAGCTTAAGATGGTCAAAGGTTACGGTCTGGTGTGAGGCCTGAGACACTGAGCCATCACACCCGATGACAGTGTCAGGCCCCTAGGTGGTAGATCCGGCTCAGGCCCCCTGGGAGGCCCAGCTCAGTGCCTCTTCAAGCCCTGATTTTGGCTGGCCACCTCCCCACAGGCCAAGATCATGTCTTCAATGAAGTCGGCCACAGCTCTGGAGACTACCAAGAGTCAGACTGGTCTGACCACAGAAGCTGCTGAGAGTCTATCATTCCAGATTTTTAAGATGGGTTGTTTGACTTCACAGTCCAAATTGAGCTTACTACGGGCCTGGAGCTGGGGGTCCCTGTCACTTTGCCGGCAGGCAGGTGGACTTGCAAACGAGTCCCTCCTTGGCTGGGCCCTGACTTTCTCTAAGGGAAAACTTATGTCCTGACTCAGAAGAAAACTGAAACCACCCACCCAGTTGCTCCAGCCAGAAACCCATGAAGGCATCCTTATTTCCCCCCAATGCCTCGTCCTTGACAAGCTCCCCCTACCACTCCCATACTCCCGATTTAAAGCACCAGCAATATCCGCTAATTCTTTCTCTAAAATGTCTCCCGAATTCATAGGCTTCCTCCTAACTCCACTGTCACCACCGTGGTCCAGGCCACCACCATTGCCCCCTGGGGTCTGCAGTAGCCTTCCAACCAGGCTTTCCCACACCCTTCCATTTCCCCTGTAGCAGCACAGCGTGCATGGGAAACGGGACCTTGTGTAACTGGTTAAGATCCTTTAGTTGTCTTTGTACCCGATGGAAGATACAACCCAAGCTTTCTAAAGGGTGCGGGATCTGCCTTTCTAACCAACCTCCAGCGCTGTTGCCCGTCCCTCCCTGCACCCCGCACCCTGCTGTCTGCTCCCAGCAGTGCTGCCCAGCGCCTCTCACTGCAGGATCTTTGCATACTTGGTGTCATCCTTGTGGCTTCTGGTGCCGTAAGGACCCTTCCCCCCACCATTTGTCATTCTCCATCTGAGACCCTTTATTTCCTTCAAAGCATTTATTAGAGTCTGTGACTGCTTTATTTGTCTGCTTTCTTGTTGTCGTCTGTCTCTCCCATTCTCCTTGTATAGCTTCCACGCAGAGAGACAAGCTGAGGTCTGTCCGGCTCAATTCTCAGTACCCAGAACACCGTGCCTGGGCACGGCGCATGCACGCTCTCAAAAATATCTCTTTAATAAAAAGCTTGTTCAGCGGTGGCCATCTCCAACACTCAGGAGCTCTCTCTTTGCTTCTGCATTGTAATTCCCAGGCAATGTTTCTGCTCAGCAGAGTAACTCTTTTCTGGGTTTATGGCTCAGGGTAGAGCAGATCTCAGGCAGCCTGGCAACCCCTGGCCTGGGAGAATCGCCTTCCAGTGGAATCACAGCAAATCTCAACTCTGAACCCGGACAGGTCAATCTAGGCCTCAGTCCCTGTGCCCAGCAATGCTGCCAGAGGCCTTGGGTTTTCCAGAGCTTCTGAGGACCAACGATCCAACTGCCTTCCTCTTCCCCTAATGCTCCAAACCCCTCTCCTGGGCATCGCAAACCTGTGCCCGTGACTCCTGGGAGCTTCCTAGCTAAAGCCACTCCAGAGGAAGGAGCTACGGCGGCAGAGGTGGCTTCAGAGCTGGCCCTGAGGAGGGTGGAGAAGCTTGGGACAGCCCAGGGAGATGTGGCTCTGAGTGGTGAGATTGGCACGCAGGCAGAAGTCACCTGGCACTGCTGGGCACCTGCCAGCATGTGAGCAGGAATCGGGCACAGGGCACAGTTCTAAAAGCAGCATTTACTTTGGTTTTCACTTCTCCAAGGCCCCGGGACCTTTGTGCAGTCCTAGTTCTTGGGTCTCTCACACTCTCTCCATCACTCCTTCAGCCACTGCAGTAGCTGAGGTGTGTAGTAGGTGATGATGATGTCGGCACCTTTGTGGGAGAGAAACAGAGAGCAGGGGAGGGGCTGGGCATCAGCTGCCTCTTTTGTAGTGGAACAACTTAGACCCTGACCACCTGGGAGATGAGGGCCAGTGGGGGGAGAAGGCTACTATCAGCGGGTGACACAACATGAGACTGAGGCACAGTCAGTGGGTGACACAACATGAGACTGAGTCCCGTTCTGGTCAATTCTAGAACTGTACATTGTGTGACTGTGGACCAGTCATTTTTGCTTTCTGGGCCTCAGTTTGCCAATGTATAAAATACACAGTGGGCCCTGGCTGGTGTAACTCAGTGGACTGAGTGCTGGCCTGTGAACCAAAGGGTCGCCAGTTCGATTCCCAGTCAGGGCACATGCCTGGGTTATGGGCCAGGTCCCCCAGTGGGGGGCATGTGAGAGGCAACCACATATTGATGTTCCTTTGACTCTCTTCCTCCCTCTCTTCCCCTTGCTCTAAAAATAAATAAACTCTTTTAAAAATGCACAATGAGGAAATAGATAAGCTGTAACTTCCCTTCCCACACTGTGCCATGCCAACAAAACCAGCTCTCATTTATGGAGCGATAAGCATATGACATTTACACATATCATCTCATTTAATCCACGTGAGAACCATGCACCAGGATCTTTTCTCTATTATAGACAGGGCACTGAGGTCCAGAGAATGTCTAGGCCGAGGTCTCACAAGCAAAAAATAACTGTCCCACGTTCTGTTCTAGTTGCACGTCTCTTCCGCTTGGCCAGTGTCTGTTAGACGACTGGCATTTCCAGGCTGTTATACCACTTCACCTCTCTCTCTAGGCAAAGGGCCTACCAGTCCGTGTGGTACAAGTCAAAAACTCCACCCTGTCCGCTTACCTGCTCTGCGGAAGGCGGTCATGGCCTCCAGGACAGCAGCCTTGAGATCAAACGCCCCAGCCTGGGCTCCGTGCCACAGCATAGCAAACTCTCCAGACACGTGGTACACGGCGAGAGGGAGCTCAGGGTGCTGCAGAGAAGCAGCAGTAGGTAGAAGCGCATGGTGGGTGTGCCCTTGGGAGTGTCCCTTGTTCCCTGTCCAACTCTTGACCATCTTGAACCCCATGCCCCGCTGGCCGCCTGGCCCATTCTTAAACTGTTACAGCAGAGCTGTTCAAAGCCTTCCTCCCACTGGTGCTTCCTGGGTAGGGGCAGAGAGGGGAGGGTCCGAGGGGAGGGTCCCTGTGCAGGGGCAGACTGCTTCCAACTCTGAGATCCTGCAGTCCTTCAGTCGAAGGTCCCAGAGCCCGCGGACACATTCTCTCGTCTCCCTGAGGCCCCCTGTCACTGCTCGATGCTCACCTTGTCCTTCACCTCCCGCACGATGTCCAGGTAGGGCATTCCCGGCTTCACCATGACCAGGTCAGCTCCTTCCCGCACATCCCGGTCCTGAGGGATGAGGTACGGTGTGGGCAGTGCCCGGAGGAGAGGGAAGAGGGGACAGGTTGGCTGGGGCTTAAGCTCTGGTCACTCACCACTGCTCGGAGGGCCAGGCCTCGGGCTCCAGGAGGCAGCTGGTAGCAGCGGCGGTCTCCAAAAGCTGGGCTTGACTGAGCCGCGTCCCTGGGAAGCAGAGGCATCAGGGTGGGCTCCAGCTTTGGGCTAAAGGGTCAGGGTTTAGCAGCAGACCCCCGCCCGCCCCCACTCACCGGAAAGGTCCATAGAAACAGGAAGCAAATTTGGCACTATAGCTCATCACTGACACCTGTGGGGAGACAACGGGGGCTGAGGCTCAGTTAGTCCTTTCCAGACGTTCCAGGGTCACGTGGCGGGAAAGGGACCCAGCCTAAGAAGTGGAGTGCCTGTGTTCTAGTCCCGCCGGAGCTCCGGGCCTTGGCTTGCCTGTCTCAGATGCAGAGGTTGAGACAGATCCCAAAGGCCTTGTCCAGTGCTGTCTCCAGTTCTAGGATTCTTGGCAGATGTGGGGGCAGGGCTGGTCCGGCCACAGACTGTCGCTTCACCTCCCCTCACCCCTCCCACACTCCCTGCCCCTACCCTGTTGCCAAGTCCATGTGCCAGCAAAGCCTTCTTAATGGCTTCCACGCGTCCATCCATCATGTCCGACGGGGCTACCACATGACATCCTGAGGGACAGAGGGTGGACTTCAGAACTCCGGGACCCTCCTGTCTACTCTGTCACCTCCCTGACCCAGAGGTCCTCATCCCTGCTGGTGGCTCACTCACCTGCCTTGGCATAGGCCAGAGCCACCTCTGCCAGCCGCTGGCGACTCTCCTCGGCCTGGAAAATCCCATTCTTGTTCAGAAGCCCTGCGGGTCAGACAGCCGGGTCTGAGGGGCATCTTAGACCCTGGCCCACCCCACTGTGGGGGGAAGTGGGCAGTGGCAGCGGAGCCGGTGCAGAGGGAAACTCACCGCAGTGACCGTGGGAGGTGTAGGGACACAGGCATATGTCACAGGCCACCAGGAGGCCGGGGAAGGTCTTGCGCAGCAGACGGATCGCCTCCACAGCTGGGGAGTCCTCGGAGTCGGCTGCAGAGCCCCGCTCGTCCTAGAGGCAGGAAGGACGGAGCAGCGCACCTGTCACAGGAAGCCTTCAACAGGCACAAGGAGTTCTGGCCAAGATGGAGGCGTAGGTAGAAACCCTTCGCTTCCTCGAACAACCAAAAGGAAGATAACAACCAATCTAAATACAATAAACCACCAGAAGTGCCAGAAAATCAAACTGCATGGAACTCCGACAACCAAGGAGTTAAAGAAACATTCTCCAGATCGGTAGGAGAGACCCAGACGGGCAGCCAGCAGGCAGAGAGGACCCGTGGCAAGGCGGAGGACCCAGCGGGCGAGGCAGCATACCCTGTGGGCAAGGCAGCGGACTGCGTGAGCGAGGCAGAGCTGGCTGAACGGGAAGCTAAAGACTCAAGCTAGCTATAAACTACCACGGGGTTGCCACAGCAGGAGAAACTCCCAGTCTCACACGACAGAGTTTGTTTGTTGGAAAGTGGGGCTAGAGCAAAGTAAACGAGACGCATTGTTCCCTCTCTGATTGCTCCCCCACAGACAGCACCACAACGCAGCAAAGAGGGTTGCCTCCCCCGAGGAGAATACCTAAGGCCCCACCCCCTACAACATAACAGGTGCACTGAGACAAAGTAATATGGCCTAAATGAAAGAGCAGATCAAAACTCCAGAAGAAGAACTAAGTGATGAGGAGATAGACAGCCTATCTGATGCAGAGTTGAAAACACTGGTAGTCAGGATGCTCATAGATGGTTGCAAAATGAAGGAACAAATGAAGGCTACCCAAAGTGAAATAAAGCAAAATATTGAGGGAACCAACAGTGACAGGAAGGAAATCAGGACCCAACTCAACAATCTGGAGCAGAAGGAAGAAATAAACATCCAACCGGAACAGAATGAAGAAACAAGAACTGAAAAATATTGCAGAAAGGCTTAGGAACCTCTGGGACAACTATAAGTGTTCCAATACCCAAATCATAGGGGTGCCAGAAGGAAAAGAGGAAAAGCAAGAAGTTGAAAATTTATTTAAAATAATAATAAAGGAGAACTTCCCCAATCTGGCAAAGGAAGCAGACTTCTAGCAACTCCAGGAAGCTCAGTGAGTTCCAAAGAAATTGGACCCAGGCCCTGGCTGGTATGGCTCAGTGGCCTGAGTGCTGGCTTGCAAACCAAAGGGTCACCGGTTCGATTCCCAGTCAGGGCACATGCCTGGGTTGCAGGCCAGGTCCCCAGGAGGGGGTGCGTGAGAGGCAACTACACATTGATATTTCTCTTCCTCTCTTTCTCCCTCCCTTCCTCTCTCTAAAAATCAAACAAACAAACAAACAAACAAATAAATAAAATCTTTAAAAAAAAGAAAGAAATTGGACCCAAAGAGAAACACACCAAGGCACATCATCATTAAGTTATCCCAAGATTAAAGATAAAGAAAGAATCTTAAAAGCAGCAAGAGGAAAGGAGAGAGTTACCTACAAAGGAGTGCCCAGAAAACTATCAGATCATTTCTCTATAGGCAAGAAGGGGCTGGAAAGAAGTATTCAAAGTCATGAAAGGCAAGGACCTACATCCAAGATGATTCTATCCAGCAAAGTTATCATTTAGAATGGAAGGGCAGATAAAGTGCTTCTCAGACAAGGTCAAGTTAAAGGAGTTTATCATCAACAAGCCCTTATTATACGAAATGTTCAAGGGAGTTATCTAAGAAAAAGAAGATCAAAACTATGAACAGTAAAATGACAACAAACTCACAATTATCAACAACTGAACCTAAAACCAAAACAAAAACAAACTAAGCAAACAACCGGAACAGAACAGAATCAGAGAAATGGAGATCACATGGAGGGTTTTTGGCGGGGATGGGGGGAAGAATGAAAGTGGGAAGGTACAGGGAATAAGAAGCATAATTGACAGGCATGAAATAGACAAGGAAAGGTTAAGAAGAGTATAGGAAACAGAGAAGCCGAAGAACTTACTTATATGTACAACCCATGGACATGACTAAGGGGGGTGAAGGTTGGAGGGTTGGGGGGTGCAGGGTGGAGGGGAGATTCAGGGGAAAAAATTGGGACAATTGTAACAGTATAATCCATAAAATAGACTTAAAAAAATAAAGGGCACAATGGCCCTCACAGACTGCAGCTCCATCCCTCTCCTTGTACCACTAGCAGAGTCCCGGACAAGAAGGCACAGTGAGGGTTGTCCCCATTTCGCAGAGGAGACTTGACTCGCCCAGTCAGGGCGTCATAGCCATGCTTAGCTTCTTGACCCTCCATGGGTGCTGTCTTAATAACGGGGGCCATGTCCATGCACCTGCGGCCCCAGGGCCGGCACAAGGCGGGAATGCAGGGGTGGTCAGTGTGGAAGCTCGGCTCACCCTCACCCAGCCTCCCCTTCCCCTCCCCTCGGACTGCTCCTCTGATTCCTCACCTTGGGAACTCTGCTGGGGACGCCAAAGACCAGGACGCAGCGCAGGCCCTCTTCTATCAGGGGCCGCAGCATCTCTTCTAGCCGGTTCACACCGTACCTGCGTGTGGGTGGGGGAGGGGCTGAAGTGAGGCAGGTCCTGGGAACCGGTCCTCCCCACCCTGCCACGCTGTGCCTCTGTTCAGAGCCACAGTGCACCTGGTACCAGGAGGGCTCACGCCCCGCAGTACAGGGAGGGGCAGAAATGTTCCCACCAAGCAGATGGGAATGCCGAGGCCCCAAGTGGCAGAGCTATGGCATTCAGCCGTGGGAGGACCCTCCAAGGCTCTTTCTTTGAACTCCCATCTGAAGCTAAGCTCTCCTCTCCCAGACTCCAGACTCTGCTATGGTGCCTCTGGTGAAGGGCAGCCCATCACTGCACGAGGCTGCCTCTTCTGTTGGGGAACAACTGTGACCCTGACAAGATCCTTCTTGCTACTGAGCTGAAGTCAGACTCTCTGGATCTTCTACCTCCTGGGTCTGCCTCTGCTTCCTGGTACCTCCACCTGTAAAATCTCTCCCTCCATCAGCCCCTGCCCTCCCCACCCATGGCTCCTACCTGGCCACTCCTGGAAGGCTGGCGATAGGCTGTACATCATCAGGAACATCCCTGCAAGAGTGGGGGTGGGCTATGGACTGGGAGCTGTGGGGAGGGCCAGTGGGGGAGGGCGTGACTGAGGGGGATGGGTGGGGAGCTGGGAAGGAACATGGAAATGTAGATGGTGGGAGGGGGATAGGGTCCAGAGTCTGGTTCCCCTGCCTGGCCAAGCCCAGGGCCTGAAATAATAATAGGAACAACAAGAATGACAGTGACAACAGGAGCAACTATACTAACAGATAAGTAATCCTAGGAAGCAGTCAAGTGGTTAAGACCTTGGGCTCTGAAGTCAGAAGGTCCTCGCTTGCTATCACAGTCCGTTACTGACTGGGTGACCTTGGCCAAGTTGTACCACCCCTTTGAGCCTCCAGCCCTTCATCTATACCCTGGGTGGATTCATTCATTCATTCATTCATACCACAAATACTTATTGAGCACTTATTATATGCCAGGTACTGTTCTGGGCTCTGGCAGTATAACAGTGAAGAAAACGGACAAGATTCCCTGCCCTCAGGGAGATGATAATCTAGGGGGCAGTATCCACACCTTCCTCAGACAGATGCTGTCAGGAATGAAAGATAACAGATGTAGATGCTTACAGTACCTGGTACACAGCAAGTACTCAATAAATGTCAGCTGTCGCTATTTTTAATAATCCTGACTGCCACCTGTTACATGTACATGTGCACTTTACAGTGTACAGACTACCTTCCCAGCTTCTGTCTTATTCAAAAGCTCAGGACGGCAGGTGAGGGTTATTCTTTTTTTCCAAATGGGAAGATTGGGTTCTTGCCAAGGTTTGTCTTGTTCCTGAGACAGATGTCCTTAACCCAGCAGGTGACTTCCAGTACTGTGAGCTCCAAGCTGGCAGCTCACTTTACCGCCCCCAACAGATGCCTGCTCGGCTCACACACACACCCACCTACTCACGCACACACCCTGCGGGTCAGTGACTCGGCTCATTCTGGGGACTCACGTGACAAAGATGGGGTAGATGAGGTTGGAGGCACCGAGGGTGGCGGCGGCTGTCTGCCAGGTCCGAAGCAGTGGGTGGAAGTAGCCGCTGTGCAGAACAGACTGGGGCTGCATGGTGAGCAGGGAGGGCACAGGGCAGCCAGCTGGTGGGAAGGGAGGGCTCCCGGGATATCTGCTGGACGCTCAGCTGTGTAGGGGAATGGGAAGAGCATGAGGTATGGCCCCTGTACCCAGGGAGGAAAGAGCCAGGCAGGCTCTCCCGGGTTCCTGCCTCTCCTGCTCTCCAACCCATGTTCCTCTGAGTGTGGTTCACCAATCCCTGCTGGTCTATACGATAAGTAAAGAAATAAAAGTAGGACTTAAACTTCCATAGCAATCTGAACCTGATACTATAAAATCTGGGCTATTTTTATGGCCTCTCTTTTTCTTTTTTAAAGATTTTATTTATTTATTTATTTTTAGAGAGGGGGAGGGAGGGAGAGAGGTAGAGAAACATCAATATGTGGTTGCCTCTTGAGTGCCCCCTACTGGGGACCTGGCCCACAACCCAGGCATGTGCCCTGACTGGGAATTGAACCAGTGACCCTTTGGTTCGCAGGACAGCACTCAATCCACTGAACCACAACAGCCAGCGCTCTTTTTCTTTCTAAATAACATTTTTTTCTAGTAATTCATTTTTATTTTGTGTTATCAAAGGATCAATCTCAGCTGAATTGGAAGCTAGTATGAGAAGCACTGATCTAGCCAACATTTATACTTTGTTTATTCCATGAAAAATGTCCATGTGCTTGGCAGAAATTTTAGATAAGCCAAAAGAGAAAAAAAATCTCTTGTAATTCTATCTCTAGAGAAAAGCACAGTTAACTCCTTGGTACATGGACTTCTGGTCGGGCAGGTCATATTAAGAGGATTAAATAGTTCATGCCTGACAGACACACACACACACACACACGCCCTATAGAGTGGCCACTGATAGCATCTCTTCCAGCCCCAGAGCCTCCGGCTGCTCCCCACGCACAAGCCACACTTGGCCAGCTTCTGGCTCTGCTCACCCTGTGCCCTTGATCTAGAAGGCTTGTGCTCTCTCCACAGCTTCAGCCCCAAACCTTACTGGGTTCTCCGCAAGGCACTCCTTCTTCCCTCTCCCACTGAAGTTTCTTATCCTGCCCAGATCACACTCTCTCTTACACAACAGGTCCCTGTGGGTCTATCTTATCTTGTTCCAACAGACAGAGCTTTTGCAGGGCAGGGTCCACAGTGAATTCATTTTTTGCCTTCTCCATTCACTCTGCCACATAGTAAATATTTAATTACACAGAATACTAAATAATTAATGCCTGAGGCATAATCATTTTTTTCTTGAGCACCTACTATGTGCCAGGCCATGCTGGGCACTTGCATATATGATTTCTCATTGAGTTGGCACTCCAGTCCTGGGAGGCGGGCTAACTGAGTGCGTCTTGGAGAGGTGGAGCCCACCTTGAAAGAACTATGAGTTTCAATGTGAGTTTGGAGGCCAGAAGAAGCTTGCTGAAAGATGAGGACTTGAACTTGGTTTTGCAGGATGAGTGGGTTCAGCTAGTCAGAGGGCAAGGGGAGAACATTCCCTCAGGAGGGGAAGAGGGGAGTAAAGGTGGGGAAGGAGGGGGTGGGGGGCCTATGGACTGTTCTCAGAACCTAGGAGGCCATTGAGCCGTGTGTGTATAGAAGGGAGGGGGCGAGAGGGGGCCAGATCCAGGGCAGGGGAGGTTTCTGACCAGGGGGCAGGGAGTAGCCTGGTCCGAGCCTGGCGGTAAGAAGAAAATTCTTACCGGCCAAGCACAGCGGACTGGAAGCAGAGGAGCACAGAGGCTATGGGTCAGAGGGGCAGAGAAGGAAGGGCCATCATAAGGCAGTCAAGGGGCCGTCTCTTGGGGCGGACATTCCGAGCTTGTCTGACTGGGAGGGCAGTGGGGAGCAGAGCTTGGAGAGGAGGTGGAGAGCTCCATTTCAGACACTTCCTTTTGGAGGTGTGTACACATGTTCATGTGAACAAAACGGACTCCATCTTTGTATCCCTGCTTTTGTTTTTCCATGCCAAGAACTCTGACCTATCTAGTCTCAGCCAGCACCAAAGCCCCAAGTTAATGATTAGCCGTGTCCTGTAAGCTTACCTAGTGTAACCATATAGATTCCTATGAGTAAATGGCCAGAATAGCACAGCAACCGAAATTAATATCAAACTAGGTGTTGGCATTAATTCTAAGCAATTATCCATCACAAGACTACCAGGAGCTATGGTTCCTGGCTCACTGCATTCTTCGTCCCTTTGCCTTGTCAACCATTAGTAGCTCAGCTATACTACGAAACGTTTATCACAGTGCTGTCTCGCAGTGGAGGCTGATCTGCGCATGCTGCTGGCTCATCTCTTCTGCCATGACCCAATCTTCCTGTAAGTGAATTACTCTGTAATAAATTCTATCCTATTCAGTAAACTTGCCAGCTTCTAGACAGCACAGATTGGTGGTCCATGTACCCCCATCCTGCCTTCAGACAAGGTGCCTGGGGGAACACTCAGTAGCCAAGTAGGGGAGAAAAAAAGAGCCAAGAGCCACCCATCTCTTCTTGCGTGGGCGGAACCTCAAGGCAGGGGCTTATCCAACGTTATACACTCCCTGGGCCTGGGCAGTCCTTTAGTACACTGAAGATGCCTTCTCTCCCCACAGTCTCCCAGGCCCCATTTTATCTGACCCTCCAGCCTGTCAGGGTCAGGGTTATCAGGAGCCACACACAGACGCACCCTGCTACCCCACCCTTGAGCCGGTCACATCATCTGACACAGGAGCAAGCCGGGCCTCCCCAAAGTTTTTCCAACCCCAAAAAGAACAATCATTCAGTAGTTACAAAGTCCTGAGTACCCCTTTTGTGCAAGATTTTGCTCTGAAGTCTGCCATGGATTCGCCTAGCTCAGAGAGCTTAAGTCACTTGCCCAAGGGTACACAGCCAGTTAGTAAGTGAGCCAGAATTTGAATCTGTTCTAGACAAAGAGTGCAGGGTTTTATCCACTAGGGCTGGTACACACTTGATTCAGGAGGCACCTCTCTGCCTCACTATCTTTGCTTTGGTGGCTGGACAGATGGAGGAAATAAGAGACGGATATACGGAGCCTATGTTATGTGATGGTATAGGTATTTTCTATACACAGTATACATTATCTCATTTAATTGCAGAGAATCATTCTAACTTTTGGTGATAAGGGAGTGGAGGTTCAGAGAGGTTAAGCGACTTGCTCAATGTCAGATTCTGAAGCTGGATCTCCGCCTGTCTCTGATCTGCTTCTGAGATAGCAAACTTTGTAAACAGGCTCCAGCTTCTGGAATCCAAAGCTGCATTCCACTGGATTCCTAACCTTGCTTATACTTTAGAAGGTGGGGGAGGGGGCGGGGGGGGCACACACAGCAAATGCCTTCTGTTTATCAGAAACAACAGGGCAGGGCTGCCTAGGAGCTCTGCCGCCCACATTTCACCCCAAGGAGACTGGAGCTTGGGGGTGGGGGACAAGGGAGGAGGGTGAGAGTGGTGAGGGGGAAGCCTCCATTTAAGCTGTTCTTTTTTTCTCTTTAAAGTTTAGGGTTCAGAGATTTGATGTGAGAAATGGGTGTCAGTAACTAAAACAGTGAAGTTGACAATCACTGATCCTGTTTAACTCTTACATGTGGCCGTGGAAAACCGGGTGCACAGAGGCAACAGGGCTTGTCTGACACTGCACGGCGAGTCGGGCACAGGCTGGGTTTGACAGTGGGGTCTCCTGCCTTCGGGTCCAGCTCCATTACCTACACAACCCATGGTTGCTCTGTCGCAACTGGTGCTGAATCAGTATCTCTGGGGTTGAAAAACAACTCTGGGCAACAGAGCCACATCTCTGTTTGCAGAGCTGAAGCTGTGCCTGGGCTTTGCAAAAAGTCCCTAAAAGATTGGGAAATGTTCATACACTTGGGAGGAGGGCACTTCTCCAAATCAAGCGAGCCTGCAAGCCACAGCTTAAATCCTGTGACACCTCACTGAAGTCAACAGCAAGTCACCATGGGACCCAGCACCATGCTCAGCCACATTAGAACACGTTAGCTTAGCTGGAAGGCAGTAGACGGTGGTGGTGGCGCAGAAAAAAACTGCATTGCAAGGTCAAAGAGCCCCAGGTCTGGTCTGTGCTCTATGCATGACTCTGAGAGGTTGCTGGCTTTTCAGATTCTTCACTTTGTAATATATGAAATGGGAGCTAAACTATCAAACTGGCAGAGATTAGAGATAGAGGAGAGGTATGTGCCAGCCACACAGTAAACATGTAGCTACTTTTCTATTAGAAATAGAACTGAGCTGGAACTAGATCTCCTGGCATGCCCTCGTACCTTTGCCTCCTGCACCACACCCAGAAGGGAGAACTTTCACTCAAATCTGTGTGGGCTACAGGGTCTTCCAAGACATCCGAGGTGGGGGGGCCAGGGGGAGGTCCCTGCCTTGGAGCAGCTTCTGTGAGGGAGGAGAAATAATCACCACACAGATGCTACAATAGAGGGATGGCCCAGTTGCTGTGGGAGTCAAGGAAGGCTTCATGGAAGAGGGAACATTGAGGGATAAACAGCTTTTCAGACTGATTGTGAAGGTATCGCCTTCCTTAGAAGGCAAGTTCCCCAACCTGGGAGCAAGCTAGGTCGGGCCCTCAGAGGAGCCACTAGGACGGGCTGAGAAAGAGCTGCAGGGTCTGAACCCCCCATGTTGTGCGCAGCTGAGGATTCCAGAGGCTGTGGTCTTGGCACAGAGGGTGGGACCTGCGGCTTGTTCTGGCAGGCTCCGCGAGCTGGGGAGGAGGCAGTCAGGAGGGTTGCCTAGGTAGAAGGTGGTCAGGGCTGAAAAGTCCAAAGCCCCAGAGGGGCCCAAAACAGCAGCTGTTAGGCAGTTCTGAAAAGGGACAGATTTGTTTATGCAGCTCACATTTCCTGAATATCCACTCTGGGCCTGTCCCAGGGCTACTTACAGGAATTAAAAACAAGAAGGAGACCTGGGCCTTGACCTGGAGCTTTGAAGAGCCCGGTTTCCTCTGGGCTCAGCTATGAGGAGCTATGTGGAGAATTTGCCAGGTTACATCATTGAAATGATGGTGAAACTGGACTCAAAGGACAGACGCAGGCCCAAGATCACGCCGGGGGTCAGTGGCAGTTCTAGGGCTAGAATCCAGGTCTCCCGCAGCCCAGTTTTCAGTGCTCTGGGTGAAGCCGATGGGGGAGAGGCGCAGCCTGGCGGCTCTAAACCTGGCTGCAGCGGGCAGCATGACGGCTGTGTAGATTTTGGAGTCTGCACACACGGATTCATATCCTAGTTGTCACTTTCCAGCTGTGTGACTTCAGTTTCCTCATCTGGTAAACGAGGACTTGAACCGCCCTCAATGGGCTGAATAGTCCAGTGCATGTACCGTACAAAGGTGGCACAAAACGGCTGTTACTTCCACTTCCCTCCCTCATCAGCGATGGTACCTCGGGCTCTGTACCAGAGCCCGCTCCAGCAGCACCGCTCCTGCGGTGTCCAAGGGAGTAAACCCCGGAGAGGAGATGCGGGGCCCGGACAGCGGCCCTCCAGGGCTGCGGCTCCGCGGAGACCCCAACCCGGCTGCAGCACGACAGTCTACCTCTCAGAGCAAAAATACCTTCCCCACAGGACGGTCCCTGGCTGCACTGCCAGTGCTTGACGCGGGACTCTTGGGGCCACAGCCCCCGCCTCCCAGTACGCCACCTCCCAGAGTCCGGCCCCCCTTACCTACCTCCCAAGAGCTGCGAGTCTACGCTCTTGCCACCGCCACGGCTATCACACAGCTATCACACAGCTACCACGCACTCTCTAGAGTCCCCAACACACTGGGGCGGAGCTGCTTCCCGGAAGCTACGCTCCTCCTCACACTCCGCCCCAACACCCCCGGGGAACTCTTTGCCGGTGGGCTGATCCGCTCCAGCCCCTGACTCTCCCAAGGGCACAGGAGGCTCAGGGCCTGGCCAATCGGGTGCGCTGAAGAGCTTGAGAGCCCGCCCCTCCCGGCTCCGGGCCAGCGCACTGGCTGGGAAAGGCCTGAGCGTACTAGAGAGGAACCTCGGGTCCCTTGGAGTGAACCTGCTTCGGTTCCGGCGCCGTAGGTCACTTTACAGTCCTCTCCCTCCCCGATTTAGAGCATTCTTGGTGCTAGTTAATTACTTGTTGAAAGAATAATAGGATGCCAGGACATTAAAACAACACTGTAATGCCTAACACAATTGCTAAGTTCATTTTTACGGACTGAGCATTTTGAAGTTGTTGAGCTCAGCACCAGGCTGCCTTCCAACTTTTAAGAGAAAATGTATTCCATTGTAATTGCTGAGGGTCTACTCTGTGCCGTGGTTGGGAGATGTGATTTGAAAGACATGGACACTGTAGGCATTAGACCTGTCTAGTGAGTACACCTGACCGCAGATGTTGGGGGGGGGGCGGGCAGTTTGGGACAGAGTACGAGAAGAGGTAGGGGGAATCTAGTGAGGCTTTTGGGGCTTGGGTCAATTGGTAGGATTGGGAAAGTGAAGTGGGGGTCGGGGTCACTACCCTGACAAAGGAATGCTTTTATACAGGTGAATCAAGGATTATTGAAAAGTTAACTTTGAACTGTGGAGGAAGCCAGTTGATTGTACTACCCTTATTATAAGCTTTTGCTTCTCAAAATCTGTAACCCAAACCTGTTTTATACCTTCTTTATATTCCAAGTTAAAGAGGTAGAGAGGCTTAATGCTAAGGAAATACGACACCGCTTAATTCCCAGCTACTAGAGTTCTGATCTGTATTCAGATAAGGAAGGTGGTAGAAAGGAATGAGGAGAAGAGTGGAGAAATAAAATGGAATCACTATGGTGAAGCTGCCAAATTATTAAAATCAAGTAGGTTGAGGCATAAGGAAACGACTCTATTCTTGCTTTAACTAGCCTGGGAATTTAAACTTTTCAGTTGTGCATCCATGCCTGGATGTACATGAACTCCAAAGATAACCATCTGTCCAACCCAGTTAATGACCCAGACCACTGGACACCTGAAAGATTACCACCTCAGATCAGAGCAAAGGCTAAGAATGCAGGGCTAACTCTTCTCAAAAATGTACTTTTTACTATAAAAACTCTTAAACTTCTTTCTCCTTCAGGATACTCTGGGTATTGCTTAGTTTCAAGTTTTCAAACCTGGACACTTGAATGAAACTTTGCTATTTTTAATTTTAGCAAAGCCTCCTGATTCATTTGAACCTAGCTGACAGGAATTAATGATTTTGTGCATTAAAGAGTCAGGGGCAGTACCATGCACTTTATATTCACTTACCTAATTTTATAGATTGGGAAAACAATCACCAGGGAGATTACACAATTTGTCCCACCTCACATTGGGTTTACTCTGCAATGCCTGCTAAACATGCTACTTCAACTCATAGGGGTAATTCATCCCCGCATCCCTCAATTTAGATCTCCCACCCAACATTTCTTTGATAATACCTCTTTCCCAACTAAAAAATAATTAGGACCATCTACCAATAAAAGCCCAGAGTGGAGAATTTTAAAATGTTATTGTTTGATGTAATCTATTTTTCCCATGTTTCACTCTTAACTGGAAGACCTGTTCTCAGCCACACCCCCTAACTTTACCTTAATCTTTCACTCTGATTCATAAAAAAGTATTACGAATGCAACAATATGAATAAGCATAAAATAGAACAAAAGTAGTCAGACACAAGAGTACATATTGTATAGTTTCATTGATATGCAATACAAACTATGGCAAAATTAATCTGTGCTGTTGGAAGTCAGGAGAGCGATTACCACTGGGGAGAATGACTGGGAGACCAAAGGGGTTTTTAGGGTGATGGTCATGTTGTTTATTGATCTGATTGTGAATTATATGGATGTGTTTAGTTTGTGAAAATTTATCAATCTCTAAACACATATACACATTTTAGCATGTATAATGAAACCCTAACCCCCCAATCCCCCGCCAAAAAAATCCTCATAACCCCACTAAACTATTGTGCCTCTCAGATAGGTGCATGGCATTGTGCTAAATGCTGTGAGGAGTGTAAAAGAAATGGAGATTGGTGGTTGCCAGGGGGTGGGGGTGGGAAACATGGGGAGTAACTGCTTGACCAGTATGGAGTCTGATTTTGGGGTCATGAAAATGTTTTGGAACTAGACAGAAGTGGTTGTACACATTGCATTATGCTAAATGCCACTGAATTGCTAATTTTTAAAAGGTTAATTTTATGTTCTGTGAACTCCATCTCAATTAAAAAGGAAAATTGGTTCACCAAGTGCAATGTGGTATTTTGCTTTGGATCCTGAACAGAAAAAGGAAGTTAGTGGAAAGACTGATGAAAATACAGATAGTTTGGGCAAATTAACTGATAGTTTTTTTTATTAGTTTTGACAAATGTACCATAAGATGTTAACATGAAGGGAAGTTGGGTGACAGTTATATGGGAACTGTCTGTACTCTGCAACTTTTCTGTAAGTATAAAATAAAAAGTAAAAAAAGTTCCAAAGTAAAAAGTTAAAAAAAAAAAAAGGCCGTGGGCCACTTTAACAGGATCTCACTTTCATAAGTTAATGGTAAGATCTTGAGCAAGCCACTTCTCTCTGATGAGCCTCAGTGTCCCATCAGTAAAAATAGGTTAGGCTGCAAAAGCAATTTTGCATGAGTGAGAATGTAACCGTTTTATCCTCCAAATCCAGATCAGAATCTCTAGGTATGAAGGGCTGTGGTTAAAAAAAGATGAGAAACACGACCTTAGCCTAGTAAGGAATCTTCAAAACCCAGATACCACTACAGGAATGAGAGAGGTGAGAAAAACTGATGGATGACCTCAAATATGCTGCCCAGTTCTTAACTTCTGTACTCTTGAGTCATAGTCCCCATTGTTGGGAAACATGACTTTCCTTAGGTAAGCCTGGGTAAGTACTAAAGCCATGTGGGAGTTCTTTTAAGGGTTCCTTCTTGACTAGAGCCTTATGTTGGAGTGGTAGCAGATTAGAATAGATGGTATGGTGAGCCCTCTTTAAGCAGGATTGAATTAACAGTGGATTTGATTTGATAGGAAACAGCGAGGGTCTGTAACAGCAATGTTCTAGGAAGATCCACTTGGCAAGCAGTACAAAGGGAAAGCTAGGGGAAGCGGAGATGAGGCAGGAAACTGGGCTCAAAGGAAGCCACAGGAGTCCAGATGGGACTTGGGGGCTTAGCCAAGTGATGCTTATGGGAATTCAGAAACAATATTTTTCAAAGAAGATATTATTTGTCTATTTTTAGAGGGAGGGGAAAGGAGGAAGAAAAACATCAATTGGTTGTCTCACATGTGCCCCAACTGGGGACCAGCCCTGCAATCCAGGCATGTGCCCTGACCAGGAACGGAACTGGAGACCTTTCACTTTACAGGATGATGCCCAACCCACTGAGCCACACCACTCAGGGTCCAGAAGCTGTATTTCTGCTCGGGAGAAGGGGAAAAAACTCACTAGTCTAAATGACTGTTGGAGTTGTATCTTTGTGCAATGTTACTTATAAAGTCATGATTTGAGAAAGCTATGCAGATTAGGGAACACAGTGCCAGACACAGAGCAGGAACTCAACAATGTTTGCAGTTGTTAAGCATCTGGAATATGGGGTGTCCAGCAGAACCATGGAAAGCTCTTGTGGTGGCTGAAGAGCAGCTCCCTTGCCTGTGAACCAGCAGCACCTGCTGGTCACCCAAGGTGTTGCAGGATCCCATTTCTACAAAGATGGGGCTGGGCCCATAGCCCCAAAACTATGTAGGGCATGATCAGATGTGCCCCAAAAGCATACCACAAGCAAGCAGGATGAAACAGGAGTCATCACCTGTAACAACAATGTTCTTTATTTGTACAAAGCACTATAATTTTCTCAACATTCTTCACTCATTATCAACAAATTTTTTACTGTATTAATTTAATTAACAGTGTCAAACTACACTTCACTACCTGTCAACTGCCTTAGAGACAAACAAATAAGTGCTTGGAGCACTAAATAAAAGAAAGGGAAAAAAAAACCCTAAGAAAGGTCAACAGAGGTACTTTAGAAGCAGTTAAAGGGGATGATTGCGGTGGGGTCGGGTGGGGGGATTAAATTCCTGAGCACCATCCGATTTCCCTTAAGGTTCACAGAAGTTTACAAAATCATTTTTAAAAGACATGAGATTAGAACTAAGAAAGCAGAGGAACCTGCACTTTTTGATGTTAAGTAGGTTATCAAAGTTCCTGCACTGGCAGAGTGAGAAAAGGAGGAGAGGATGGGGATGGGAGCAGAGGAGAGGCAGCAAGTGGGAAGCACAGGAGGAGAAAGTTGTGTCTAGAAGAAATAAAGTTTGGAGCTTGTCATGAATTGGAAGAATGAAAAGCCACAGTCACAAGTCTGGGAAATAGACTACAGGAAGAGAAAGCCTGGTATTTTATACCTTCCAGGAGGTGACAACAGACTCTAAAGCTGCACAGTGGCAGGGAGTGAGGTGCATCCAAGACCATACCATCTCTTTTGTACGTGGAAGACATTGGCACACTTGTTTGACTGATGCCCGTCTATACCGAGGATTTAAAAGCTTATTTGCCGAGAGTGCAGCACCCCCACAACAGGTCAAATGCCTACAGGCAATCTAGAAGGGTCCCAAGCCAAGCGGGTTGGTACAAACCAAAATGAAATAATGTCACTGTCGAGTGAAGAAACCACAGATTTCATTGTTCTCCCACAGCCTTTTCGTCGTTTCTTGAAACTATGCCATTTCCACCGCGTGTAATAAGCTAGCATTGCCAAACACTGTACAAATAGGCTGTCCATGATCGGAGCCCCAGGTTTTCCCTGAGCCTTGACTGCCTCCTGTGATTCAGAACACAGCAGGTGGCATGGAAATTATTATTTTTGGTGGAGGTGGAAGGGAACTGGGAATCAAAAACTGCCTAATCACACAGGTAAGTAAACAAGGTCAAGTTGATTATCAGTTCGGAATCCCTCTTGCCAAAAAGTCATAACCTTCAGACTGATTAAGCAAAGCAGGATTCTGCTACTCAGAGGCTCTGAGTTTGGGAAGCGCTGGTTTTGATATTTCTAGCCAGTTTGCATTTCCATCTTCTCAGGTTCTTCTGCCTAGGGCTGCTCTGCCCACTAGGAAACAGCTTCGCGCACACGTCACCACGTTTCCCAGTGGTGCCTTCCAGAAGCCACAGTCTCCTCACCCTCCTCAGTTGTCCACTTCCTCCTCCTCGTTCTGTTCTTCTTCTTCCAACCGTTCCTCGTCTTCATCATTGTCCTCATCCCTACTCTTGTCTTGCTCTTCTGAGTCTGTTTTCCTGTCTTTGTCCTTCTTCTTTTGCTCAGAAGCTTCCTTCTTGCCTTTCTGCTCCCTCCTATAGGCTGTAAGGAGGAAGGAGGTGGTTAGGAGGCAGGGCTGAACCAAGCCGACAGCAGCAGCTAACTTCACAGTATACCTGTGGCCCAGGAGGAAAAATAACCTGCCCGGTATTACAAAACAGACCTCAGACGGCGCTAACTGCACTGTTTCTGAGTCACATCCAATACTTGCTCCTTGGGCTTAAAGGGACCCAAGCTGAGAAAGACTTGGGGCCTTTAGGACCAGGTGAGCAGGTCACACAGGATGAACACCTCCTTGGCTGAGAAAATAAAAAGCTCCTTACCTTCCAGAGCTTCTTTTAACGGCGTAACAAACCGCTGGAACTCCATTTCCTCCATGGCCGAGAGCACATCGCTGGCATTCAGCGTCTTGCGTTTCCCTTTCATTGCGAAGTTGTTGGCACTGAAAGAAAAAAAGAAGAAAGATTAAGGGCTGTCAGATCCTCTCCTGCCGCCTATGGCGTGGGTGGAAAAAGGAGCACCCAAAGGTGCAATGGTTAAGCTCACGTCTTAGATGCACGGAGTGCTGTGACCTGGTAACTCCCGCCCCCCACCCCCGTACAAAAGGGTTCAAGCAAAGTTATTTTGTTCCATTTCCTTCAGAACTTGCAAAAACCGGGGGAGGACTCTGAACCTCCCTCCAGGAGGTAGGACGGAGTTACTGGAGTTGGTGGGCTCCGACCCAGGGGTCTCTCTGCACCTCCCTCACGCCACAGACCCAGTTAAGCTCTGGATAGCCGTGCCCGCCGCCTCACCAGGATGTGGCATACAGCACGAAGACGCTGGCGGCACGGGAGATGGCGCTCCGGGCCTCCTTGGAGATGTTGACACCGTCCGGGAGCTGTGAGAAGAGCGGAGTTAGCAAAGCTGCCGGCCCACGTCCCGCGTCCCGCTTCCCGCCCCTGCCCGCTCGTCCGCCCTGGTCCATCTGTCAGCCTAGCTGCTCACCGCCTCCTTGATGATCCTAGTGATGACAGCGTTGGGCAGGTTTAGGTCCTCTGGCCTCTCCGCCATTGCCGCCACCAGGGCCGCACCACCGCCTCAGGCCTCCTCTTCAGACAGCTACAGCGTCTGGACTTCCCGCGTCGCCACGGTCTGACCCAACGAGGCTTCCGTCCCAACCCACGTTACCCACTGTGTCCCATACTGCCCCGCGCGGTGTAGCCTCCCTAATCCACTGGCCCCGCCTCCGCCTCAAGTTGCCGGGGCAGCCGAACGTTCCTCGCCGCTATGGTTTCGGTACGCCTGGAGTTCTGTCCGGCCCCACCGACACCCGATGTCCCTTCCCAAGCTCATTTGTCTTCCTCACGCCACCACCACGTCTGGCGATTCTCCCCCAGAATAAGTTAGGCTCACTGGGGCTTCCGTTTCCTCCCCATAGTGCTGTGCGCTGCTGCTGGGCGACGGCGCATCCCAGCGCGTTGCCTGGTGGGGGTGGGGAGGAAGAGGGGGACTGAGATGGTGGGGCGGGGCTCCTTTGGGGGAGAGGCGGGGTCTGGTGGGAGGGGCCCATAGGCCTCTTCACCGCCCCTTGAGGAACGTCGTTTAACCACTGGGCTGCAGCTCCCAGCAGCGTGGCTGAGCGTGGATTCCATAGAATCGCGCCCCCGCTGGGGTTCTCATTCTCTTTTACCAGAACGAAGCAGGGAATCTTTTTTTGAACTCTTACCGGAGCTGATGTTTATTCTTAATAATTACACCCCTCCAAACTCGGTAATAATAGTATTAAGGGATAATGTTACCTAGAATTTTACAACGCAAATTAATTTGCCAGCAGAGCACCAGTGCTGGCAACATAGAGATGGGCATGACTAGACGTCAGGGCTCAACTCGGTCTGCTGAGGTAATGAAAGGGCGACAGGCAGGTTGTGAGAATAATACACCACTTTCTCATTCAAAAACAAACCCTCTTAGAATTTCTTTCTTTCTTTTTCAGTTTTTAGAATCGTTCATAGAACATCCTTCCCGGTCAAAGGCATTACCATAGATAGCTGTACAATGGCTTTTTAAGTTGTATCATTTTCATATTATGTAGGTAGACATTGTCTTCACTCCCATTGAGGACTGCTGGGTTTTTTCCCATGAAACGTGTCTCATCACCTTTTTGTTTTCCTGTTTTTGATAATGAGTAAGAGAAATACTTCCCTATTATGAGAGAAAGCAGCAGCGATCTGAGGATAAATGGCAACTGAAACGGCTTCAGTTAGAAACTGTAGGATCTGGTGGGAAAACTCCACTTGGATAAAACAGACCTGGTTTAAAGACGTCAGCAGACGCTCAGCGTCAGTCAGCTGCTGTCCCGTTGGAACTGGGCACTCACGTTGTCAGATATTTTGATCTCTGAAAGGAGCCAGAAATCTGGACATTATGGACTATTTCCATTAAAAATAATGGCTCAAAGTACAGCCTAAGCAAAACAAGTCATAGGACAGGTGCAATCCTAGGCCAATATTTTGCTATCTTTGGTCTGAATTAAAAGTCCTTTAGAACAGGCACATGTTTCCTTGTTACTGTTCTCCATGCTTATAACAGTTTCCCTCACGTATTTGGTAGTCAATAAATATGTTGAATAAAAGAAAGTAGAAATGGACACTATCCTTACAAAGTTATTATGAATCAGGTGGTAGCGACTGCATAAAACATTTCTAGAGAGAGAAAGATGATAACATTTATCGAATACCTATTACATTACCACACACAAAAGTACATTTTTTTTTCATTTAATGCTGCTCCAATCCTGTTTAGGGATTTCCCTTCCTCTCTTTCATATGAGGAAACAGGCTAAGAGAGGTGAAGTCACTTGCCTAGGACCACACAGTAAATGAAAAGCCAAATGGCTTCAAGTCTGCTAGATTAGCTGTTTGAGCAAATCCATTAATTTCCAGTGCATATCTCAGTGCCTGTATGAGACTTGGAGCATATTGAAAAAGGCAACATTTCTTCCAAAGTTTTGAGCCATCTAAAGTACTTCTGTAACTACGTTCATTGTTTTTTGACAAGACTTTTTGGAGATGGTGCTATGTTCTCCCTAGTGATTAATAAAGGGGAAAAGGAAAGGATGCTGATATTTATTCTGCACTATATGCCGGGCCTTTTAATGTCCGTTAACTAATTTTTGTAATGACCCTGTGAAATAGGCTTATCCTCATTTTGTAGATGAGGAAATTGAAGTTCAGATTAACCAATCTTACTGGCAAATTAGGAGACCTTCTGAAGTGAGTTTGCTCCCAAACTCTTGCCACTTCACTTCACACTGTGATGTTTTCTTAATTTGCTTGTTACCCAGTTCTTAATTATCCTGTGACTACGATTTACCTATAAGCGTTCAATGGAAATATTTTATGCTTTGAGTCCAAATTAAGATCCGGCTAGTGTGTAATACTCCCTAATTATGTGGTTGTTTCTCCAAAGGGCTAGAAAGCTGCAAGGTCGGCTTTTGTCCTGAACCATTTATACCTATGGACTTGCCAGATGAGAGCCAGTGGGATGAAACCACCTGTGATATGGCTGTTTGTCAGCATCCACAATGCTGGGCGACCATCCGCCGGATTGAGAGGGGCCACCCTCGAATCTTGGGCTCACCCTGCGAAATTCCTCTGGATGTTGATGGTGAATTCGCCAGCCTGTCTCTTTCCTTACAAGATCTTTGAACTATTTCTGTTTGTCTCCCTTTTGTTATGTTACATGTTTTCTTCTGGTCTGTTTTCTCAGACAAACTCCCAGTGGTCACCGTTGTAAACATCTCCGATTCCTGCTTGCCGGCCAAGAGACGTCCTCATCGTCGTTCACCAGGATTTGCCTTCACCAAGCCTCACTCTTTACTGTCTCGGGGTTCAAAGGTTGACTCCAGATTTCAAGGCAGGTAAATTATCATGGCATCTTCCTTTAAGTGCCTGCTATTGCAAAATTCTGGGTTGACTTTCTTTACCCTTGTAGAAGGCTTTGGGAAAGCTGAGTTAAAATACTAGTTCAGTGAAGGAAGTGGTAAATAGGCAGAGGGAAACTAAAAGAAAGCATTCTTATTTGTGTTCTAGGAGTTGGTTAAAATGGGGATTGTATTAGTTTGCTAGGGTGCCATACATACAGTGTGCCACAGACTGAGTGGCTTAAACAACAGAAATTTATCTTCTCAAAAATTCTGGAGGCTAGAAGTTCAAGATTAGGGTGTTGGCAGAACTGCTTTCTTCTGAGCCTTTGCTCCTTGGCTTGCAGGTGGCTGTGTTCTCCCTATGTCTTAACATGGTCTTCCCTCTGTGTGTGTCTGTGTCCTATCTCCTCTTTTTATGAGCACACCAGCCCTATTGGATGAGGGCTCACCGATGTGACCTCATGGTACCTTAGTTACCTCTCTAAAGAGTCTGTCTCCAAATACAATGAAAATATGAGGTACTGGGGGTTAGGGCATCAACAAATGAATTTTGGGGGATGCAATTCAGCCCATATCAGGGACGATCTCATTAACTTCTGTGGGTCATCAGAAACTGTCTACACATGCTGTCTTTCTTATCTTTTATTTTTAAGTATGAAACTATAGGCTCCTGAAGGAAGAAGCAATGGCTTTTCCTTTTGAGTATCCTACGAAGTTTAGGTACTTGGTTAGTGCTTGCTGATATGTGAAGTTAAAGTAAAGGTATCTGTGGAAATCTCAGACCTTTAACATTTGAAGACCCTGTTGCCTGGAATCAAAGCACTAGTAGTGACTCTTGCAGTGATTTCTTGTCTCCTATTCCATTTAAGCGGCCCTTGGTGATTTTTCTTAGGGTAAAGATAGTGTAGGAAAGGATAGGACTCCTTTTCGGTTCTCTAGGACTCAAACCCTGAAAAACAGCGGCTTTTCCCAGGTGGGGCCTGTGAAGGCCAAGACCACGGCATCATTTGTTCAGTCACTCCTTGAATTCACAGGTATATCTCAGTGGGGGCTGCTTTCCTGGGCACTGGGGATACAGTGGTGAACAAGTTAGAGTCTTTACCCTCAAGGGGCTTTCAGTCTAGCTGGGGAGGCAAAGACTCATTCATTGTGATGAATGCAGCAAGAAGAGCGCCCCCTAGGTGTGTGGACGCTCGTGGGAAGGATCCCTAACCCAGGGCGCTGCCTTCTGTGTAGGTGGTGTCTTGCCTAGACCTGAAATTAGAGCAGCTGAGTGAAGTGGGGGGTGTCGGTGGGAGGAGGACAGGAAGAGAGTTCTAGACTCCAGAAATAGCACATACAAAACTCAGAAGGCAAAAAGAAATTCTTTAGGCATCAGGAAAAAAGTTCAGTGTGTTTAGAACATACAGCAGGAATAGGGAGGGGAGTGGTCAGAGGTAAGACAGGGAGCTGGAGTAAAAAGCAGGGGCCTGCATCATGTAGGACTTTGTAAGTCAGGCTAAGGAGAGGGCCTTTATCTTATATCTCTTTTCAATATTTATTCATTTATACATTTAACATTTAAAAAAATAAAATAGCAAGTGGTTAGAAAATATAAGAGGGCAGTATTCTTTTTTTTTATTGTGGTAAGTATACACAACATGAAATCTACCACTTTACAATTTTTAAGTGCACAGTTCAGTAGCATTAAGTACATTCACAATGTTGTGCAACCATCACCATTATCCATTGCTGGAACTTTTTCATCATTTCAAACAGGAACTCTGTACTCATTAAACAATAGCTCCTCATTCCCTCCTCCCTCCAGCTCCTGATAATCTCTATTATATTTCCTGTCTATGAATTTGCCAGTTGTAGGTACCTCATATAAGTGGAATCCTATAGTATTTATCCTTTTGTGTCTTGTTTATTTCATCTAATGTGATGTTTTCAGTGTTCTCCTGTGTTGTAGCATGTATCAGAATTTCATTCCTTTTTAAAATATTCCTTTGTCTGTGCATGCCACATCTTGTTTATTTAATATGTTTTTGGACATCTCCATCAAAGGTACTTAATGAACCTTTATTGATGGTCATGTAACCGTCTATAGCTGGGGAGAGAATGAGGCATAGGCTGTGCATTCAGTTTGATCCAACAAATAGTCGTGCAGTGTTTGCAACGTGCAGTGTCTGTTTGGGAGCTGTTCCACAAAAAATGAACAAAGCTCAGTGAGATGGCAAGACCCTACATTCATTCGGTAAGTATTCAGTCCATGGCTTTCTATAAGCAGAGGCTTTTCCTCATAGCACTCATTTTATCATTCTGAGAAGTCTTTTGTATCTCAGTCTCATGTTCAGAAACTCATTTTTTAGGCCTCGAAAGAAGTTACCCGGCAAAGATTTGATCAACTGTACTGATAGATCTTTCAAAGTAAGTCACAGATTGAAAAAGGTACTTCCTCTGCATCTTCTCTTTACTAATGGAAATAAAACACTTGCCTTTGTTTAGCATTGCTTTTTGGGATGGCTTCAATCTGAACGATGATGGTCATGATGATGATAATGATAACTACCTAACATTGGGCCCTTACTATATGCCAGGCTCTGTGCTAATGTCTTTACATGCTGTACTATTTCCAGAAATCCCAGACACAAGTGGGGTTGATCTGTGACAGTTTGGCATATGTGAGCATTTTGTCTCTACCCTACTTAGAACATGTTCTGCTACTAAGTAAACACTGTCATCTCACAATACAGGGAAATTAGAATGCTGGAATGGCAGACCTAAATTGGGCCCTAAGGTCATCTACTCTGATGACTTTCCAACATTTTTAGCTGTAACCTGCAGTTAGAATTACGTTGCACAAGAAAAATGTCATGGAACAATCCTCACCCTAACTAAGGGGGATGCACTCTGAGGTTTTCTTTTCTGTTTTATTTTATTCTATTTCATTTTTAAACAACGTAGGCCACAATCCACTCAGTTTGATTCGATGACCTATAAATAAGTTGCGATTATAGTTTGAAGAACATCACTATGGTCTGTCTCATATGTTTTACAGTTGAAGAAACTGAGGCCCAGATGGGAAGAGATGTGCTAAAGCACATAGCTAGTTAGGAGCAGAACTAAATTAGAGTTTAGGGAGGAAAACCTGTCCATTGATATATTCATCTACGATAAGAGAGATTTGCTATTCTTGGCAGTCCTGTTGATGCTTTTTATTTTTTCATGTGATACGTCACTTTTCAGTGTCACATTGTGGGGAGTGTGGGGAACTAAGAGAGGGTAGATAGGTTTGAATGGATGAATGAGCAAAGCACTCACCTCTTCGACCACTTCGGAACAAGAGGGTTAGGTTAAATGAGTTTTAAATTAATTATTTGAGTAGATAATACATGCACATGGTTCTAAATTCAGAAGCAGGAACAGATTTACCGTGCAAAGAAGTCCCACCTGTTCCCCTGAGCCTGTCAGTTCCTTTTCATGGGGACGACCTTGTTCTTAGCCACCCCTTTCCTACTAGGGATATAGATTAGATAATCTATAAGGTTTCCTGGGGCAATTGGTGTGCTAGTATTTTAAAAAGCTAAATATGAAGAGAGTTAAGACTTTCACTTTTATGTAGATGCCTATAATTATAGATAGGCTAAAAAAAGTAGAAAACTTGCTTTTGTCTCTGTCAATGCCCCCCTACTCCTAAATTATATTGTAATATCTCCAGAGGATCTGAGTTTTTGGAGTGGAGTGGCCGGAATTAGTGTTCCCTTAGGTGAGCTCCAAGGTACCCTTGTGTGGGGTGGGGTTGGGAGTTGCTGAATGCCACCATAACGTCACAGGAAGCGGGGAGGCTATTCGCTTAATAAATGCTTACTCGTACAGTACCTGTACTGATACCTGGTTTCTTAGGGGAATGTTATGAAGGTGTTTGGGGATAGGAAAATGTCTTTTTGTTATCTTGTGAGCCACCGTACCCTTCTGGTTCCCATCATAATTGAGTCCTTGGTTTGGTACTGAGTGCTATCAGGAACTGGTACCTTCAAACGATACATAGGCTTTATATTTTTCTCCTAGCTTCCAGTGCTAAATTTGAATGAGACACCACTTCCTTGCCCTCAAGACGTTGGAAATATGGTTGTAGTCTGGATCCCCAAAGAACCAGAGGACCGTGTTGGGTGAGTGTCACGTCCAGAACTAAGAGGTCTTCAACTCTTACCTTCTACGAAGCCCTGCTGTCCTCTGCAGGCCTCCTTTTATGGTCTCCTCTGCAGACACCTCACTGCAAGTAGCAGGAAGGACACCACCAGAGGAGGTCATAGTCTCTTGCATCTGCCACTTGCTACACTGGAATTCTATTTTAATGCACTTTGAGATTCATGTCCTGGGACTTCTCTGTATGAAATTCTATGTGGCAGTAAATAGTGTACAAGACAGGGCCCAATGTATTTGTGAGGTCTGATTAAGAAACAAATGCTTTCTGACTATTAGTTTTTCTCATTAGCCATCGGCAACTAGTGAGAAAGTTTTTGGTGAAGCACATGAGCCTTTGGTCTCAACCTCAAGACCTGGTAGCACAGTGGCACAAAGCAAACAGCACACGGAGCTTGGGTACAAGCTGAATGTTACCAAGATCACTTGGCAAAGGCCCAAACAATTTTTGGAATAAAGTAGTTTTCTTTCTTTTTTCACAAAAAGATTTTATTTATTTATTTATAGAGAGAGGAGAAGGGAGGGAGAAAAGAGAGGACGAGAAACATCGATGTGAAAGAGAAACTGTTGCCTCTCGCATGTGCCCTGACTGGGGACCAAACCCACAACCCAGACGTGTGCTCTGACTGAGAATCCAACCAGGGACCTTTTGCTTTTGGGGCGACGCCCATCCAACCGAGTCACACTGGTTAGGTCAAAAGTGGTTTTTCTTTTGTGACTGCAGAGACTTTCAATTTCTTGTTAAGTGACTGTTTAGATGATGAGATTTAAGGATTTTTTAAATTTTATTTTCTTTTTTAAAAGATAACCTGTTAGTGCTTCTTTATATATGCATTCTTTATGTGTGTATATGTACATGTATGTGTGTGTAGTGTATGTGTGTATATGTGTGTGTATGGTGTAAATAAACAAATTTAAAAAATCCTAAGGTCTCACTTCCTTTCATATAAAAGAAGCCTGGATGTAGGTGGGCCAGGGCTAGTAAGTCAGGTCCATGTGGTAATCAGAAACCAGAGTTCCTGCTAGCTCTCTGGATCATCATCCTTATCCAGGGCTTCTGTCTTCTAGGGTGCTTCACAAGGGATTTTAAGGTCTAAGCGACTGCTAGGGCTCTAGCCATCATAGCCATGTTCCGGGCAAAAAGGAGGAGGAAGACAACAGAGCAAAAATAGTTGAGCACCTTCTCATGCAAAATACTGAGAATTCGGTGGAGAACCAAATAGATTTGGTCCCTGTCCCTCTGCAGTCTTCGGTGGTGGGGATTCAGGCATTACAGACATCACCAGACCTGCGTATATAATTGCTAATCTGGATAAATGATATTAAAGTAAATAACTGGGTTGTATGAGAGAATCGTGGGGAACCTAATTTAGATGTGAGGGTGGGGGTCTTATTTTAGCAGCTTCTGGGCAGCAGGTACAACTGGACTGCCAGCTAGCCATGCTTGAGTATTGAATAGAGGATAGAAATCTTCATAGTCATCATTCACAAATGTTCTTGGTATTTTTGTTTAAGATGCGTGGAAATAAGTTGTGGTTGTTCTTATTTCAAGTCCAGCAGAGAAGCAGATTGTTCCCAGCCAGGATAGGAGGAAGAAAAGAAAGACACCTACAGTGGTGAGTTTGATGCTTTGGCCAAAGCTTTATGACATTACTCTATAGAGTTTGTTTTTTGTTTTCCTGTGAGCTATGTTCCCCCTTCCCCTGGTCTCTCTTTAGATGAACAAAATTTGCAAAAGAAAACCTCTCTTAAGAAATGATTACCAAACCATTTGTGTTCAGAGACTCTTTTTCCCTACCTCCTTCCTGTAGGAAGGCGAAGAGCATCGCTTTGAAGAGATGTTAGGAGGAACTGTTGGGTGTTCAGGGGAAATTTTGGGTCAGTTAAAAACTAATTCCCAGTGTGGTGGAAATAGAATTTCAGTGGACTAAGAGTTGTAATGGGCCTGGGCTTTTATGTCTAATACTACCATTTGTTGGACAAATGTAGCCTTGAAGAGTCGTAGAGCCGGAAGGTTGCCACGTCCGTGAGAATAGTGTCTTGGTCCATTTTTTGTTCATTGCTGAATCCCAGCCCTAGCCCTGTGCCTGACACGTGGTTTTCCAATACGTATCTGTTCAGTTCAGTGAACAAGTGAATAACCTTTTGGGGGGAAAACAAACAAAACAACTAATCCCTGTTGTGATCGGAATTCAGCAGTAGGGTCGGGGAGCCAGAGAGAGAGCATGGTGGCCCTCACAGTGCAGAGTGGGGAGGGCTGCTGCCGGACTAGGTCTGGAAGCCAGGGGTGCAGGTGCCAGGGCTGGGTTGGGAGGCTGGAAGGCGGGTGGGAAGTGGTGCTGAAGAGAGTGCGTCAGGGACCTCTTCCCACTGTTTCTCTTCCAGAAAGACAAGTCGTCTCTGGTTCTCTCTGGAAAGCAGAACTTAGAAGCACAATTGCAAGCTCAAGGGATAATTGTGCCTCCCCCATCCCCAGTACATTTTTTTGAGCAACTAAATTCAGAATTCCCACCTTTCTGGAACCAGTCTGACATATTACCTCGGTATCTACTAAATGAGTAAGCATCATGTAAGCCTGTGGGAGAGCCAGGGCCCCTGCTTTTCTTGTCGCTGAGAAGGGTCAAAGCAGTGGGCTCTTCTTGAGTCGGGGGACAAAACCATCACCCTTCTTGTTCGCTGAGTTCTTAGACTTAACAAAACGCAGTGGTGCTGATAATCACTGCCATTTATCAAGTACTTTCCTTCTGCCGGGCCCCGTGCTAAAGAAGCCCATTACACATATTCGTCATTTAAATCTCCACTAGGAGGTACACGCAATCCCTTTCCTCTTTTTATCCATGAGTTACGGGTAAGTGGGAGGCAGAATGGATTTGTGCTTTGGAGTGACACAACCTTCATACTTTGTATCAAAACTTACTGGCTTCGTGAATTTAGGTAATACATTTAGCTTCTTTAAGCTTCCTTTTCCTTGTTTGCAAAATGGGGACAATAATACCTGTCCTCAGGGTGTTGTAAGGATTCGCTGGTATAACGCACACCAGCCTTACAGATAGCAAACATTTAATCCACCCAGCTGTAAGTCCACCTGCAGGCTGTTAGTGAGTGAGCACCTGTTGGTACGGGCCTCTTGGGCCCAGAGTGGACAGTTCTTCAAATTTGCACCCCTTTTCGTATTTCTTGTCAGCCACACTCTCCAGGAGGAGCTGTCGCTGAGTGTCTGGCTGTCTCTGTCCCCTTCAGTCTTTTGTCAGATGAAGAGAGAACCTCGCCTTGTCTGGAGATGAAGACGCAGCTGGCCATGATGAAAAAGAAACCTCCCCTGGAAACCAGCCGACCTGACAGTGCCATTTCTGCGAAGATGTTTTTATCTGTACACCGCCTCACCCTGCAGGTAAGAGTTAGGGAGCCTTGAGCAAGATGTCTCTGCAAACCCAAATTCATCTATCTTCAAGGCACAAACAGTTGACTTTCTATTCCTTCTTTCTCTTCTATCCGTCCACTCTGGACTGAAGCCCCACAGAAGGGCTGGGCTGTACGCAGGTGAAAGCAGGAGTATGGGAAGGGGCTGAGGGGAGCAGTGTTCTCTCTCTCCCACCCGCACTTCGTCGTCTCCTACCTGTTCCCCTGTCCAGGCTCGTGGCTCAGTGCTGCACACACCAGGTCCTCAACAGTGCGTGTTGGCGAGGGGGATAAATGCATTTGGGAAACACATTTGGGAAAGGGCAAGACCTGTAGTAGAGTTTTGCTTTCTTTCTCTTTCTCCAGAGACCAGCACTGAGATATCCTGAACATATAAGGAGATTATATTATAACCTGAAGGAAGAAAATAGGTTTTCTGGTGCTGCCAGATCTGCAGGTACCATTCCATCAGCCCACAATGCTCACACTTGATCTCGGTCCAAATTCAGTTATGTCTGTGGCCATAGTCACACAGATAGGTGGAACTCAGGAAACTACGATTTCAGGAAGCAGCCACCACCACCTCCCCCAAGCCTGCTCTGGCTTGGTCCTGACCGGGGAGAGTCACCACTGTGGAACAGGGCACAGCAAGCAGCCCAGGGGGAGGGTGGCAGCTGTCAGGGAGAAGAGGGTCCAGCTGCTTTTCTGGTTGCCAGGTGATAGGAAGCAGCAGTGGCCCCAGGAGAGGCAGCGACAGAGGGCTTTGAAGACGCCTACTAAGAAACAGGTAGAGCGGCCCCTAGGCCTTGCTGGGCCTGGAGACGTGGGTGCCCCTGGAGCGGGTAGGGGTGTGTGAGAGGTGGGACCCCCCCCGCTGCGCTCTGTCTGGCTATAGACATGATGTTCCTGTTTGGACGCCTTCTTTTAGACTCTTTTCGAAAAGTTTTCTTCACTTCCCAAAAGTCCTAACTCCGTTCTCCCTCGTGCTGGTTTCAGGAGGCTAAAGAGAAATCCAAGAGTGACCCAGGGAGCCACAGCACTTCGCATAAACATTTAGGTGCCATGGTTTGTGACCCATGTTATGGTAAGGAGAGTGTGGGTTCAGAGTGACAGTGGCCCAGGATAGAGCCGAGGGCAGGAAAAGCTGAACACAGTTGTCATGTGGGAACCTGTCTTACCAGGTATTCAGAATTCTCCTTGGGATGCTTTGGCTTGGCTGCCATCCTCCCATCAAACATTTACTAGGCGAGCAAGCGGGGCCTGATGTCTGCTTCACATGGGATTTGAGAGAGGACCACGAGCATGAATCAGAGCCGTTTTCCCTCAGGCCCAACTTTAGAACAGGCAGAGCAGTTTGAGGGTGATGAACAAGCTGGTGTTACTGAGGGGAAGACCCCTGAGCGCCCATTGGTTGATGAGGTGGGGGAAGTCTGGGGCCCTTCACTGGAGCCCCTAAGGAAGCAGAGTCTGCTCCTCCCCCACTGCCTCCTCTGCCACAAGTTAATCTCTGCAGCCCGAGGCTGAGAGCCACACATAATGGAGCCCCACCTAGGAGGTGGGTAGCAAATTCTTGACAGGTGGTCCTTTCCCTCTAGTGTTCATGCTGGAGATGAGTGTCTCACTTTTGGGGGGAGTTCTTATCGTGTCTGAGCTGAAGGGTATGCTTACCCCTGTCCTACTGACATTTCTCAGCTGGGGTGCAGAATGGGAGGAGAGGAGGGAGAAAGAATCCCCCTAAAAACCTTCTGCCCTACTTAGACCGGACACTGCTGACCATAATGTGAAAATGACTGCTTAACCGTCAGAACTCACTCTCCAGCCCCGGGGCACTGGGGAGGCTGGAGGGTGGCGGGAGGTGTTTCCCGGGAAGAGACCCGCTCTCTTGGTTTCTTTCTCATCCCACTGAGCTCTCTGATACCAACGGTGTCCTCTGACTTGAAGATCTAAGAAGACTCCTCACCTTCCCACGGGAGGTAGACCGAACCAGGGCTGTGGCCCAGGGCAGGAGGTGACTTGTCCAAGGGTAGCACCCCATCCAGGGTGATCCACACCCCTGAATTCCACTCGGGCGCCTTTACTGTCTCTGATACCTCCAATAGGAGCAGTTTTGCTTGGGTGAATGGGGTGCCCCTTTGAATCATGTGCTTAAGCGGTGGGCTGTTGCCATTGAGCTGAGAAAGGCCTTATGAAAGAGACGATTTTTGCATTGGAATTTGAGTATGCGTGAGAGTTTTCCCGAGAGGGCAGAGAAGTCCTGGAAGTGGGAATAACCTGTGCTTGGGCATCCTGGCGCAGCATGGCTGCTCAGGGACTCGGAGCTGTCCACCGCGGCTGCGGGGTTGAATGCTTACAGGAGAGAGGAGGGGAGGGGCTTGTATAGCCTGCCAAGATGTTTCACCTCTGTCCTCCAGGTCAGTGGTGCTCCGCCTTGACCGCACACTGAAATCAACTGAGGAGCTTTTAAAACCCTAATTCCTGGGCCGCACCCCAGATCTATTAAATCAGAATTTTTGGTGTTGGCACCCAGGCCTCAGTGTATTTAGAACTCTCCAGTGTTTCAGTGTGCAACTCATGTGGGAACCAGTTCCAGCAGAGAGCCAACAGAAGTTAGGAGCAAGGGAGTTCTTTGACAGGCTTTGCCTTTTAGCATACCCCTGGTGGCGGCTTGGAAGGTGTTCATTTAGAGAAAGGGAGGCTAAGAATGGAAAGAATGAGTACATTTCAGGACTAGATGGGGATAAAGCTGAGGTAAACAATTTTTTTAAAGATTTTATTTATTTATTTTTAGGGAGGGAGAGAGAGAGAGAGAGAGAGAGAGAGAGAGAGAGAGAGAGAGAAACATCAATGTGCGGTTGCTGGGGGTTATGGCCTGCAACCCAGGAATGTACCCTGGCTGGGAATCGAACCTGGGACACTTTGGTTCCCAGCCCGCACTCAATCCACTGAGCTATGCCAGCCAGGGTTTACAATTCTTGAACTAGAGCTTTTTGGGGGGAGGGGTTTCGTTTTCAGAAACCAATGTGGGTACATTAGGTGTGGGGCAAGAAGGGCAGAGGAGCATTCACAAACGAAAAAGGTAGACTCGGGCTTCCTTTGCTGTTATGCTGTGCAGGTAGCTGCTGCTTAGGTTTCTTGGAGGAATCCTGGCTCTTGCAACACACACTGCACCTTAGTCTCTAATTCTGTAGTAGATGTGGGCACAGTTCCAGGTGAACAGAATCACAAATAGAACTCAGAAAGCCTAACTCCCTTTTAGCTGCCTCTACACTCCTGCCTTGTCCTGGATAGGGAGTCACAGGTAGACTAGGGGATCAGTTAGAAGCCCCAACATAGGATTGAGTACATATAAGAAGAGAACTGAGTTGACTTTGTGGTCCCTAGGTCACAAAACTCTACTGGGTCAGGAAAGTGATGAGCAGCAGCAGCAGATGAAGGAAAATGGTCCCACCTTGCAACAGGTGAGCGTGCGTGAGGGCCCCCCTGCGAGGGCCCTGTTTCAGTTATCTGGTGCTGCCCAGCCAACCGCCCGGAAGCTGAAACCACAGCGGTTGGTTATTTCTCATGACTCTGTGGATTGCCTGGTCTGGTTTGATGTCACTCATGCAGCCACATTCAGCTGGAGGTTGGGCTGGGCTGTTGGCCCAGGTGCCTTGGTTCTCTTCCATGAGTTCCCCACATGGGGCTAGTTTGGGCTTTTGACAGCCTAGTAATCTCATGCAGGCACTTGCTTAAGGGATGGACCTAGAACTGGAACAGTGTCACTTATGCCACATTTTGTTAGACACCGCCTAAGACACCCCCCCGCCAAATCTAGCCCAGGTTCAAGAGATCTAGCCCAGGTTCAAGAGGAGAGTAAATCCACTCTCTCTCTCGATGGAAGGAGCAGCGCGTGTGTACGGGACTAGGAGGAGTTGCTGGCAGCCACGGTTGGAGGCAGTCCGTCCTCAGCTGGCAGCTGGGAACGGGGGCAAGTGGGCCCTGGCTTCATCGGGACGGCCTGGAGGGCAGAGACTGTGTGATACAAGCCCCTTCTCTCTTCAGTCTCAGGTGGTGGGGTTTTGCCCTGTCTTAGATGTTCATTTCTCCGAGAAAAGCATAATTTAGATAAAATGTCGAGTTTCCTTACCCTAACTCCAATGGATCCCACAGGATTCCACGGAGCGACCACAGAGGGACCGTGCCGAGAACTACCTGGACTCCTCCCCCAGCGAGCAGAGTAAGTCGCTGGGGTGGAAGGACCTTAGAAAGGGGCTGAGGACAGGCAGGGAGAGCTAACTCTGTGTTGACTAGGTGGTTCACCTCCCTGGATGACATGGTCCTCATCCCTCTGGAGGGTCCTGAAGACACCCCAGCCCTTCCTTTTCTGTCCCACACTTGTCACAGCTAGCTGTGAGAAGGCGACAGGCACAGGTGATGGCTGGGTCTTCTTTTAGATTCGGAGTCATCCAGTACAGAATCCACTGACGAGGACATCAGTACTGAGGTAGGGGCTGTGCCAGAAGAGCAAAAGAGGACCTCAAACGACTTTTCAGCAAGCTCATCTAGACTGAGTTGGAACCCTGAGCTCAAGCTCCTGAGGATTCTTCAGTCCACTGATGATGAGGATGAGGATGAGGATGAGGATGAGGATGAGGATGAGGATGAGGAGAACCAAGGCCCTGGGGAGCAGAGAGAAGAGTCTCTGGAGGCAGAGGCAGAAGTCGTGGCTGAAGAGCCTTATGCACAGCAGGGTGCTTAGAAATCTGAGGACAACGACCTTGAACATAAGGGCTAAAAGGACAGGGGACTTCTCCCTGCAGCCTTTACTAAGGCCTGAGCTCTGGATTCTGTTTTCTTCATTCACCTCTACTTGCCTCTAAAATAAGCGAGGGAGGAAGAGCCCCACCCGTTTAAACTGCAGTTGTGTCTTTTCCATTAGGACCCGAATAATGTGTGATTAAACATAGCTGCTGCTTAATCAAAAGAGTCATTCTCTGTTTCTGGGAGATGGGGGTGGGGGAGAGATTTCTTGGCATCTCTTTTCTGGGTCGCTTTTATCTCCTCTCTGAAGCTCTGAAAGGTTTCCCATTGTAGGAAGATGAATTTCACCTGAAGGAACCCCTACAGTGTTCCTAACTTTTCCTCCCATCCTCAGGAAATGGCTTCTTTCCAGGGTGGCATCCACGTAATTATTCAATAATATGTGTTGTGTTATGTGTAATATTCCTCTGGATGTGGTACAGGACTCATAATAACTGGAAAGAGGCTGCAAGCTGCAGTTCCTAAACTACTCAATCTGCAGGAAGATTTCCCTGATGCTCATAAAGACTCAGGAAGGCTTGAACTTGATTTTTGGATTTTTAAAAATGTTTTTGTCCTTAAACTTTTTAATATGAAAAATTTCAAAGTTACGTAAAAGTAAAGAGGATAATATAATGAAATTCTTACGTACCCAATAAAAGCTCTGGACCCTATGCCCCGTGAGCCCCGGCAAGGGCAGTCGGAGACCCAGCATTCGCAGTGGCTCTACGGTTGAGGGCCAGTTTCCCTCCACAAGTCGGGGCTGGGGAGAAGAAGGCCCCAGGCTTCTCACGGGAACTTAGCCTCAGCAGCCAGGTAAACTGGTGACAAGATGAAAAACGATGACATCCTGTCCCGTCTGAGAAGACAGCCCTCTGACTTGGAGCTGGGGGTGAGGGAGCACTGTGTTTTGGGGTTGCAACAGCCTGGCATGGAGTTCCTGTCTCACTGAAGTTGGGAAAGGGGGGGGGGGCTACCATAGATTCTTGTAGTCCTCACTGAGCTTTTGTAGAGTTTCTCGAACAAATGTTTCTTCATTTGCTGGATGCCCTTAGGGTCATTTCTAGAGACTTAAAAAAGTAAAAAAAAAAAAAAGTTTTTTTCACTATTTCCACTGGAGAGCAGTCCGTGAAGCTCCTTATAATACTGTTAAGTCAGAGGTGGGACTCTGGGCTGGGCCTGAGATCTTTAAGGAGAAACCTGTCCCTCATCAGTTATTTGGTTACCCTAAGTACAGTTCATGCAAGAAAGGCAGGTTAAATGTTCGACTCCTTCTTAGCATTGTCTCAAATGCAGACCAAATTATAAAACTTAAGTTGCTGCCCACCCATTCCTTCCCATTCCCAAGCCGAATAAAATGATGGGACATCATTTGTGTTACTAGACTGAACTACCCTTAGCTGAATCTTCATGGTGAGAGGAATCCAAGAGGCATTGTTTGGTTTGTTTTAAAGAAAACAATATTTTTCAAATGAATATTACATTGCAGAATAACTGCAATGGGAATTTAAAAATTTACAACTTTTTCCCCTTTTCCTTAGCCTACACTCAGACACGTGCACCCAAGCAAACACGATTTCCAGTGGTCAGGAGTGGGGCCGAGGATGCGCAGGGCGTAGCTTTCATTTGTTCCTTTTATCGGAAGACTCAGAAGAGAAGGTCTGTCTGGTAACTCATTAAGCTACTTTGTAAAGCAAGTCTCAGACATTGGCCCATTTGTTTAAGTCCTGCTGATGAGTACAGAGTTACCTTTTGAATCATGACATATTTGGAGTGAGAAGGTATTTGCCGTCTGAACCCTAGCCTTCGCTTCTATTTTCAAAGGGGGGTAAAACATTCGCAGGCTAAAACTTGTTTCACCTTTATTATACCAACCCCTCAAATTTGGATAATCACCAACAGAATTTAGGGAAATGTAACACACATCCAACATTACAGTTTTCAAGATGCTTTACCCTCACTATTTTGGTTGTCTCCCTGGCCAACTCAATAGGTAAATATTATAACCAAACGCAGGTCTGCCGCCTGGGGCTTCCAGAGGCAGGTGCTGATGTAAAGGGAAGTGGTTTTATTCCGGGGCAGCCCCCTGGAAGATGGAGGACTCTTGTCTCAAAGCCCATCTGAGCATCTCAGGCCTCCTGGCTAGTTTAGATAGTGGGATTGTGGAAAGAGGGGAACTAGGGAACTTCTGGTGACATGCAGTTTCTCAGCTCCGCTCTGGGGTGGTTTCAGTGTTGTCTTCTGTGTGTGTCAGCGTGTGGTGTCATCGCTCCACCTGCAGTCTCGCTGCTGATGTCGGGGCACCGGATGTGCAGGAGTGTCTCTGCTGGTTCCGATGGAGTTGCTGATGCTTGCCTCATCTTCTGTGGTCAGGGTCGTGCCTTGGCTAAGCAGGGGCTGCGACTGCTGACGTCTGCAAAACACTTCCAAGGAAACTTTAAATGCATGAATCTCCTATGAGTTTTTTAGTGCAGCCTGATCTATAATTACCATCTGATTAGTATACTATGTTTATTTCAATCATGGTTACATTTCTCCACTGTCAATTCTTCCTCCATATCTATAGAGCTATTGATGTCGTTTGAGTCTTCTGGGGGAATGAAAATCCTGAGCCTGTTGTAAAGCAAAATCTTATAACTTTATAATGTATATTATATGTGTATGTGTATGTATATACTTGCTTTTATATGCTTTATATTTTCTATATATGTATATATAATATATTATATATAATGTTATTTATTTTTATTGATTTTTATTTTTATTTTTTTAAGATTTTATTTATTTTTATTTTTATAGAGGGAAGGGAGGGAGAAAGAGAGAGAGAGAGAGAGAGAGAGAGAGAAACATCAATGTGCGGTTGCTGGGGGCTGTGGCCTGCAACCCAGGCATGTGCCCTGACTGGGAATTGAACCTGTGATGCTTTGGTTCGCAGCCCATGCTCAATCCACTGAGCTACACCAGCCAGGGCTTATTGATTTTAAAAAAATATGTATTTTTAAAATTAATTTTTAGAGAAAGGGGAAGAGTAGGAGAAAGAAGAACATCAATCAGTTGCCTCTTGAACGCCCCTAACTGGGAACTGGCTTGCAACCCGGGCATGTGCCCTGACTGGGAATTGAACCAGTGACCTGTGACTCACAGGCCGGTGCTCAATCCACTGAGCCACACCAGCCAGTGCAAAAGCAGATATATATTATTAGAGGTACCTGTTGAGCAGATGTAATTTTTCCATCATGGGCAAAATAAGCCATAAAGAACTTTGAAACAATAAAGGCAAGCATTATAAAGAAAAGAATGGTTAAACTTAAATATAAAATTCCTACTAATATGCTCCCGAGTCCTTGTGTTATCCATGAAAAATAGACTCACAAACCAATCTCCAGTTCCCTCAAAGAGAGGGGTGTGATGCACCAAGGTTTGCTGAAGCCTGTTGCCTGACTTGGGTGATGCTCGTTTCCACCAGAGCTGAGTCCATGGAAGTGCAACAAGAGGGCTTGGTGGCCATGCACACTCCTCCCTGTCCTGCTGGTTTGTAGTCTAAGGCAATTCCATTGTCTAAGACAACTTTAGCTGGAAAGTCCAGAGATTTCTGAATATTAGCAAGTGAGGTGGCGGTTTGGTTGGCTACAGTGATTTAAGTCTTGGAGAGATTTCGAAGTACATGCTGATGTGCGGCTACTCCCCAACGAGTGTAACAGAGTACCTCTGACGCCATAGTCATCACCATCTGGGATTTCTCCAGGACGGTCTCGGGCCATCCAGGTGAACATCGATTACTCACCCTGGAGTCCCATTTGTCCAAACAATTTTTTTTTTACCTGCTTGTAGATCTCAGGAAGGAATAGTTCTCTTCTGGGGTCCCCCAGGCAGGTTAAAAGCATCTGGAGTTGGAGTCCATGTTCCAGTGGGATCTGCAGGTGAAGCTCTGCCTTTCAGGAGAAAGGTTACTTGAGCGGGCAGTTTGCAGAGCAAGCCCCATCCCAGTAGAGGGATGGGACATTCAGGTAAATAGAGGAAGCTGTGTGATGATTCCAGGTCTCCGAGTTGGCCTCTAAAGGCTGGAGGGAGGCTGGTTGCTGCATCGTCTCACTAACCGCTATGACCAAGACCGTTGTGGGGTTTTTATTATTTTTTAGTCGATTTGGTGTTTGACACAGAGTACTTGGCTCCCGTGGCTCCTAAAAGTCAAGCAGCTTGTTCCCCACTGTCAGTTGTATCTGAGGCTCCTGTGGGGAAATGATGGTTGGTCAGGCTGTGTCTAGAGGAGCCCCTGGTCCCCCTCACTCATCATCCGAGTCACCATTCCATTTCCCTCTCTGCCAGTGTGCCCCCTTTTATTCTTTTTCTTCTATGCTCGTTGCTAGGCACCCGAGGCTTTCTGCCCTGGTGACCTGCACCTGGTCTGTCATCCTTGCTCCAGTCTTGTCTGTGCATAAGTGAAAAATAAAACTTTGAAGACAATTAACTGAACTAGAGTTTAATGTCCATAACTGTGTATCATAGAGTCTATTGAAACATAATTTCTCCCCCCTAAAATCACCCTCAATTTTTATCAAAAAGCCAAATCAAGACTAATTCATTTACTGCCTTAAGTCGGTTTCAATTTGGCCCAATTATTTGTGTAAAAGTAACAGGAACAGCAATTGATAATATAGGAATTCTTAGGTGTGGTTTGCTGGAAGCTTATAAGGAATTTCTGAATTGAGCTTTAATTAGCCCAACGGGGTAGATGTAGAAGCCAAGCCACCCAGTTCCTCAAGTTCTCGAGGTCCCCCCAAAATGTCTGGAGGTTCTCTCTTGCCATCTCCCAGGAAAGCAACCTTGGCTCCTTACCTG